CCCCCCCCCCCCCCCCCCCTTCCTAGAGATAAGGCGCTTTATTCACTGAGGACTGGTTGATCGACGTCAATGATACTGTGGTAGGTGGTAATGAATGCTCGATTCGCATGAATGTTCGTCCGATAGGTCAGGCCGCCTTTTGGTGACGGAGGGTCAGGTAGGTGGCAGGCAAGTTGTCCTTTGAGTCTTGGGCCGCCAGAATAAAGTGAGCCAATTGCCCCTCTAAGGCGACATAAAGTGATCAGGCTATTTTGTCTTTTTTTGGCCTCACCTGCTAGGTGTTCAACACCCTCTCGAATGCTCAGCAACAGATCGACATGATCAGTCGATTATCAAAGCTTGGCGTAACATCAAGGGATAATCAAAGCTGAGCCTCATAAACTTCTCCTTGTGTCCTCGACTTTGCTATGGAGGCCATCAGAATTTCTGAAAGCCTTTACGCTTTTCGTTATTTAGGTATCGGGCATAAGAGACTCTGAGTATTGTATGGCGTTGGGCAACGTCGATGTTTTCTCAAGCATGAAATGAACGGCTGAGCGCTCAGCAACCCGAGTCAACGTTTTTAATCCAAAGATGGATCTACACTCTATGTGTTTCTGAATGGTGAAGTGTCAGTTATCAAATCCCCGTGTGGCTCAGAGGCTTCACTGTCACTTGAATATACCGATGGCCATTAGACAAAGGCGCTTACGGAGAGTGTTATTGGTGAACGAAGTAAAGGAGCTAACACAAAATAAGCTAAGCAGTCGGGACAATATGATGGGCTTGGGAGTATTTGCTGGTGCGCGAGTAGTTGATGGCTATGTGCGGGTTAGTGGTAGTTTCCTATACCATACTGCATCTGTAAGACGAGGAGACCTCTATGACAAGAAGATTTTTCATTGCAAGAAGATACCTAATAAGAAGAGGGCTACAAAGAAGGAGTGACCTAAGACTAGGTGTAAGCCAGCCCAGGTGGATAGATTGCTGTCAGCATAGGGCCTTGTGAATCTTGCACAGATTTCTGAAACAGGGGTTCCCATCTCATGTCACTTAGCTCTTTCCACAGCTGATGGAATCAAGAAAACATCAAAGGCAAATAGGCAGACCGGAATAACTCCAAGGTTTGATTCCAAACATGTTGTCATGTCGTCTGTAGCGAGGAGCTGTTGCAGTATTGTGTAGTGTCCCCGTCCCCGTCGCGAGGGACTGTTGCTTAGTGACTGGAAACAAAAAACCTAGGCATCGTTTAGGCACGTAGTATGAACACTAGACAGCAGTGCCAGAACAGACAACAACAGACGTCTGCATAGTACCGGGCCGTGCACAGTCCCATATCCTTAGGTATTCTCTCCCAGGCTGACAAACACAACTCTTTCCTCAACACCAACTTCCTCACCATGGCTGAATACGACTCGCTTCATCAGCTTATCGTAGCAAACCCCTGGCTTGGTAAGGGTCCTTTGCTCTGGACAGACAAACACCTCAAGCTCCTGGACATCCATTTCCAACCCGTCGGTCCCCTTGTCCCATTTCCCTCGATCTGCCGCTCAATTTGCGATCCTTCTGTCGCGTACGGCAAGGAATTCGTGGCAGGCCTCACATCTGAGGCGAATCGTGCGGCTCTTGTCAAAATCTTCCAATCCTTGACCTATGGCCTTGTTCACCTAACGTAGGTAAACACTCTTCCCTCTTCTCATTCGTACTAACATTCCCTGTGTTCAGCGAAGAGAAGGCAATCTTCATGTACGCTGGCAAGAAGGTTCACAACACTTCATGCTGGATCTCCTATGTCCCGCCCCCTGTGCTGTACGAGCACCCAGTCATCGGATATTACCACTACGACGACGTTAAATGGGATCGTCTCGAGGCCATTCAGCCCAGGGATAGTCCCGGGGCCGGGATCGGTGGCAATGCGCCAGTGGTTCGTCTGTGCCGTCGAAGACTACGAAATGCCACACCTGCCGAGTGGTCAAAGGATCCCTACATCGTGAGTCTGGTTCTGTCTTTTTCTCAGTGGAGCTGGCGCCAGGAGCGACACCCCTATCTTCTGGTCTTTTCTGTACGTTTAGAGTCTCTGACTTCAGTACTTTGCTAACTTTGCATTTCTAGGTCCGCTTGGTTGTAACCACTGATCATGACCCAAAGACCATCCATGTGTTCATGGCTAACGTCAGCATCCGACTCTTGGACTGCATCTACTGGCCAGGTCTTAGCCTAGAAGGCGTGACCTGGCCAGTCATCCACCACCTGCAGGTTCCCACTGAGCCCGTCTGCAATTTCCCGGATCGCCTGCTGTTCGAGGTGTTGGGTGTCCGTTATTCCTAAGGCTATCATTGGACAACATGGAAGAGAGACGACGTGGGCACACATCTCTTCGCGATCTTAGGCCTAACGACTACATCGACTCACAGGATCTAATCATCAATATCGGGATCTCTCAAGATCGAGGACTAATACTTGCGATTATGTATCTGAGACCACTTTGCCTGCAGGAAAGGCGGCTGTCATCTAGGTCATTGGAATGGAACTGACGAAGGAAGCCTCGAGTATCAGATGTAGCGAAAGATCAATTGACTATGTGGTATAATATGGACAAAACGAACGAACTGACATGACTATGTACCAGGCTTCGACACATTCCTATTCAAGCCTCTTCTGCCTTCTCTTCGTGCACCGCGCGTCCCTTTCCGTCATCACTCAACACCGACCCTCTCCTTCTTGGCGCCATCACAGCAGCCCTCACATCATAGTACAGATAGGTGGCCTCGCCTTCGTTGTCCAAGTCACCCCTCAACTCATCATCGCAACCGACCTGGATGATGTTCCAGCCCGCTCGGCCGACTCTCTCTCGACAGACAGCATTCATGTTGGCGAACCTCACCTCAACTCTATCTCCACCATAGGTCTTGATGTTGGCGGCAAGGTTCTTTAAGTATGTGACAGCTGTAGTATCGAGCATGTTGACTCGAGAGAAGTCGAGGACAACCAATCCAATCTCTGGAAGGCAGGAGGGGTCACTGATATTGGCCTTCTTGCGAAGACGTGCGATTCTCTTTTCAGCAACGACAGACCAGTTACGTTCAGCCTCTGGTCCTTGGCTACCACTGTAGTAGGGTTGATGGAAGGTTTGGATCTCATCAAGAACCTTTGATGTGTTGGAGAAGGCATTGGGGAAGATAAGAGACTCGTTAAAGGTGAAAACTCTGGTGTCTTCGGGGATTCTAAGTGTACATGTATTGGACACGTCTAGTGCCCAAGCAGGTCGACGGTTGGACTCGACATCGGCACCAGTTGAGGTAAGGCGGGTGAACACTTGACGGAGAAGAACGTAAACAATGTTGAATCCGACGGCGACACCAATACCGACTTCACTGGAGTGGAAGAGTGTAATCCAGAGTGCAAGCATTGACGCGATGAAGTCAGCCAAGGATGTCTTCCAGTAGCGGTAGAAGGTGGAAGGTGGCGAGATGAGTCCCCACACAGCAGTGATGATAATAGCAGCAAGGGTAGCTTTCGGGATCCAGTAGAGTGTTCCAACAAGCTCATACACGCACACAAGAACGACAGCCATGGTGACAACACCGGAGAGAGGAGACTTGACGTTGCATGATGAGTTGACAGCGGTACGGGACATGGCACCACCAACGCCCATAGCATGGAAGAAACTGTTGAAGAAGTTGGTGATACCAAGGTAGCACAGTTCTTGACTCTGGTCAGAGCTGTAATTATTCTTGACAGCAAAGGCTCGAGCAATGGCCAAGTGTTCAACTGCCGAACCGATAAAGACGGCAATACTGCGGCCAGCGACTTCGGGAATAAGGTCTGCCTTGGGCATGGATGGGGCTTGTTGGCCTTGGGATTGGACCTTGACAACGTCGAAGAGAAAGTCGTCTCCTCTGTTCTTGTTGACAGCATAGCTGATACCAGTGAACAGCACCAAGGTCAAGAAAGCTCTTGTTGTAGAGAGAAGCCAAATTACTCGGTTGTTCTTACTCCACCTCTTTCCAGACTTCTCAAGGATTGTAAGAAACAGAATTCCGGTGAAGCCGATGAGACACGCCCAGCCGTTCGCGTTGGGAAGCTCACTGAAGATATCATGGATCTGCTTGGCTGCTCCGTCACGCACATTCTCCTCACCAAGAAGAGAGTCCATCTGGTTGAGGATGATTGTGATGGCGATAGCGGTGATGAAGCCACTAAGGACGGGGAGGGATATGAATTCGAGGAGGAAGCCGAGCTTGAGGAAGCCTAGGATCATGCCGTAGATACCCATCATCATGGCTGTTGCGGAGGCGATTTCTGATGGGGTCCATCGATCTTGTAGAGCGTGGACGTTCTCGGAGGTGAGGAGACCGATGAGGGAGGTTGGTCCGGTGGAAACATCTTCAAAGGATTAGCTTACAACGGGAAAGACGAAGGTACTGTTGGTTCTCACCTTTGGTAGATCCCATGAAGGCATAGATGACTGCTGGAAGCCAACTCGACATCAATCCATACTCAACAGGAATGTTGGCGATCTTAGCATAGGACAGGCCCTGAGGAATGAGCATCAGACCCAGGGTAAGTCCGGCGATAAGATCATTGACGAGCCATCGTGGATTATACTTGGGTAACCAGCCAACAATGGGGACTTTGTCGGAGATGTATTGGACTGTGCCTGAAGGAAGAGCCTTAGCTCCTTTGACGCTCAGTCGAGCTGCTCTGTTCCAGTTGGCATCGCTGCGAAGGTCTGATTTGGCCTTGTCGAGATACTTCATGTTGATGTGCTCAGAGTGATAGAAGGAGTTTGAGCTGATCTGAATAGGAACAGTTCAATTCAACTAGGGATTCTCATGGGGTTGATATAGACTTTCACTACACACACAAAGATCCAACAACACATAGATGGGCGTGGAAACATACTACCGAATGCATCAACGCTATCTCCCCGTCATGTGCTACATTGCATAGATAGACAGAATTGCTAATCGTCAAGATCCAAAGTGTATCACATCTCACTACTCCCGGCAACCATTCGCCGTACACCCTTTCCTGGCCTCGCTGCACAGCGGATTGGGTGCCTTTATAAGTGTAACACTGGATGCTACGGGCGTATAACCTCATCCAGGAAATCATCTGCATGGACACCGAATACCGACAGATATCCATATTGCCCGATGACAACAAGATAGTTGGATTGGGTTTGAGGAGGGAGTGTATTCCCGAAGACGGTGTTGGAGGTGACAGAAAGCTGGACGCTGCAACCACTGGAACCGAAACTATGTGACCACCTCTCGCCTCTGACTCGAAAGACGTTGACGCCATGTTATTTTCGGACCCTAGATTTGGATATCAATGTTTCTGTCAAGTCCCAATCCTGTAAGCTGACTTACATGGAACACGTTCCCAGTGGTCGTGTCACCAACGTAAGGGTGGGTTACGCTGACTCGCAAGCCGTTCCTACTGGCTACATAAGATGACAAACCTATATGAATTCGGTCCAAGGCATTGGCTAGGCCGTAGTGAAATCGCGGGGAAAGGAAGCTAGGCGAACTCAGACACGAGCTTCGCTTACAAGTTACAGCGGTGCTTGGTCGATCTCCCGCCTCTTTAGGACCCATGCTTGGCACTTTTCTCCGGAAGACATGGGTACCTGAAACATTTTCGGTACCTTTTCGAGTAGAGGAGTGCGCTTACACGGCTATTCGGCCTGATATCTTTACTAGACGTGAACTTTATTGACCTCTTGGAAGAATTCTTTACTGAGTCGTCAAGAACCTTTGCTATCAGCGTATCTACTATCTATCACCGAGCTGCCTAAAGTAAACAGGCTGCAGCGTTCTAGATCCCCATCACCCTCTCCTGTACTAGGCTACACCTGTCGTTACATTGCCATCGTCGTTTAGTTAGACCCCTCATCTTCAGGCCACACAGCCCAACCAAACATGACAAGTAGCTTGAGCAGCGCAGCAACCCACAGAGCTCCTGACGTTCCAAACTCGCTCTTCGCGATGATACCTCCAATTATAGCACCAATGAGAAGAAGCACTGGTGCAGCCACCCGACGGTTCCTCTCCACATTCCGAGTGATGCCCTCAAACAACCCCGCATCTGAAAACAGATCGCAGTAGATGCTCGTCAAGACAACACTGGTGAGAGCGTTGAACTTGAGCGCTCTGCTAGCAACTGCTTGGCCGCAGGACTGGAAGGCCACGAGGGCGATTGGCACGAGTACGTACCATGGCACCTCGTCTGGACCTGCACCTTTTGGTCCCCAGGTCAGAATTGCTGCTGCGGCCACGATGAAAGCTGTTTGGATACCAAACGAGACGCAAAAGACCCATTTGCGGCGCGGGCTAGTGGTAAAGACTCTGTGAAGACGACTAAACAGAAACGAGCCGATGGCAAAAGACAGAATTGAGGTTCCAGACTTTTTCCAACGGTTCGTCCCAGCCGTTGGACCCAGACCCAGATAGACCGTGTTGCCTTGATATTTCATTAATATGGATTGTGGCAAGAGACGACTGTTACTCTAACGTACCTGTCTGCATAGACACGAAGGCACCCCACGTGGAAATGGAAGCGCTGTCCAGAATGCCTGTTATGATATAACAGGCAAGCAGCATAACATCTGCCCAATCTCGACGAACATCAGAACCTAATCTGCTGCGCAACCAAGATCTAGATCCCGGCTTTGGGGCAAGCAGAGCCTGGGTTTCGTCATTGTGAGCAGAGATGCCGTTTTCTGCTCTGCTCTCGCCGTTGGAGACTGTGCCGTAGTGCTGGGACATGATTGATGAATAAGAGCTTTGGTGAGTTTAACTGGTAAAGGTAGATGGTCTTCTGACTTGGAATTATCGTTCGATCTTTAAGGCTCTGAGAGGGGTAAATAAGCAGCTGTGTCAAAGGCACAAACTACGATAGCTCCCGCAACTTTAATCGCCAAGATATGTCCGTCAGTATGAAGTTTAGTTCATCTTCATAGCTTGTGTTCAACGTCTATAGTTGCCGCGGGACGCAACTCTAACCCCGCGTGATCACCGAGGTGTGTACTCTGCCACAGTCCAGACTTGTCGACCAGGATTTACTCACCTTGGCAAAGCTTCTTGCTCTACGCCGTTAGTTCCGGCTTTTGGGTTGGTACTAAAATCGCCAAGATCAACACCCATTATTCAGCTTTGATAAGCGGGGAATTAGTGGAGTTGTGCTTATTGCCGGCAAGCCCCAAGCTTTACTTGGAGGCTTGGCCTTGTTATGCTTTCGTCTTGATTTTATTAACGTTAGTTCCGCGTCATCTCGTTGGCGAAACTCTACTGTTTAGACTGTACCCCTCTCACCATCATCAGTTTCGTTTCCCCTCATTTTAACTGCTTTCAGCACATGAAAGTAACACGACCACACCCAGATTCCAAGCAACAGCCTGTAAGAGTTGATATTGGCCCTCCAGATTATACCTTTGGTCTCAAGTCGGACAATTCCCCACCATGTGTGCGCCGCGTGGTTGCAGGACGCTCTGTGCCGGATATCCGTTCACACGGCAGTCGTCAGCAATCGCGGGGGGTCAATGCTACCTTGGCCAGGTCTCGTAAGCCTGTTTGAGAGGTGCTACTTCGGCGATCCACCGGCCATCGCATTCTCGGCGTCATGAACTTCTGGAGCCGAAGAGCTTGGCGATGTTTCCCAGACAACTTCAAAAGAATACTTAACATCAGAGGTGATTAAGCAATTGAGCTGCTTCACCCACTCAATTGTGTTAGCAAGAGACACTAACACAACCCAATTGAATTGTTCTTGCTCTCTGTCGTCGTTGACGTCATTCCTTTCCACCATGCATCTTACTCAAATTGCCTTTCTCTCTGTCCTGCTGGACATCTGCGCTGGTGTCCCAGTCCAGGATAGTCCTCGTGAGAGACTTCTGAAAGGTCTTGGAATCCCAGACAACTACCGAGGTGTGACTGGCGGCAAGAAAGTCCCCTTCACACCCGGCCACAGAGACCCCTACGACTCAGCTGTTGATTCTGTAGGGGATGATCTTGATCCTCTTCCCTGGCGCAATGGTCTAGGAGCTTCTGTCCTTGGGCCTTGGAATGAGGCGCGATCGCGACAGAGCCCTGATCTCGTCAGACCTCCCAGCACTGACCATGGCAATCTTGCCAATATGCGCTGGAGTTTTGCTGACTCCCACATCCGCATTGAGGTATGTAAATCGTTCTTAGCAATTTGACACACGCTGATCTGGAACAGGAGGGCGGATGGACCCGCCAGACCACTGTTCGCGAGCTTCCCACAAGTGTTGAGCTTGCTTCGGTGAACATGCGTCTTGGTGAAGGCGTTTACCGTGAGCTTCACTGGCACAAGGAGGCCGAGTGGGCTTACGTTCTCGATGGAGAAGTGCGAGTGACAGCTCTTGATTACGAGGGCGGAAACTTCATCGACGACCTCAAGAAGGGAGATCTCTGGGTAAGTAAACTGATTCTCGCGGTCAAAACCGTCTAACAATTCTGCAGTACTTCCCCAGCGGAGTTCCTCACTCTCTCCAGGGTCTCAGCCCCAACGGAACTGAGTTCCTTCTCATCTTTGACGACGGACGCTTCTCTGAGGAGTCCACCTTTGTTCTCTCAGACTGGCTTGGTATGCAGCCTCCCCAATATTCCGCGAAATCACATTGCTAACAAGATCAGCACACACACCCAAGTCCGTCATTGCTAAGAACTTCGATCTCGAGCCAGAGGTCTTCAAGAACATCCCCAAGGGAGAAAAGTACATTTTCCAAGGCCGCAACCCTGGCAAGATCTCAGACGAGGCCCCCAAGGGCAAAAAGGCTAAGAAGTCAAAATACAACTTCACCCACCGCATGCTCGACCAAACCCCTCTCAAGACCAGCGGCGGCGAAGTCCGCATCACTGATTCCAAGAACTTCCCCATCTCCAAGACCGTGGCTGCAGCCCACGCCATCATCGAGCCCGGTGCTATCCGTGAGATGCACTGGCACCCTTCTGCCGATGAGTGGTCTTTCTTCATCAAGGGCCGTGCCAGAGTCACCATCTTTGCTGCTGAAGGCACTGCTAGAACCTTTGACTACGTCCCCGGTGATGTTGGCATTGTTCCCCGCAACATGGGACACTTTGTTGAGAACATTGGTGACGAGCCTGTTGAGATGCTTGAGGTTTTCCGTTCAGATGAGTTCAGAGATATCTCTCTCTTCCAGTGGATGGGTGAGACACCTAAGAAGCAGGTCATTGACACCCTGTTTGCCAACGACCCCAAGAACGCTGAGAAGTTCTGGGATAAGATCAAGGATGCTGATAACGAGGTGATTACCAAGCCTGACTTTTACAAGCACCGTGAAGATGAGACTGCCGGCGAATTGTAATCTTACAAATTGTATGAGCTATAGATAGCATAAGCGATAGCTGTTCGTGTATTTAAGATGCATAAATACTGAGATTGACTGTTCACAAGACAAGTGAGAAAAAAATGTGATTTCACCCGCGGCTGATGCCATTTCCAATGACCACGTGATGAAATCCGATGATGATGTGTTGAGAAAGTGGCATCATGTTTGGGCGCGATGGCGTTCGATACAGAAGCTGAATTGATGGAGTTCTGGGCGATGCAACAATGACGTACGTAGAATCCGGAACATGGTACGCGAGAAGGGATCGGCAACCGTTTTCCTTGTTATGGCTTGGCAAGCTTGGCAGTTGATTGGTGGGTAAGGAAGAGGCTAGCTTTGTCTCTCACGTCCAGGGTAAGGTCGCGTCCATGCACAACGACGCGTCTACCGGACGATGAAAGACTCCAGCGAGAAGAAACAATATGCTTTTGGCTGCTCAATGGATGCAAATGTATGTACTAAAGCTTCCGGTTCTCTTAAATGATCGATGTCCGAGGTATGTCGCGTCTGGTTAGCATTGGTGTTAACACGCCTTACAACACAAACTTGTCGAACGGACATTTTGGTGTTTGAACATGCAGCGAAGAATGTCTAAAACATGGTCGACCAGGATAATGGCTCTTCCGTCACTACGAGCTTAGTCACTCGTGAAAGTCATAAGCCATTATTTAGCCATGCACTCATGCTACTCATGTTATGAACCGCATCCAGTTCTGCTACGCTTGGACATCACCACGCCATCGACTTATGCCAGACTGATGACCGGGTTCTTTCAATCAGATAAAAGCAAAGGTTTCGTGGTCTAGTTGGTTATGGCATCTCGCTCACACCGAGAAGGTCCCCGGTTCGAACCCGGGCGTAACCTCACTTTTTACATACCCGTTACACAGACCAAAGGAGATCCATTTCCTTTTTGTCACATGGAGAAACGCTTCAACAGACTGAAAATCAAGGGCAACTCATGTCTATTATTGCTTACAGTATTATTGTAAGTTCTTCAACCTAAAGCTCCAAGTCCTTTCCAACCTCTCTGTCCTCCTTCGGCCCAAACCAACCGACGGAGTGGATGAGATACTGCCAATAAGCGTTGAAAGTACCAATGAACTGGTAGATCTGGGCGACAGTTTCGTTTGCGGCGAAAGTATTAGTCCTCGTGTCCTTATACATGGACCTGGACAGACCAGATGAAGACCATGTAGCTGTTTCGGTGGGTGATGGGCCCATCGTAGAAGAGGATACAGAGCTTTCTTCAGCGTCGAGCATATCATTATCCCTTGGCATACCGGTATCGTAGATACTGTAGACGTTCCGTCCATCCTCGGCGTCATAGCCACCACAGCTATCTTCGGTATCCCGACATTTCTCGTCGCACTTATTGTCAGAGACTTGCATATCAGCAGGCGGCTGGACGTCAGTGCAGTCGCATCTACCCTCAGTCATTATCAGATACCGCTTACTCCCTTCCTTGCAGAGTTGATGGCATCTCCTAGGACTATTCCAAGCCACACGTCCATGTCTCTGAATCTCCCTGGGTAAGCCGGCATAACAGCCCAGATACCTCTGGAGACCCGCAGGTTGCTTTTCAACTCTACGCAGAGTAATGGGATGGTGTTGAGCATATCCTGGATCGAGCTCGAGACCTGTGTTTGTGACAGTGTAGTAGTCCTTCTCGCGCGTCGAGCCGCATGCATAGAAACCAAATCCAGGACATGGATCGTTACAGTGGTTGTCTTCCACCAAGGTATTGATCGGAGGGTATGTATCTGCGCAATAGCAAACACTGCCACGTACAAGGGCTACAGGTTTGTGCTCTTCATCCCTGCATCGTCTACTACAGGAGTCCCATGAGTTCTGTGACGAAGCCTTGGGTGATCCTATAGTGGTTGGGATCGAACTGAAGCAGCCTTGCTGACTGATTCTGCCGAGCACAGCAGACTGGATCGGATGTTGTTGGCCGGGTCGTAAGGGACCGGGCAGGGCTGTGGCTAGGCTCAGGGTTGCCCAAAGAGCGATCGTTGCTGGCTTTGCGAGAATCATCGTCTTGTTTGGTGCGGTATGGAGATGTGGAAAGAGTCCCAGAACAGGAGGGTAACATTTTCGTTAGGATGACCTTGATTCTATAAGCGATTCATTGATGTCCGCTTCGCGAAGATCACCCAACGTCGTTGGTCACTAGCGTCTGAGAGCACAGGGGGTTTCTACACCGATAGGGCCGATTCTCGTAGCCATCGTTTCAACTTGGGGCCATGAGTCGAGCATATTGACGATATTCAAAGTGACTAACGGAGTATTGTCGAACAAGGCAGCACACTACTACCAGTGAGACGACAGCGACAGACAATCAATGTCAGAGCCAAGTACTTGGCGTTCTCAGGCAAAATCTTCCCGTTGTTCTAGCTTGCTTCCAAGATCCACTTGTGAGTTGTGTTAGGCTGGGTCCGAGCTTGTGGATAGCATGAGAGTATTTCGCTTCTCTAATGAGAAGTGGGCTCTTTTACGTGTTAGATTGTTCCACATTTGTAGCCGAGAGAACTTTTGCTGCCGCAGTTGGATAGAATCGTTCTTGTTCATAGCACTGTAAATGCGAGCGACCTCGAAAGTTGTGAATGGATATGGTTAGATTGAAGCTTATCCAATGCTCCCCAGATATAGATCAACGACGTGGTTAAATACAACATGATGTCTTCAACCATAGTACCAAAGATCTGCTCCTACTCCACCTGGATTCCACTCTACCAGTTCAGTGCCGCTTTGATAGAATCAGCAAGCAACTTTCCACCAATCGCCTGGGTAGCAGCGTTGGGATGATAGTCGCAACCAGCCTCCGCACCCTGACTCGGCCAGTCCACAAAATGAGTCTTGACACCACTAAGCTGCTTCATCGCATCTTTCAGCACCTTAACATGAGTGCTCTTCTGCGCATCAGCCCGGCTAGGATAATCATCGTTTAGCAAAGGCGAAGAAACAAAGAAGAACTGCGCCTTGGTGTAGTGAGACTGAATGCTCTTGACTAACTTGACCAGCGCGGTGGTAAGGTCTGTAGGGTTGACCGGGTCGCGAACATTGAGATAACTGAAGTCGTTTGTGCCGAGGTTGATAACCACAGCATCGGGTACCCAGGACTTGGGGAACGTGAAGCTGTTGTCCTTGTCGTTGGCGCCATATCGGGTGTAGAGCTGGGGCATTGGGGGCGAGGTATCGGGAGGGTTAGAGGCGTAGTTGCGAATAAGACCCTTTCCACTCCAAGCTACAACGCTGTAGTCTGCGTTGAGAGCGCGAGCAGCCACGGCGCCGTATGTCTTGCCATTGTTCTGCAGGGCAGCAGTATCGACGCAAGGCAGAACGCCATCGAGACCGTAGCCAACAGTGATAGAGTCACCAATAATCTCAATCTTGCGCTTTGGCGGCTCTGTGTTTACCAATGTACCATCTGTGGTAACATCGTTGATCACGAAGGTACCGAAGTTGGTCTCAGACCGCTTGCGTAGCTCAACAGTGTGAGTGCCCTTTGTCAGTTTGGGAGTCGAGATCGAACTACCCTTGACGTTGGAAACGATAATTGGGGCCTTGCCATCAATGATCAAGTCGGCACTCGAGGTTCCGGTGATATCCTTGATGTTGATAGATGCTTGAGTTCCAGTGAAAGTAAAGGCGACACCCGTGCTTGGCCATGTGAGTTGCTTAGTAGCGGGATTGACTCTACCAATAAATCGGTAGTTCTAGATAGAATAATTAGACCTACCCTTTTTTTTCCTAGTCCTGGTTTGACTTACCTGTGCTTTGGCAGCCGTGACGGCACTGATCAAGCATGTCAGTGTGAGGAACTTCATCTTGGTCGTGGCTTTATATACAAAAAATGAACCACCGCCAAATTCAATTCAACCAATTGACTAGAATAGTTACCAACTTCCTTAAAACAGTTTCTGAGGGATATTCCATCTTTTTAAACATCTCGTGTCTTCGTATGTTCTTCGGCAGATGGCTCCGAATTGCCTGAATGGGTAATTTAATGTCTTGGAAATCATCCACCACTCACAGATCAGGATTGAGCGAGCATCATCCTGGGAACAATCTATGTCAAACCCGTTTGGTGCATTGGAAGTGGGCATAGGTGCACGCCGTGCTCTAGTACATGATGAAAAATTTTGCTGCTATGCCTAACAAAAGCAGCTTGGTACTGTGGTCTAGTTGGTCATGACATCTCGTTAACACCGAGAAGGTCCCCGGTTCGAGCCCGGGCAGAACCTCACTTTTTGCACTTTTGTCCGTTGGCTCTGATGTTATCACAACAAATGATGTCTTGTAAAGACATCATGTACGATGCTATCTGGAGGGGAGGTGATAGTGGAATCTTAGAATACGAAATACAATTGAACTAACTGTCTTTTAGTCTTGCTTTCCAGTCTCAGAAGTTCTCAAAGCATGATACTCAGCAGGGCTCTGCCCCTCCAAAGGTCCAACAGCTGCCACCCGTCGCGCATTCAATAGATCAAGATCGATCCGCGGTCCAGTAAAGGTACCCTTCTTAGTAGTATGCCAAAGAACAATAACAAAGCCCACCAGTCCAACGAACACCACAGAAACATAGCTCATGTTCTCCGCCGTGGCAGGCATCACGGTCGGAAAACAATATTGAATATCGAGGTAGACGACCCAGGCAACCGAAATACCATTGATCCAAGCACCGAACGTTCCCAGGCTGAAGTATCGCAGTGGCAAGACTTTTTCGCGTCCTCTATAAAGGAGGACTGCTTGAGGAATGATGCATGACGTTTGGAGGAAGATGATGGCCGCGCTGACCATCGCTGAGAAGGCAGTGGAAGAGCCAAGAAAGATGAGGCCGTAAATCTGTGAAGAATCAACGTTATCATGGGGAGCCACAAAGAACTTGAAGGTTTATACTCGCTGTGATAAAGCTGGCAGAGAGTACCAAAGCGTTGACTGGAACCTCAAACTTTGGATGAACCCGTTCCCAGAATTGCGAATAGGGCAACGCGCCATCACGCGACACTGCCCAGAGTGTTCGCGACGAAGTTGTAGCTTAGACCATTAGCTAAGAATCGGTATACTGTTTGGCGACCTACCGTTGGCGACAAGATTCGCAAAGAAGCAGAAAGCAAATAAAGCCATGAGAACAGATGCCCCAGACCGAGATCCTGTTCCCTGGAAATAGATCTCGAACAAGGGTAGTCCAGTACTCGTGGTCAACACAGCCTCAACATCCGAGATAGCATACATAAGCGAAGCTGCAAAGGGAAAAGCAGTGAACAGGCCCATAAGCAACGGATAAATCATGACCTTGGGCACGTTCTTTGCTGGGTTTGGAATCTCCTCACACAGGTGAGCACCACAGTCACTACCCAAAAAGGCGTACACCGCGTTTCCAACAGCGAGCATGAAAGCAAACCCATCGCTTGACCAGCCTGTTCTGTTAGTAGTATCAGTAAAGATGAATTTTCCCGAAGCATGATTTTTCGTTATGGCGAAAAGGGTGATGGTCGTAGCACTGAGAGTCAGGATGGACAGGAAGAAGACCATCTTGTTGAACAGAGGAATCCATCGTGACCAAAGGATGTTGGCAGTTGTGGCAATCCAGATGAGTGCGACGTAGATGAGGTACTGATGCCAGCGCTTTTGATCCCAGTCTGGATACCATGCACCCACGATGTCCAGGATCATGGATGATACGAAGTTGGAGACTGAGCTTGAGGCGAGCCACCAGCCGATGACGCTCATCCAGCCGTTCCTGTCAAAGTCAGCGAGACTGGCATCGAGGAAAGAGAACGGATACCGACAGGTAAGACGCAAAGGGCTTGTAGTCTTCTCTTGCCACCATAAATGACCAGTAGTACTGTGCGCCGGCGACTGGATACGCGGATGCAAGCTCCGCCATACCCAAAGAGACGATCGTGGTCATGACTCCAGCGATCGGAAGGGACCACAGGGTGCCAGCAGAAGAGGCTTCAGTCAAGCTGATACCAACTGAAGATCCGGCTCCCAGCCAAGTACAAGTCAGGGTAAAGGACAATGCACCAAGAGACCACAGCGAGAACCGACGAGGCATAGCCTGCTGGTATCCCGCCGCCTCCAGCTCCAGGGCATCGCTATTGGCCGAAGCGTTGGAAGGAGTATCCGCCAAATTACTCATGATTGATAGTCAAGCTCAAATCGTGTTTGCTGGGAGAATTGAGCACGTTCGCAACCCAAGAACAGCGACAAAGACGCTTTATGAAGACGCCTCACGAAAGAGGCTGTCGGTCACGAGAGCATATTTCGCTCAAGTAGCACAAGAGTTCCGAGTGACTGGGTCAGGTCCAATGAGATAAACGACGGTGACAGAGATAAAGAGATTGTGCGACTAGAGGTAATGTGACCTTATCTCTTTAGACCACGTAACGCCTGTGGATTCAGATGACATATGATTGGAGAGACTCATTCCAATCATTCAACTAAACAAAAAAACCCGATCCAATAATTCAATATTAGAGTTCCCCCACAGGCGTTACGTGGTCTAAAGAGATATATTCTGATGATGTAAAGTTTGTGTTTTGTGTAACTCTATAGAACAAAGAATATTGCAAACCTTGAACTTTACGCTTTGACACGGCGATCCTGTACGCTTAGATACCAAATGCTTATTAGGAATTGAGTTCTTCTCACCCGCTATCGACTGGTCCTTGACTTCTCTGTAGTACTATAGAACACAACGTAATGAGCTTATCGACCGATGCTTCTCAACAGAGCAATCAAATTGTATAGAATCCGTCGAAGTTGAGGGTTGCAAGAGAGCCCGAGAGTAAGCGCCTCTATTCATCTGACAAAGAAATCACTGCGCAACCGTTACAATGATGGTGGTGATATGTCATTTGAGTTGCACGGTAGGTCGAGTCCAGATCGCTGGGATCAATGTCCTGCACACAAAAGGAGGGGCTGATAAATCTGTGGAACAAAGAAAACGACCGGCTTGTTTTCCAACCACATGATCGTTTAGCTGAACGCTCGTGTATTCGCTCATATGTTCACCGTCGTATGTTGTCATATTGTTCTACATTGTTATAGGGTGATGAAACGTGTTGGTCTACTGAGTGCAGCTTGACGAAGTTTGTATCTTGAAGTGCCGTTACCCATCGGCAGGCAAATGAGTCCCAGCTAGTGTAAGCGCTAAACTCGGCCGAGCTTAGCGACATGGGCATGCCTTATAGGGCTAATCAGAACGACCGATGCGTTAAGAATTACTCAAGACATGTCCCTAACATCAATGGCTAATAAGCGGAAGATAAAAAGTTGCCGTATGACCTAAGAACACGGGAGCGGGCAGTTCGCGTGTTAGTCAGATCATTAAACAGGAATCTTACGATACAGAACACCAGGTCACTGCTCCAGTGTGTGACGAACTTTGACTGGGATAAGTCGCTAGGCAGGGAGCGGGAAATGATGAAATCTTTGCTGACAGGGAGGATAGGGCTGGGAGTAAGCTTGGCGTGTGTCAACGATTCCTCAATTCAGACCTCAGCGCAAGACTTTCCCTAAGAATAAGAAAAAAGTGGAAGCCTGAGTTTCTTCGATGTAACTCTTAACTCAATGCGGCTGTGCTTACTCTCGTATGATGCTAGTCTGTTGGTAAGACGTGCATGTAATTTTGACCCTGTTCTGCCAACCCCATTGGTCTCTATCGGCATCGCCGGGGGGACCAAATACGAAATTGTCTAGATGGGTGGAATATACGATCCTTGGCCCACGTTGATGAAACACCTAACGTAGTGCTGGAATTATGTCTGGCAAATGATGGATCGTAGGGCTGAAAATTCCCCCAGCAGAGCTGAAGATACCTTGGGAATGCTACCTCAGTCTTACGGTGGACCTTTGAATCGCCAATAGGGTTTCTACCCTCCTGACCACTGCAGTTTGGCTCGTATACTTAACCTGTTTGTCTGGATATCCCTCATGTTTATATAATTATATGTCTTGATCCATTCGCTTTTCAATTATTATATCTTTTTTTATTTAGCACGAACTTAGCCCACCATGCCTGACATTCTCACCGGCAAACAGCTCACAATTTTCCCTCTCAGATATTCAAGTCATGAGATCGATCGCTCAGACTGGGTTTCACTCCTGACCCTTTGCCTCGCCCCCCTCATCGCGCATATCATAGCCGGCGTACCTTCGCCAACATACCTTCACAGAAGGCGACCAAAATGGCATGAACTACTATGCCACTACAATCCGACTTCGATCCTTTGGCGATATGCTGCTATCGCAGATAGGCGCATCCGAGCAAAGGCCTGGGATCAGAATGATCTTGCTTCTACGAATGCCATATTCTGGACGAAACGAGGCTGGGATGGCTCTGAGGATATGATCGCTACCAGTGCTGCGTACTGTTATCACTTGCCGGAAAGTACCAGAATTGCGATATTCTCTCGAGAAATGATTACTACCATCATCGTCACATCACAGGGAATTCAGGCCACGCTCTCACTTATGGGTGCACTTGATACGGACGGCACCAACGCTGGATTCGTAAAGTGGATGGGAGTTGACACTATCTTCTTTCCACTAGCAATGATTAGTCTGTTGAGACTATGCTGCGCCTTCTGGCTTAACGATGACTTTGGATATTCCACCTCTCACTCATTGGCTCTGGACAAGCGGGCCAATTCGAACGAGAGTTCCAGCGGTACTTTATTGGCGCCAATGGACGTACCTCCCAGACCCCGGTTCCAAAGGCCCTCTTCGTCTTGGGGAAGCAGGATCCTTCGTTCTCTTTTCCTTTTCATTGTCATCAGCATCATAGTCCTAAACGCTATGTACTTCATCCGGGGTGGACGACAAACAGCAACGACCTTTGCTGTCGAATTGGCCTACATATTCTTCCTGTCTATGACGGTATTCATCTTTGCACCATACTTCTGGACAGGCCAGACAACATCAACTATCATACCGTGTATTAACTCGATGGCGTACAAAATCTACACCGCTGTGATCTTTGGGGTTTTCACAGCAACGATTATTATCTCTTGCATCGAAACTAGGAAGACGCCTTGCGGAAAGTTCACAAGTGGCCCAGGACTCGAAGCTGATATTCGTGCGTGTTGGAATCCAAGTGAGGATCTGGCGTCTCTTCATGTGGGCTTCAATGCATCTACCGCTACTCTGGTTGTCGATGAATTCGCCATCGCTAACAAGAGTGCATTTATCCCTGTGAATAACACGCAGTGGTCAGCGGTTGACTTTACAGGAACCTGTTTTGGAAAGGCACTCAAAGAATGAGAGAGGGAAAGAAAACAAGTGCCATAGAACTTATATAACCTATCACTTTAATGTTGAAGCTATCGCGGGGCTCGTTTCCCACAATGCGATAATCCTGGTTAGGATCTGCACAAGACGTTGCATTTCACTACCGACTGTAACCTACGTGGCCCTCTTCCCCACTGAATATCAGTGGGGAGTCATGCAATGCGAGATAAATGATTGACCGCCCTCTTGAGGTTTTTTCTCTTTGCATCGCACAATTTTGTTTTCTCCCGAACCAACAGCCAAGCCATTGTCTCACATATAGTGCCTGTCTGATATACCTTCGATATGTCTTCGCCAAAGACACCTCGCTCGCCTGCGTCGCCTGAAGGCGCTCATGATCCAGCAGTGCGGCCTGAAGATGGCCCAATCGAACCTGTCAGCCACTACTTCAGCCCCATGTTCAAAGTCTGTCCCATCTCATCATGTCCTAATGCTTTGTACAGGACACCGATTCTGACTCTTCGTATTCAAAGTCGTAAGAGAAAATGAGTTCTGGAACTGAAGAAAGCTTGTTAACTTGGCCAAGGACTGGGGTCACCGATACCGAGTCGCTAAAGTCTTCGATTATGGAATACAAGTGGGTTCACGGCAGACGCTTCCATGCTTATGGTGACGGTACTTACTGGTAAGCGACGAACTTTAAAAGTCGGTTACGACGGATGTTAATCATCTTCTAGGGGGGCCAATGATGATCGCCAGCAAGAAGCTGAAGACTTGATGTACGTGCTGTCCCCATGCCTCACATGTCCGTCGGCTAACAATCTGTTAGTCATGAGTTGTTCCGTATTGTTCTTGGCGGCAAGCTTTACCAGGCACCTATTGGCAACAGCCCACAGGTTAGTCATGTCAACAGCCAACAGTCCGCAACTAACATGTAACCTACAGAACATCTTGGACGTTGGTTGTGGTACAGGGATCTGGGCCATGTAGGTTACTCCGCGAGGCATGATGCCTACAAGCACTAAAGCAAACAGTGACATGGCCGACCTGCATCCATCCGCCGAGGTCGTCGGTGTTGACCTCTCACCTATCCAGCCCAATTTCGTCCCTCTCAACTGCAGATTCGAAGTCGACGACATCAACAAAGAGTGGACTTTTCCAGAGAACAAGTTCGATTATATCCACATTCGTTACATGACAGGCACAGTCCCCAACTGGACAGAAATGCTTAAGAAAGTACAAAGGTACTTCCACCCAGCCAATAACCCGAAAGGCATTCCTGACCAAATTTACAGATACCTAAAGCCCGGCGGCTGGGTCGAGCACGTCGAACTCTGGGGTAACGCAATGGCCGACGACGGTACCATGAGCGAAGACTCCCCACTCAAGACATGGGTCAAGATCTTTGAACAAGTGGGGGAAAAGCTCGGCAAACCGTTCTTCTGGGATCCTGCAGAGGCGTTCCAGCAGGCTGGTTTGAAGAACATAAGCGAGAAAAAGGTCAAGGTGCCCATTGGTACTTGGCCGAAGAACAAGGATCTTAAGCAGTGGGGCGCTTGGAACAGACAGTTCTTGCTGCAGGGCCTGGAGGGGTTTTCTATCAGAGCTTTGACGGAGCTTTTGGAGGTAAGTGACTGAGTAAAATTGCGAAGATGATAATTGCTAATACTTGGGACTTGTAGTGGGAATACGAAAAGGCACAAGTCTTTCTGGTCGATATACGCAAGGAATTGCTAAACCCCAGCCTTCACTCATATGTCTTGACGTACGTATCCCTTGCCCATACCACGTCGCCTGATGTTAACCGAATTTAGAACTGCTGTTTGGGGTCAGAAGCCCGAAGAATAAATGCACAGTAATTACCACATAAACATAAGTAACAATGGACCACTTCATCTTTCACCCACCAGTGACTTGTCTTACTCGGATCTTGGGAATTTGATCCATAATGGGAACGATGACACCCACCTGGGGGACTTTATGATCCATCTCAGGAAACGGACAGTCGCCAACGACTTCCATATCATATCTCGTCACTAGAGTTGCAAGAAAGCACGGGGCCATCTGCCGTACAAGAAATCTGCCATAGCATAAGGCCGGCCCTCCACCAAACGGCTTGAACGTTTTTCCCGTAGCCAGCTTGGGATTGTCGATGAACCTGTTGATATCGAAGGTCTCTGCAGCTGGGACACAGATTTCTTTATCGATGTGTAACTGCCGATAAGGCATGATAACATCGCTGCCAGTCTTGAAGTTATAGCCTGCGATAGTGGTGTCTGATACCACGCGACGGAACCCAGATGCTCCTCCATGAACACGTAGTGTCTCATAGAACGTCGCGTTGAGCTTTGGGCACGTCTTTAAATATTCCATATCAGGCCCAGTGTCAATACCGTTTTCGAAAGCAGGAGCAACTTCGGCTCGGAGCTCTTCTAAAAGATTGGGCGTATAAACTGTTCGAGCTAAAAGCCAGAATGCAAGTATAGATGTCATTCCATTGATTCTAGTCTCATTGTTAGAGGTGAGTGTATCGGATTGCTGATTACTCACCCCCAGAATATCTTGAATTGCAGGGCTGCAATATCTCGAGAGCCGATACCATTCTCACGCATGACGTCTTCCCCTCTCAAAACAAAGGCCGCTACATCGCGTCTTTCGACTTGTGGCAAGTCAAAGTAACTGGCCAAATCATCAATAACAGCACCTTTGGCTTTGCGGCCTGTAGAAACAAGGAAATCCGGTAGCGGAAACACTATCTCCCAAGAATGATGTTCGAATATAGGAAATGTCACCAATATTTCGGGGACTCTCTGCAAGAGGACCTTTCCGAAGAAGGTGTTGGTTGAGGCCGTCATGATTATGTCGTTCGTAAATTTGAGAAGGCTGTACTTGTCTTCTTTTCCTGTCGTCAATGGACTACCAGTTTGTAAGACTAGCAGGGGAATGTTTGGAATGCTGCCAAAAGAAGTGCGTGGGGGAGATCTGGTGTGGATTTCAAAAGGATGCCGATTACCGATTGTCCTAAGGCCAAACCCATGTCACCGTGGAACGTTTGAGGTAGTGGGTTGTGGCTCAGTATACGGACTTATGAGTGGAGAGGTCCTCCAAATGCCGGGTTTGAATTGTCAAGAGATTATTTTGCGATAAGGTTCTTAGCTGCTTGTAAGATGTCGCATTCAGTCATTACTGTTGCTGCAGGGGTTGCTCATGAGGCAAGCACATGAGAAAGATTGAAGACATATTGTCTGATACAGAGGACTGATCATACCATTCATTACAGAGTGACAATTACGCTAACTTTAAACATCTATCAAGCCCTTTAGAGCTTCTTTCCCGACTCAATATCAGCGCCCGCAGTGTTGGTGTTGACGGGAGTGATCTCAACACCCTGAAGCTTATCGTCGCCGCGAGGGGGGACAACCTCGAACACTGTTTCAGAGTTAGCAATGATCTTGCACAGAATATGAGGAATAACTTACAGTCAACGGGAGTAGTCTCGAACTTGCGGGCGTTGGTCTTCTTCTGGAAGAGGTAGTCAAGATCGGCAAAGCTACGGTTCTTGGTCTCAGGAAGGAAGAAGAAGATCCAGATAGCCCAGATGAAGCAAAGACCAAAGTAGAACATTCCAGTCTTGGCTCCCCAGTTCCAGGCGTCGCTGCTGCTGTTGAGCATACGGGGGTTGAGCTGCTGGACGATGATCTGACCACAGACATAGACAGCACGACCGATGACAATGGTGTGGGCGCGGACACGGCTGGAGGCTGTCTCGGCGACGACGACGTAGGTAGTAGGGCCAAGGGAGACCTTGAAGATACACTGAACGACAACCAGGAAGGCAGCGGTGGTGATGGCTACACTGTCACCATCGGAGACGAAGCCGAGAATACCGATGATCAACATGCAAAGACCAATTCCGGAAGAACCGTAGAAGTAGAATGTACGACGGCCAACTCTACCCATGAGGGAAATGGCAATACCGGTGGCGAAGATGTTGACGGACTGGATACCCATGTTGTAGTTGAAAGCGTTTGTGGCGCTCATTCCAACAGACTTGAGCAGGATAGCAGCAAAGCTGGTGATGGATTGACCGTTGAGAATCTGGATGATCCAGGCCATGCAGACAATACCAGTTCGGCGAAGGTTGGTACCACGGAAACAGTCCATGAAACTAGCATCTGCAGCCTCAATCTTCTCCATCTCGTTGGTGTGCTTCATAAGAGCAAGAGTCTGAGCCATGGTCTCATCAGTGTAGTGGCCCTTGCGTGCAAGACGACGAAGGCTGTGCTCAGCCTCCTCGAGCTTGCCGCGTCGGACGAGGTACCAGGGAGACTCGGGGGCGAAGAAGGCGACGACCAGCAGAGGAGGAATCCACATCCACTGGAGACCGTAGGGAACGCGCCAGCCGGCATCGCCCTTAAGGTCGAGAGAGCCACGGAGGACACCGGTGGCCAAGAAACTTCCAGCTCCCCAGCACATGGAGACCCAGGCAGTAAGATATCCTCGGAGAGCGGCGGGGCAAATTTCGGCGGCGTAGGCGGTGGTGAGGGTCTGGAAGATACCCCAAGGGATACCGCAGAGGAGGTTACCTATGAGGAGCATTTCGACACTGGTGGCGAAGAAGAGGACGAAAATGGTGCAGGCCATAAGAGACATGGCGAACTAATAAGATTAGCTTCATTCTATTGTACCGATATGAAGAGTCAAAACATACCATGTAAACACGTCGAGAACCAAATCGCTGCTGGAGGAAACCGTTGAGCAAGAGACCGACGATAGAACCACAGTTGTTTCCAGCACCGATGGCACCCTGCCACTTTGTAGAAATATGTTGTTCGCCATTAGCATCGGGCCATCCGAAGCGCTTGAGGTAAGCAGGATGAGCGAAAAAGTTGTTGATGAGACCGACATCCATTCCCTCCATGACCAGGGCAACACTCAGAAGCATACTGAATGTCACGGCGGGCCAGTACCGGTTGAACAGCTCCTTCTTGGGGATGAGAGCCTCGGCATCACTGGCTGTGACGGCGGCTTCGATGAGCTCGACCTGAGAGTTGTTTCCCGAGTACTCGGTGTGGTGGACGGGCAGTTTTCCGCCGCCTTCCACGTGGGCGGGATCCTGAGAGGGCGCCATTGTGGATGTGAGTCAGGGAAGGATGAGAAGGAGGAAGGGAAAAGGGAATAGGATTAGAGAGAATGCTCAATGCAGATCTGGGGAAAGAAAAGAGAGAATGGAAGGGGGGAGGATATAGGATAGATATAAGCAACATAACATCTCTTTCTCCGCACTCAACCCAACATGGTGGACCTTGTCTGTCTGGCCGTCAAGAGAGCATCGTTGCCAAGATCAGTCGGACTTGACCAGGATTCTCGGTGGTATTTCCCCACGGGGTCCGCGAATCATCCCCCGCATGGTCAAGGGCGAATTGGATTCCCTGGATGGTTCGACTAGTATTGACCCGACCAAACCTGTTTAAGCCTAAAAGATTGCGTTTCGGGAAAGACAGGCCCGAGTCAAGACAGTAAATTTAACGTGTGATTCGAGCTAAATGTTAAATTTATGGGGGCTCCACCCCCAGAAACGGACGATGGGGGTTCCACAGCAACTCTGCGCTGCGGCTTCAATTCTGGGGTACGAGAGATGACATGGCCTTCAATCTCTACACAATATCTGCACAATATGGCATTTGGAGACAGGCGAGAGTCTTATGCATCGTGACTATCTGGAACAACATTATTCCTCTATCATCAACCCATCTATAGACGCAGCATCTCCAACTGGTCGAGTGTCTAGTGAGTGAGTCTTTATGACCTCGGCTAACTACGAGTCAAAACGATTGGTCAACAATTCACTACCTGACTCTCTTGGCCGACAGACCAGACTAAGCCTGGACTCGCTCTTCTCTCCGAAACCGTCACATGAACCAGCATCCTAGGAGACTCTGGTTGCCATGATACAAGACTATTAACTTGGCATGACCTGAAGCATTAATGAGAATGATACTGATGAACAACATATGACTCTGGCCAAGAATACAGAGAGAGTGGATTGGGCCGATAAGGTTATCAACCGGTACTGATGCCTGAGTAATTCACGGTACTCAACTGTGAGCCCCCATTGATCCATCCTCTTCCCCACAATGACAATGGGTCGACCCCAAAGTTGCCCGTCCGCTATTCTTCAGCGTCAAGCTTAATTCAACAGAGCACTGACAAAAGTGTGGCGACTAGTTTAGCTTGGCTCATCCGATGACAGACCGGTAGCGTAGCGTCGCCCTTTTTTCTCCTCATTTTTATGGCTCCGTCTCCCATCGGCGAAGCACTACGGCATTGATGACCGGTAATTGCCGGCCTCGAATATCGGCGTGGATCGGACATGGCGCCGATATCTCGTTATTATTTGACAGAGCTGAATAAATACAGTCTCATAATTCCATTTTGAACGAAACTAACGATTCATTGTTTTCAGCTCAAGAAGATGTTGTGACATTGTTCAAAGTGCCAATCAATCTGCTCGGTATCTCGGGCAATCTAGACGCGTTGATCTCATCTCCAACCGTTCTACTCGCACTTGAACAAATCACAGCCCAAGCCACGTTTGGGGTTCCAAGCCCCCAATCCTCTCAAGCCATTACCGTCAAATTGTATCAGCCAAGTAACCGTTCCAGGTGCTAAAGCGTCAATCACTGCACGTCCGGTCAAGGATTTTCCATCGCTTCGGTGAATTCCCCCCTTTTTGGGGTTACGCTGCCACCCCGCATTCCGGGGAACAGACCGTGTCACGATGATCCTTGTAGGGAAAGATTCTCATGATTTTACCCTCAATGAACCCGAGAGACTGGATCGTGAAGAGCCGTCACATGGGAACCCGCGGTTTCGGGAACCTAAGATACATCTAGACTGCTAGTTCGTGGATGACTGTCACCCTTCACCTGAATGCCAAGCTGCGGCGTACCTAGACACTAGCCATAACTTCGTGTCTCGGTGTTTTGGAGCCCGAGAGAGTTACTGGAGCACAAAGGATACGAGTACTGCTTGCATGTTCGGTTGCTCGGCTGTGGTCAAAGCTGCATTGCCATGTGGTCCCTTGAGCATCAGGGGACACTGACAGGCCAGATCGGATGCACGATACTAGTATAATTATTTCAAGGAGTAATTCCGGCTGGGGTACCATGGCCTTGACTGTCACTGATGCTTCTCGGTATGGCCCGTGAGAGTGTCAAGGTTACACTGCACCTGAGAGACCAGTGAACAGTTTGACGTCGAGCAGTACTGTCGCAACATTCGGGCAACCTTAGCGTGTAGTCGCTTTACCTCGAATCACAAGAGGAAACGCGTTCGATATGCATTCATTACCCAGAGAGTAGCTCGCTCTCCAATATGGAAATAGATAAGAACAGGAACAGGTTAACGGCTGAGGTCCCTGTTCACCGACACCTCATCCATCAAAAACACTGGATTCCTTGGTAGCGCTCTAATGTGATGTGACAAACCTACCAATGTCTGTAAGGTCTCGTCTCTTTCAGATGTCACAACGGCGGATAATGCGGCAAAGTTGATCATCTGTTTGTTCAATTTGCAGCCAAACACATTTGATGGATGAAGATTACCCCGGATTTACGAGATCTGCATCTCAACAGCCTGAAATGTAATGAGAGCGTGAGATTCGGTGGAATTGCAGGATTCCTCAACCTCGTCTGCATATGTGTGGAGTGTTGGCCAGGCGCCCCAATGATAAAACACGGGCTGTGGCACAGTCGCGAGAGAGTTAACATGATGAACTGAAAGGATGAAAACAGTAAAACATTCGAGGAATTCGCTTAGGAAGCATTAACATGGATGGTTTTCTGGTTTGGATTCAAATGGATGTGGAGTTTTACAGCCAACTCCATGTTTTTGTTGGCAGTCTTCTGGTCTTGGTTTTCTATCCTGACCAGGCTTTTCGCATCACCATTATCACGTCGCTGGAACGCGTCACCGTATGAAACCAGAAGGGATATAGGATTGTATATGTATAAGAGATAATTGTGAGCCAGCTCAGACACAGCAAGACGAGGTTCTTGCTGTTTTGTTGCTGTATTCATTGAGCAACTGTGACTATTTGATGACATGTAGGGTAGCCTAGGTATAAGCACGTGACCGGAGGTTGTCGCGTTGTGAGTTAAGTGATTGAGCATCTTCGTCACGCCATGACGTACCTTATTTAGCGATTTATTTCTGGTTTACGCAGCCAATCTCGAAAATACGTACACTCGCTCGAATCTTCTGAGAAAGATCCCTCGAATTCTGTGGACAACGGCTGCGCGACTGCTGGAAACTCGTTGCTTCGCTCGACCGATGTGAAGACGCGCCGAGACCACAGCGATTGCGGTAGACCCTGCCCTGGAGCGACTCGCCCACAATCGATACGGCTGGTGCAGACGAGCCCACGTACTGGACACGCGACGCGCTCTTGTTGCACGCCGTCAGCAGTCGCTCTTGTTCAGCTACCGCCGCGAGCAAGTTGAAGAGCACCTAGCCACCCGCACCATCCCGAGCGCTGTCGCAAACGGCTCATATTCTACCTTGTCCTCAAATGTCGACGTTCAAGCGACGTGACCCCCCGGAGCTCACTCGACCGAACTCAACACACAAGCCCTCCTTGTTCGCGACGTCACCATCGCCGACCGGCTCTCAATAACCTTTCCACGCGAAAGCCACGCGCCCCATACTGCAACAGTGGCGTTCCCGGCGATTCGTATCGATGTTAATAGCGTGCAGCCCACGAGGCTCGCAGCCAAACAGCACCCGTCCTCTACACTACGCCGCTGCCATGTCGATCGAGTACGAAGTACAAACAATTGGTATGAGTGCAACGTCGGACGATGGTGCACTCATGGTAGCCAGAGGCGAAGGACCATCGCTGCTGAGATGCTGTCCACGGCGGCCGCGTTGAAGCCTGCTATGGTTAATCCGCTGGCGGAGAAGCGACCCTGTCTAGCCTCCGCTCTCTGGTGGCCCCCCAAATGTTGCGACGATGGCATCGTCTGTACCCAGCTCCATCGCACGTCGCCCGTCGCCTTTCCAGGTCGCCGTCTCGTCACTAGGCTGGTGTTCGCATACCTTCGTGTTGTGGATTGTCGCATTGACGTAGGACCATATGCGCTCCTCTCCAACACCGTGCTAAACGTATTGTAGCGTGTGATGCTGTCCTGCTGCGCTACTGTCGCACATTGAGCTCTTCCATATCCTGTTCCTCCAGCATGATCCTTTTGCTGACAGTAGCACCTCACTCGCCGTGTCGCCCATCCGTCCCTCGTGTCCGTAACCTTCCCCCCAGACCAGATCATCATGTCATGACCATATCCTCATTCCAAAGCAGCGCGTTCACTGCCAGATCATCCCCGTGATAAAGCTGCACATACATCCTGATAGCCGGACACTCCACTCTCGCCCTCAGTTCGATCCACCAGATGCTCCGCCCTGCCTTGCGATACCACAGATACAGTAGCAATAGAGCCACGGGATCTCGTTTGAGTAGTAGTGCCTTGTAAGCACCGCCGAGTCTATGCGTGAACAACTGCGTATGCCCTGTTGTGACTTCGCTATCAGGTAGGTTGAGCACATGCGACACAGCGTGCGCTGCATAGAAGTAAGGGTTCTCATCCGCTGTAGAAAGGTCGTGTAGAAGACAGATCTCGATGATTGGCTCTGGTATACCGCGTGTCCCAACTTCGGGCAACGGTGACAGCATTTGATCAAACGTCACTCCCATAACATGGAATAGACTATCCACTCGCATTGGCTCGACCAGCTGCCATAGTGACATCTTGCCGTTGATCATGGTCACCCACTCCAAGTCATCGTTGCCAGAGGACTTCATGGGCCATGAATCCTCCGGCCTGTATGCGTCGGGCGATGAGAACGTTAGGACAGCCAAGGCAGCAGCGGTACCCCAGATCGGGTCTTTGTCTTTCGTCTTGACGGGCCGTCGGAGTTTGTCGTTGAAGAGGGCTGTGCTTTGGGACCAGTGGTAGCACTCTTCTAGACTTCGACGCGAACCTGTTGTTGTGTTCAGGTAGCGATCATACGTTAGTGCCACTGCTAGGGAAGCGTGCATCAAACATGGATACTGGAAGAGTCAGGTATCAGCAAAAGCCGATTGATGAATGTCTAGGACCACTTACAGTAAAGGTCAACTTGAACAAACTCTGGTTCACCTTTAACATATTCGGATCATCAGGCGTAAGAAGACTCCGTGCATAATATCGAGTGACAAAGTCCTGGCACTTGGCACTCAGTTGATACCTCGAGAACTCATCCGATGTCCAGACGGCATTTGTTATAGAAGGCCGAAGTGCTGGTTTGCTTCTAACCAAAGACCTGCCAGGATCGGAAGTCATAGGCTGTAAGTCTGGAACATTGAAACCGAAATTGCATAACACCCCGAAAGAAGTACACATATTGCAGCGAGGCTTACTCTCATCGCACTACAAGCAATCAGTCTTCCGCTCGTGATACGGGAAAGGGGTTCCACGACCTTGACTTTTCGTAGCTTACAATTCCGGCACCCATGTCTCGACCTCCGCGCCGGTTTAAACGCTCGAGCTTCCTTTTTGGCTTCCACGTGCATGGCTGCTGTTGCGTGAATTACTGTGTCCTTTATTGTTGAGAGAGAATGAAGAGATGTAAGCTGCAGCAGCAGGTGGAGACGAAGATATTCCTTCAGTTCCACTTTGTTCGATACGCTAACCTCGTCTCGCCAAAATAATCTTGGACGCTAACCATCTCACGGAAACAGTCAGCGCTGATTGGCTCATGTATATCTGGGATCGATGGACTTAACATACAGAAAGTCCGTTGTGGGCGAAGAAGGCAGGTATAAAGAGGATGAGGTATCCGGTCTAATTGATCTTCTTCATCTTATACATACCCGGAAAGTCTTCTTAACGTACCTTCTTACCCATATTACAATGACAACCCATCTCGCTGCCGTCCAAACGGCCAAAGGCCAACCCTTTGAGATACAATCCCGTCCCACACCAAAGCCAGGACCAAATGAACTGCTTCTCGCCGTCAAATCTGTGGCTTTCAATCCAGCCGATGCCATCATGCGCAGTACAGGACTTTTCATTCCCACATATCCTACCGTGTTCGGCTTCGATATGGCAGGCGTCATTCTCGAAGTCGGCGACAACGTCCCATCCGATGCTGGCTTTCAGACAGGTACTCGTGTTGTTGCCTACTCTGCTTCAGCTTGGAGATCTTGCGCCCCAGACTATGGCGTCTTTCAGGAGAAGTGTCTTGTCCCTTGGCAACACGCTGTGACTCTTCCAGACGAGAGTATGTCGTGGAATCATGCTGCGACGCTACCTGTTTCTGTCCAAGTACCCCTTAGTGCGTGGGATAAGATGGGTATTGCGAGGACGGAAGAGATCGATGCATCATCAGACAAGGCAGCCGAGAAGAATGAGGTTCTTCTTATCTGGGGCGCATCTTCGAGTGTTGGCACGATGGGCGTGCAGTCAGCACGTGTCATGTGTCAGGATCCCAACTCTCCCTTTGCAGCTGTCTATGCCACAGCTAGCTCAGCAAACCACGAGTATATCCGCTCACTTGGCGCCGATCGCGCGTTCGACTACAAAGACCCTGGCGTGGTTGATGCCATGATCTCTGCTGCCAGAGACGACGGCTTGACCATCCGACACTGCTTCCTCGCTATGGGAGACCTTCCCTCATGTCAAGCTGTCCTCAAACCATTCTCCAAAGATAGAGGACAGAAGGGAAAGATAGTCTCAGCACCAAGATTGCCAGAGAGCATTCAGGATATGGAAGGAGTAGATGTCATGTTTGTGATGCCGTCAATGGTGGAGGAAGAAAGGTTGGAACAATTTCGGTACTGGATGGGCACGTGGTTAGGCAAGAACCTTGCGAAGGGATCCATCAGGCCGAGCCCCGAGCCAAAGGTTGTTGGAAGAGGGCTAGAGTGCATCAATGAGGCAACGGACAAAATGGCTGAAGGCGTGAGTTGTGCCAAGTTGGTAGTTGAGATTAGTCAATAATTGGTTGAGTTGATCCACTGGCGTCCATGCAATAACTTTCCATCGCGTGACAATCGTGAAAGGGATAGATGCGGCTCAATGCTACCGTCATATCGTTCCGGTGTCGCGCAGAGTATTTCTCAGAAGAGCATAAGTAACAACTCAAGTGGAATTAATACTGGATCAGAGACTATCCCTGCAGCCCTGCCTGTAGCGAGAGAACCATGGTGGGGACATCAAACGCTTCTGTCAGACATTCCACCACCACTCCATATTATACACTATTGATGTGACAATTGCATGGACAGGGCGCATCTAGATCTAGTTTCATCAAATACAATTTCTGAAGCCTATGGCGGATTAATTTTGAAGTCATGCGTTCTAATTCAACGGGTTCCCCCGCAGCTGGTTCAACGTCATGTCAGCCACATCCCCTCCCATTCAGCAACAAAGTTTCCAGAAGCAGTGATGACGACTACTTGTGTTAAGCTTAATTCCTCAATTATCATTTTCATGTCTTCTGCACACCAACTCAAGACCTGTGTGTGTGCACAACTTGTCAAGCCTAAATGATAGGTTCATTGTCAATTCAGCTTCTGCACTCTTTAAATCGAGATGGTCCAACAGCGTTGCATCTTGTCCGGCCTTGTCCAAAACGAACAACAATGATACTAACTCGAACAGGAGTAGATCAGCAGTTTCTGCTCGTGATGGTCTTCTTTCAGGACTAGTTCGTCCCGGCGCAGTGGTCAATGCGTCTGGAGAGAATTTGAAAATCCGGGGAGCTTCCTGCTTCGTCGGACCGACATCTCGGGCCGACAAGATGAATCCAGAGCGTTTTCACCAGAAGCTTCATCGTGAACTTCATCGTCTGACTAGAAAATAACGATGTTGTCGGTCCGATAGTCCTTTTTCTTAGCAGTTGAAGCCATCACAAGACTCGCTCCTTGGCGGAGATGAGCTGAGCCATAAGTCTTTCGATGTTATGTCTCTCTCGTCGGACCGACGACACCTCTGATGGCTGTTTGACTAGACTCCTCTTGGCATTTGCCCCTGGCGCCCCCAGCTTCGAACCTTCAGAACGTGGAGAGACGTCCCAATCTGGGGTTAAGCATAAGAATCCCCAGATTCCCCAGCTTTCTTGTCAATCTCATCCTCAATCCCATCCTCTTCTTCCCCATCCTCTTTTCCTGGGCTCCTTGAGAACACCTCTTTGTCTCAATCACCCCCTTTCACAATGTCCCCTTCACCAAAGGACAACATGGCTCAGGTTGAGCACATCGACCCTGACTCCAAGATGGGCTTCGACGAGGTTGAGAAGCCCGCTGCGCGCGAGGCCAACGATCGCGAACACACTCTTACCTTGAGGGACAGTTTCCGCTTGTACCCCAAGGCCATTGCCTTTTCCCTCCTGTTTTCGACAGCGATTATCATGGAGGGTTATGATTTGAGTCTTCTTGGCAGCTTCTACGGTTACGATGCGTGAGTAGCCCCATACCTCTACATCTTCAAAGCTAATCATGTACAGGTTCAAGCAAAAGTTCGGTAACGAAGTCGATTCGAACGGAAACCCAATTATCTCAGCAGATTGGCAAACATATATCCAAGTCGGTGGCATGTGCGGTCAAATCATCGGTCTTTACATCAACGGTTGGGTCTCTGACCACTTCGGTTACAAGAAGACCATGATGGCATCTCAGATGCTCATGATCGGCCTCATCTTCTTCCCCTTCTTCGCTCCCAACCTCCAGGTCCTCCTTGCCGGAAACATCCTCCTCGGTCTACCATGGGGTATCTTCCAGACCCTCACTCTCGCCTACGCTTCCGACGTCGCTCCCGTTGTCCTCCGTCCTTACCTTACTGCCTATGTTAACCTTTGCTGGGTCATCGGTCAGCTCATCGGTGCTGGCGTTCTTCGAGGGTTCAGTACCATGGGAGGTGACTGGTCTTACAGAATCCCTTTTGCTCTGCAGTGGCTTTGGCCTCCGTTCATCATGCTCGGTACGGTGTTCGCTCCTGAATCTCCTTGGTGGCTTGTCCGCCAGGAGCGTTACGAAGATGCTAAGCGATCTATCCTTTCGCTTGTCACTCAGTGCGAGGTCCCCTTTGATGCCGATGCCCAGGTTGAGCTTCTCAAGGCCACAAACCAGATGGAGAAGGAGAACTCTGCTGGAACCAACTACTGGCACTGCTTCATGCGCAGCGATCTTCGACGAACTGAGGTCGCTTCCATCACCTACACTGCCCAGGCCCTTTGCGGTAGTGCTCTCATGGGATACGCCGTCCAGTTCTACCTCGAGGCCGGTCTTTCATCCGAGCAGGCTCTTAACTTCAACGTCATCCAGTACTGTGTCGGCGCTGTTGGTGTTGTTCTCTCCTGGTTCTTGATGTCCCGCTTCGGCCGTCGCGATATCTACATCTGCGGCATGGCATCCCTCTTCTGTATCCTCATTGCTGTCGGAGCCCTTGGCTGTGTCAAGAAGACCCAGAGCACCGGTTGGGCCATTGGTAGCTTGCTCATCGTCTACACCTTTGTCTACGACATGACCATTGGCCCCATTGCCTACACCATCGTTGCCGAGATCTCATCCACCCGTCTCAAGGCCAAAACCATCGTTCTTGCACGCAACTTCAGCAACATTGCAGGTCTTGTTACCAACACTCTCATGCCCCGCATGCTTGGCCGAAACTCTTGGAACTGGGGTGCCAAGACTGGTCTTTTCTGGGCCGGTTGGTGTCTTCTCATCTTCATCTGGGCCTTCTTCCGCCTTCCCGAGCCCAAGGATAGAACTTATGGTGAGCTCGATCTTCTTTTCGAGCACAATGTTCCTGCGCGCAAGTTCGCCAAGACCAAGGTTGATCAGTTTCCCACTTCTGGTTCCACCGAGAAGGTTCAGGAGCTGTGATTAAAATACGGGTTGAGGTGTTAGTAGTATTTATCAGACTTCGATAGATGAGTCAACAGGGTCCTTTTATGAAATAAAAATAATTCAATGAACAATTCTTTTCGTCAGCTGATAACTATAGTGATTGAGTTCTGCCAAACGTTATTCTGCCCGGGGCACCAATTAACTTACATCTAAACCTTGATGCCTTGCGCCTCTATAAATATTTCCCTAGTTCCTTTAATCAACACACATATTCATTCCCCTTTGTAACTGATGGACCTCTACTCAAGAACAACCCAAGCATTCAGCTCAGTGCTGAATGATTACATAAACACGCTTACCCCATACGGTACCCATAAAAACCACTCATTCCCTTACGTCAGTGGGGCACTAGTCACTCTTCCCCCCGTAAACACACCACAAGCGTCGCGCACACACCATCTGTCAGCCCAGGACAGAGACCAAGACCCTCCCTCAGCCGATATCGATATCCCTTCACTTGGAAACCTCAGAATACACTGTACTATACTCTATCGCCTCGCCATCATGGTCGCGATCCACCCTCCTCATCATCACGGCGCCCCGACCGACGTGCTCGCTCGCTGTCCCGATCTTCTCATCGTCTCCATCCTCGAGACACTCCCCAAGCATGACCTCTGCAGCGTGTCGCGTCTTAACAAGCGCTATCATGCTCTCGCCGACGCTGTCCTATACAACACAGTGCAATGGCTCAAGCCAGAGCTGCACCTCATCTTTAGTCAATCACTCACTCGACGACCCCGTCGCGGTTCGGCGATTGAGGAAGTCAAGCTAGCATACCCAGCATCAGAGCTGACACGCCTCATTTCGAATACTCAAGAACGCGGGACCATGAACGGCGTATCTCAAACAATAGCCACAATGTCGAATCTGAAGACGCTCGACATCGCTGTTCCGGTCGCGCTTCTACCCAGCATAGGCAACCTATTCAACGGCCCGTTCGATCTCGCTTGCTTGCAGTCCTGTACCCTGTTCTACCAGGATGAGGATGATCAATACTGGGATCTGCATGAGAACCTCCATATATTTACACACCCTACCCTCGAGACGCTCGTTATTAAGAGGGCAAAGCTGGACGATCGAGGATTCGAGATGCTCGAGCAACCGCACAACACGGCTTTGAAGACGCTGCATTTGATAGAATGCGATATTAACGACGATACCCTATCCGACGTTTTAGCTTTTCCTGAAGCCTTGAAAGAGTTTGTTCTTACGCAAAGAGAAGAGCCCGAGCCCGAGCTTGAAGAGAGCTCAGCCAGCATCCGCGACTATATAATTGCTCTTCAAGAGCAGTGCCATTCGTTAGAGACTATCACGATCGACTTCCCAATGCTCGCCAGCAGTAGACCTTTGGCGCTTCGGGAGTACGCGTGCCTCAAGACATTACGACTGAACTGGGACTATCAGCTCTTTGGAAAATCGACAAAGAAGCCACGGATGGCCTCCGTCGGCCTACCACCCGAATTAGAAACCTTAGAATTCTTCAATCCCTTGGGTACGGATGAAGAAGTCACAGATTTATTGGCAAACGCGATATCAAGTCTGCATATCACGTGTAGAAAGATGAAGGAGTTAATTGTTCTTGTGGAAGAGACGGAAATACCGAAAGATGTGTTGGAGGCCATCAAGTCACAACCACAGTTGCATTTGAGTGTTATAGGGGGTGAAGAAGATAGAGATGACCCTGAATGAGGTTGGATAGACTAGATTCATTTTGGATACTCGTTATACTGGATAGAACATTTAATCACGATACGTATGAACAGCGAATACATTGCCTTGCACTGGACATTCACTGTCAATACAGACGAATAGCTGACTGATTTCCTGTCAGTGGCATAGACATTCAATCATAATACCTGGAAGCAGCGAACAAACTGGCACTGCCATAGCGATTCACGTAAATGACAGTGCCACCTGCGCATATAAAGATAGATCGTCCTCGTACTTCCTTCCTCCCCCCAACTACACAACACCAAACATCAAACATCAGACACCAAACATCAGACATCAAGCATCAAACATCAAAGCCAGGAAGACAACTTATCCCCTTCAACATTGAACGATTCTAACTAACCAACATGTGTTACCTCAACGACGTCCACATTGCTTGCCCAACCTGCAACAACGAAAACAAGGCATCGCCCGAGTACGAAAAATGCTCCGCGGCCCTAGACAAGGGAAAGGTTTGCGAATCTGGGTACAGAAAGCGAAAGCTTTTCCGCAAAGGCGAGGAATGCACGAAGTGCGCCAAGATCCGGGAGATGAAGGATGCCGCGGCGGTCAAGTTGACCGAGGAGCTTCGAGCCAAGGGATATGATGTTTAGCCTTCACTGGATATGATGTCGAGTCATCTCTGAATGGCAAGTTGTCGAGATAGCTACCGGTTTCTTTCAGGACAGGCACTTGATGCAGGATGTTCTTTTAGTGCCGAATGGTCCCAGGTCTGAATAGCTGGGTGACTATCCTCTTTACATAGTCAATATACAAAGGCTTGAGCGGAACAAACGGTTCATATTGATTGTGAAAGTGATAGATGTTTTACTAACATTGTTCTTAAAGTACAAATCTCACGACGATACAGATGGTGAAACAGATGGTTCTTTCCTACTGATACCAACTGGGTGCCTTATGATGGAAAGGTTTCAAGCCAAAGGTTGTCGTGACTCGTGATTCGAACGTAAAGCCCACTTCATAATGAGCGATATTGGAAGTCCAACATTGCTGTCATAATCTTCTAATATATAGCACAGGGAGGTCGCATCTCCTGTAACACAGTAACCTATGTGACCCGAGCTGTTGTGAGAGGGGACTGGCTGTCCGTTGGCTAGAGTACATAGTGTTCTATGTTGAGTTGGTAAAGCATACTTAGTCAGCGGGTTTAGCTCAGTTGGGAGAGCGTCAGACTGAAGTCAAACTTCAATCATTCGTTATCTGAAGGTCGTGTGTTCGATCCACACAAACCGCAAACCTTATACTTTTTACGTTTTTCTTGAAGAAAGTTTTACTTTCAAAAATATTTTGTTCCATACTCTTCATTCAACCGAAATGAATGAAACTGTCTACTCTTGGCTCTAGAGATCTTCTATGATTCGAGGTGGATGTTCTTTGGAACAGTCCCAGCCATATAAGAGACAAACAGCCAGGTCCCCAACCAAGCAAGCTCAATCTACTAGGTATGTCTTAGACTATAGAGTTTTAAAAAAGTTACAAGTCGATTCTTGTTGCAGATCGGGTGGACTATTCAATGTAAACGCATCAATCAATCTTCGCTTTTGGGCTGCTGCCCACTTTGCCATTGATTTATTCTCATGTTTTGAAACACCGTGTGTCACTACCTATAATTACCCAAGCTCCGCTGATGTTCACCTGTAATATTCTGTAGCCATGTCAACGTGTTATTGAAACATACATCCTTTCGTGCGACGGAGGTGTCATTCATGAGCAATCCTCGGCCGTGATGATCAGTCCAACTCGGTATGACAAGACCCATAACCCGATATAGCTGGAACATATGAGTTGCATGATGCACCATAGCCCATCTACTTCCCGTATACCAATAATCTTTATGCCCGAGTATTCTTTAGATCGGTACATCGCGACCTTGATACGTACTGCCCATTTTGACCTCCGATGGTCCTCTGCTTTGCATGGGTGCGTCGCTACCCACCTATGAGATAGATGCGCATTACACCTCATGACATTCCGCTGGTTCACTTGAGCATCTAGGCTAGACGCCGCTGTTGTTTAATCCTAACATTTATATCGGCATCCATAAATTTAAACACATAGCGAAGAAAAAAAAAAACAAGTTAGGCACCCGAGTCCTCGAAGTATAAATGCAATTGTTGCTGCAGGGACTAGGTACCTACAGCACGCTAGTTACAGGGCAGTACCACAGTGGAGTAGGGGAGATTTTTCAGGCACAAGATGGGGCCAGCTCAACCTTAATTTTAGCACCAACAGTCTAGAGATGATGTCCATGGACCGTGGCAGGTGGATGTCAAAAGAATTGTCCTCTAGAGCTTAGGCCACAGAAATAAAGCAGTCTAAGTGCTGGTCTAAACTGGCCTAAAATGACCAAGTTATTTCGTCTCTTATGCTCCCTGGGGTCAAGTCTTCTGACACCCAGAGGCGTGGGTTCAATGTTTTTACCTTCCCTCCAAGTTTGCTTTTCTTTTCTATTCTTTTCTGTATACTTTTTGTACCGAGAAGGAGCGATTGCCGTAGTATGATTACGAACCTTTCTGAGCCCCACCTTCCAGTCGCGACGTGACGTGACGCGATGTCTGGTGTGACAAGCACAGAAAGCCGTCAGGGCGTCAGCCGCCGAGAGCCTCAGAGATGAAATAGTTAGGTCACTTTACTCTAGGTTTAGACTAGCTATCAGGCCACTTTATTTTAGTAGCCGAAATCTATGGAAGGACAATCTGTCTGTTACCCACCTGAAAGCCTCCAGCTATCTTGACTTCGCTCATAACAAACAATCATTTTCGCATCTCCTCTTTACACTACTATTTACTCAACTCCAGCACAAATATCTTACAAAAGAAGGCCGAGAGTCAATGTTCAGTTTACAGCATGAATGAAACACCAACAGAACAACGTGCCAAAACGGCAGCACCCGCATTACCACAACAACAGCCAGCGCCCCCTTCTCAAGCACCATCATGGTCGCCATGGGACTGGTGGGCCAATACAGCAGATTACGGCGCCGTGAGTTCATCCCAATCACCTTCATTCTCATGTATATTAATATTATTTCATAGACCATTCGAGCATTCTTGTCCCTGGTTTCCCGAGCGACGAATGCAGAGCATGCTGAACGACTATTCCAACATGAATTCGCAAAATTTGAACTGGCGGGCACTCGGATGATCCTCCTCCACGAAATCATCAGACAATGCCCCGGCCATGACCTCCATAGATTAGCCTCCAACACCCTGATGGGTTGGAACAACCCTCCTCCTGCACCACCGCGGTCATTGTCTACCCCTATTGATCCAAGTTTGCAAGACACGAATAGCGGATTGGCTATTAACAAGCGGATACCCTACTACGAGATGGGCCGACCGGCCACCCAAACACGGGCTCTTGACAGGCGAAGTAGTGCTCCAGCTGCCAGTGGCTCGACCCATCCTGAAGTCAGCAATCAGCGAATTGCCAATCATCCGGTCGCAGATGATCTGATGCGTGACAGAGAAGAGAGCGATCCATTTGCAAACCACAAGGTCAGCTTCAGTCGTATCAACAAGAGAATCGAGGCTGCTGTGGAGGCCGAGGATCACGCCAATAGGACTATAGGCGACGGCGAGGGCTTCATGCCCATGACAGACGGCCTTGACGAGAATGAAGAATCCGGCGGCGACGACTCATCTCCCGATGTCGTACCTGTTCACGACGTACCCATGGACGACCTACCTGTTGACGACTTATCTCTCAACGATCCACCCCCGGAAGACCCAACACAGAACGAAACAGATCCTCAAGAGAAACCTGCCGATACAAACCCACAGTCGCCTATGATCACAAACGAAGCGGTACCATCACGGGGTAGCAAACGCACACACGACGAGATGACTGGCAACCCATCCGCTGCATTCAGGAAGTACAAGGATCTCGTCGCTCAACTACAAAAGGGGGACCTGAAGATTCTCGAAGACAACGCTAATAAGGACCTTGCGCAAGCGGAAGCGGACAAAGCCGCCGCGGACCGCGCACTGGGTGTGTTGGAAGGGAGAGCTCAAGCGCGACCAGACGACCTCCCCGACAATTCAGAAGTTGAGAGAGCCCGTAGTCGAAACGAAAAAGCAGCACAGGCTGTGACGGGAGCAAAGAAGCGTGTCACCGCGCTAGGTCATATTGAGAGAGCGCGCTGGCTTCACGAATCCTGCTTAGAGGCGAAGGATTACAGACGCAAGATGCAGGAATTGCTGAATGAGAATCAGGAGAAAATTACGCAGATGGAAAAGGCATATCATAAAGCTTTTACCTTTGCGCTAGATGAGTACTGGGCGGGCTTGATTGCTGCTGAGCGGGCGAGGCAGAGCAATTGATAGACCAAGCTCTGACAGCTCGGTGGATACGGCGTTATTGGCGATAGTTATACCCTGGAAGGTCTTCGATTACTACTGTTTTGTCGACTTATTCTGTGCCAACATACGCGGTATCTGATCACGAGACCGAATGGTTGAATTGAAAAATGAAGTGTAATTAGTATTCGCTCAGGTAGCTTTTTCTTGGTGGTTGGTAGCCAATCAGCTCACTGAAGCCAGCACGTGGGACCAACCACCACTACTTGGCATCCATAACAATTAATTAATTTTCGTTGTCCAGATCCTTTTCTCATCCTTTGCAATCTCATCTCAAGACTCAAAAATGGACAAATACATTGAGCCCATCGTGGAATGGGTCGTGGCCGCGGTCAAGGCCCAACCTTATGTCTGGTGTGCAGCTGCTCTCACCTTTCTCATCGGCGTCCAATTAGCCCTGGCAGCCAGCATTGCCCATGGCGATGAAGCGACGGTTCGCAGACAGCTTACTTCTCTTCAACGTGTCGACATTACTGGAGATACCAAAACTGAAGGAAAGCGCCAATTGATGGCCGTCACTCCAGTTGCTGGATGCGCCCCGGTCAAAATTGACGCAGATGCTCATCCGGATGGCCACATGGCGTATAACAATATCTACATGCTCGGGCTGGAATCTACAGACACAGATGGTCAAGGCTACACAATCTGGAAATCCCTTACTCAACAAGACAAGTCCGACCTCTCAAAGATGAAAACCGAAATCTGGATCCCCAAACCCAACGCCAACGAAACTGATCCACTGGTCAAATCTGGCGGCTGCATCATCATGTCCTTCCCAGATCCCAGCATCCCAAGCTGGTTGAATATGATTGGGGGCTACACTGCGACACCACAAGTTGCGGCTATCTTACCTTTGAAGCTTTCGGAGGAGGAAATTCAGGAGCATAAGATCAAGATGAGGCCTTTTCGAATTGATGGAGAGGATGGGAAAGGATTGGATTTGGAGAAGTTGCCGGCTGTTGATGATGTTATGTCTAGACTGAGGCTGTTTTTGGGTGTCAAGGACGTGAAGGGTAGAAAGGGAATTCCGCAGGGTCTCACGGTCGTCAAGCGCGGTTAGACAGGGACGACAGGTTGGCGTGACACTCATAGATGGAAGACATCTTATTCAATCTATTACTATACAGTCGGGACTCTTATTTGACTTGACATCTGTTTCGCTCGACCAAATTGGATTACTCGTGTCCAATGAGCCAGTCCAAATCCGCATCAGGAGCTCAGCTTGGCTATGTCCTCCTCAAGCCTTTCCCAAGCTTTAGGCAAAAGGGTTCCCTCAAACCAATAATTACCACCATGGTCCTTCCCCTTAATAATTACCATGTTCTTGGACATGAAGCTCTCCTTAGTAGGAGCAACAGAGGCTTGTGTCATCTGACCCAAAGCATTTTTCCTCCCCAAGCTATCATCACCTCTTTTCAAGACAGCGGCACTAAAGTCCGGTTCCTGCGTCAGATACGCCTTTGTCCAGTTCTTTTCAACGATCAAGAGCATGTTCGGTTCACCGATTCTTCCGGTACCATTGAATAAAACTATACTTCCCTGTAGCTTTGTGGTTACTGTAAAGATGGAAATTCCTGATATCTCTATCTATCATGCAAATCGTTGCAATTATGACGTTCAGCCATGTACAGAAGGCCCAGACAGGACTAACACGAACTGTAGCGCTACAATCGATTCGATTAGCTCTACCCAGGATAAACAGCCATTGGCTGGTGATAACTATGACAGGCGCCCAGAATCGTCATCTATCCGGCGAAGAACAAGATTTTGGTCTGTTTCCCCTCCTTCTATCATGACCAAAGGCCTGCTTGACTTTGATCAATAGTATATATCTGTGATACTCTCCGCTGTCAACTTGGGATAATAAAGTGAGTCTCCTTTCTCCATCTTAGGAGGATCGTACATGTAAGATCTGATTTCATCATGACTTCGAAACTGCTTCCTGTTATTGAGAAGGTTCCTCTCAAGTCGGGCTCTCAGGATTATGAGAACCTCCGAACATCCATCTTGGAAGAGTTTGCCAATACAGTCCCACAAGATTTACATCTTCCAAAGGATCTCATCGACACTCCTCCCAGGAACGTAACCAATATCCCACGAACGTGCGGCATCCTCACTGAACAAGAAATCGATATCACCGAGAACTACGATGCAACAGCACTTGCCGCAGCCATCGCATCCAAGAAGTTCTCATCCGTGGCCGTCGTCACAGCGTTTGCTAAAAGAGCAATCATTGCGCATCAGCTCACATGCTGTTTGACGCAGTGGTTCATGGAGAAGGCTGTTTTGACAGCTCAGCGCTATGATGACTATCTCGAAAAGACGGGCAAAATTGTTGGTCCTTTGCACGGCGTCCCGATCAGTATCAAAGAACATATGCCGATTAAGGACCAGTGGTCCAATGTTGGGTTTTTAAATGCACGGGTTTTTGACAGGGACGATTGCCAGATGACGGAGATTCTTCGCAAAGCTGGAGCCATCTTCTACTGCAAGACGAACCAGCCTCAGGCTATTATGCATCTCGAAACTACATCGCCTTGGGGCCGAACGTTGAACCCACATAACATCAACCTTTCGTCAGGAGGTTCTACTGGAGGTGAGGCTGCACTTATAGCTCTCCGGGGCTCGGTCTTGGGTGTTGGAACAGATATAGGTGGCAGCGTTCGTGGTCCAGCTGGGTTCTGCGGTATCTACGGCTACAAGACCACTTCATACATGTTTCCTCAGAAAGGCTTTCTTCCTGCTGGGTTCGCGGCGGAGCTTAATGTTCTTTGCTCGGCTGGACCTATGTGCACTTCACTACGGGACGTTGATCTGATGATGTCCATCATCTCAGGTTCCAAACCTTGGCTTAAGGATCCACGACTTATTCCCATTCCTTGGACGGGCAAACTGGCCGAGAAGAAGCCTCTCAAGATCGGCATCATGATGAATGATGGTGTCATCACTCCACAACCTCCAGTCACGAGAGCCCTCGAGTGGGCAGTCAGCGAACTACGCTCTAAAGGGTTCGATATCAAAACTTTCCAGCCCTGCGGAGCGAAGGACGCAATGGATGGTATTCGTCGCGCATACTGGCCCGACGGCGGTAAAGCGGTCAGAGAAGCTCTAGAAGCCAAACAAGAGCCAATGCACGATTTGACCCAGTGGATTCTCAAAGACGCCGAAGGCCCAGGCTTAGACGCAGCGGGTATTCTCAAACTTCGATTAGCCCGCGATGACTTCAGATGTCGCTTCGCAGAGCATTGGGAGGCCCAGGATGTTGACTTTGTCATATGTCCAGTTTTCGTTGGGCCAGCATGTTCGCATGAAACAGCATTCTACTGGAACTACACTGCGTTTTGGAACTATGTAGACTATCCTGGTATTGTTATTCCTACGCCTATCAAGGCTGGTGCGAAGGGTAGCGAGGATTATCCTGCTGATAGTGCACCATTGAGTAAAGATGAGGAACATGTGAGGAAGTTATGGGCTGAGGGGGATTTTGAAGGTGCGCCGATTAATTTGCAGGTTGTGGGGAGGAAGTATCATGACAATGATCTTTTTGCGGCGGTTACCGAGATTGACAAGGCGATCAACTCTTCCTGATCAAAATCCACGCACCATTTCAGATGAGGTGAGACTTTTGCGATGTTGGTCGATTACGATTCATGCAAAAAGAAGTACATAACCAAAGTTATCCTCCCATTTCGTGTACGTGCATTTCAAGATAATAACAGCCTCAGTACTATGCTTCAGTGTAGCACTCAGTCTCAAAATACCAGCTTCTCCTTCTTAACTCCAAATAGCGACAGTCCGTTCTCGTAAGCACTTTCCCTGTCGTCAAGACCAGTTTCCTTCTCGTCTGCAATAATTCGCTCTCGACTCTTCAAGAGCTCAAGCGCAACATCGCGCCATTCAATCTCTTCCTTGTCCTGCTTCAGGTCTGGCGCCAAGTCAAAGTTAAGCTTGATCGATCCCAGTCGTCCATCGCGCTTCTTGAACTGACCATCAACAATCACTGCGTCGATATCCGAAGGTGAAGAATGAGCAATGATGGCGCCGATAGGATCTTCCTCTGCTGCGCAGATCATGCCAGGGCTGAGAGTATCCCAGATAACAAGATCGGCAATCTTGCCTTCTTCTAGAGACCCAAGTTGGTCCTCCATGTGAATAGCTCTGGCGCCACGAATAGTGGCCAACTGAAACGCCTCCTGGACTTTCAGCTGGATCCTTCCGGGGAACTTTCCCGTGTCGAGGACCTTGTTGTTACGACGGGAACGTTCAGCTTGGACTGCGATTCTCATTTGTGAGGCGATGCTACCGCTGTTGTTGCTGTGACAGTCGATGCCCAAAGAGGCGATGGACTTGGCGTTTTCTTGGAAACACACAGGCCAACCGTGGGACATTTGAAGTTCGGTCTCTGGAGTGGATGAGACGGCTGCTCCGACTTTCTTGAGCTTTTCGGCATCGGAGTCGTTCAGTGGGGTTGCATGGGATAGCAGGATATCCTTTTCCAGTAGGCCATAGGCTTCGAGTAAGTCTACAAGCGATTTCTCTGTGTCGAAGTCAGTTTGTCAGAGTCTCAACTAGAAATGACTAATTTACCGAGTAGACTACCCACATAGTGAGAAGTAATAGTCTTGATTCCCAAGCTTCGGACCTTGCTGAAGATGCCAACAATGACTTCCTTCGGAAGAAAGTAGAAGTCAAATCCGAAGCCCATGGTGACACGTCCATCACCAAAAGGGCCGCCTTCACAAAGCTGAGTTAATTGTTCAAAGATCCAATCCGGAAACAGATCCTGGTCCAAGGCAAAAGGTTTCCATGTCTTGACTCGGCCCGTGGGAGTGTAGCAGTAGATAGAGCGGACGCCGGATGAGATGGTCGCCGATAAGGCTGCGCTGTCTTTTCATGCGTCAGTTAATACCAAACTATCTGTCGGTGATTTTACTCACTGTGCTCTGGGCTGTATGAGATGTGGGCGTGGTCGACAATGGTGGTGGTTCCAGCTTCTAGAGCTTCGAGACATCCACCGAGCTGGCCCCAGAATACATCTTTAGGCTTGTAGCTGTGGGACACCATGTTTCCTTCGCAAAGATTAGCATTGAAAACCTTAGCTTAAGGAAATCTTTCACGAACCAGGTGCCATGTACTCAAGCAAACCATGGTCGGCATGTCTGCCCTTTACCTGCGTTTGCCAGACATGATGATGCGTATCAATAAAGCCTGGTGTGATAAGTTTGGCTGTACAATCGATAACTTCAGTTGACTCAGGTGGCGGATCGATCTGGGCAGCAATACGAGTAATTTTGTTACCCTCGATCAAAAGCGAATGGTTCTTCAGAGGAACGATAGTGTCATCTCCGGGTCCGCGAGGAACCAACAGAGTGGCGTTCTTCAATAAAATCGAAGCCATTTTAGTGTCGTTTCTGGTAGCACTGCAGGTAAGATAAGACAATGTAGAACATTGAGTGTTACGAAATTGTTCGGTTGCACAACCTCTATATATACGATTTTCCATCAAACTATTCAGTGATGATTCTCACCTCATTCCAGGTGAGGGGTTGCTGCATTATGGTGGGTTAGCTGAGCATACGATTGGCTGCGGATAGCCTATTCGTCCTTTGTAGGATTTCTCGGATTCCCCTCGCGACGCGAGATCAAGCAGCGATTGGTGCGAGACAATGATATCACGTCAGCTCTCTATATCAAAGCATTGTTTCTTGCAGCGAGTTACAATTAGCGTCCGTTTTACGTCGCCGTAACGTTATTCAATGCTACGGTATAATTTTTACGTGATCGTATTCACTATCATTCCGTTCAAAACTCATAGATTCTTCTCATGATGGTTATAACCGCTAAGTCCGGTCACATCAGGCTTATTCGAATTGCCCGTCGTGATGTTCGGCATTTTAGACATTAAAACCGACAGTTCCGACAACATCTAGGCGAGTCCGAGAAACACGTGCAGTCGTCCGCTAGAAGACGTAAAATCATGGAGTGGAAGAATATGATGAGCATCACCGTTTTTGATCTCGATTCAGGCACTACTGGACTAAACTCTGTCGCGCGCTGACTTCTCTGATTATAAATCAGAATAAGCTTATCAGCACTACCAGATCATGACCTAAAACTGGCAAGAAGTCTTAGCGGCTATTCACGGAAGCACAGTCTAGTCGGATAGCTACAGCTGGCTGAAATGCAGTTGCTAATCTAGAGGTTTGGTAGTTTTCATGAGCTTTTTGTTCTAGAACAAAGGTTTAGTGATGCGTCTCAGAGTTTGTAATATGCGCGCGCTTGTCACCTCGCCACTCCGGACTGTATGGAGCGTAATAGGATCGCGTTTTCTCAACAATGGGGGCTTGGTGTAGGGGTATCACGTTCGCTTTGCATTGTTCCAAATGCTTGCGAAAGGCCGGGGGTTCAAATCCCTCAGCCTCCATTTTTTGCTTATATCCATCTCTTTTCGCTTTTTCTTTTTGCCTTTCCTTGCCTGGACTAGGCGATTGACGAGACCCTCTGGTGGAGTGTCCAATAAGCTGTGGAGCAAAAACTCGGATGTTTCCTGACGCGACGCGGTAGAATGAAGGTATCGTGATTAACACGAGCAGAGGACAGTTGTAAGGTCCGGAGGCTTTGCAAAAACAACGTGGCGTCTGGCACAACGTCCAGCCACCGGCACATACAACAAGCCAGCTCCAGTACAATGGGGCATGATCAGTGTCCTTCGTCAAACGGTCTTTTTGTTCCTGCGCGTCAAGATAATTCTGGAAAAGGTTCAAAAAATAGCAAAAGAACTCCGGTGCGGGGAATCGAACCCCGCTCGCCGCGGATTTTCACTAATGAAAACGCGGTATGCTAACCGATACACCACACCGGATGTTTGATGTTAGTCAGCATCGCAATTAGACCTGATATACTCCGAATGGAGCAGCATCTAAGAACAGAGCACCATGCACCCTGCCCGAATTGAACGACGAGATGTGCAAAAATGAAATAGCATAACTTGCCTGTAGGATTGATACGTCCGAGTTAGTCATTGTGTTTTGCTGCCTTTGCTGTGAATTCTGAGCAAGACCGCAGTGACCCCAGCAGATATGGGTAACAACATCGTCATTCTCCATTATGAAGCAATTGCCGTTACCCCAATCCTGCTCAGCAGATGCCTTACCATCACTCTCAGCTTTACAAAATTACAGAATTGCAGACAGGGTAATATTTCCTTTCGTACAGTGCACCTCTACCACGTACTACTCATACCATGGCTAGTGGCTGTAGGAAAAAATGAGGGCATCTCCATGGTGCAGGGTAGCGATCGCCAGGGGTACTCAGCCCAACGAGATAACCGACAGATGATTCATCACGAGTCTAATGCCAGTCCCAAAGATCTTTTCTCCACAAAATTAACAATCAGCCTCGGCGTTCCCTAAATGCGAATAAGCTACAGCCCAACCTTGAAACACGTCCAACCTCGAGCTGCTCACTAAAGGGTCCCGCGCTAAATGCCGCCACAGCCGTAGCGCCTCCCAAGATCCCTGCCCTGTAGGGCTGTGATTTTAAACACCGGGACCGAAACCACACGAGACCCCTGCAGGACATCTCTCGGGACCGAGAAAATGCCCATCAACAAAAGATCTGCCTTCCAGGGTTGCTTTTTCGCTGGATCGAGCAGGAGTGATCCGGTAGGCTAATTGTTAGTCTGGTAGATGTCACTGTATTACTGGTTGGAGATCGCAACATCTTAAATTGCTATTCAGAATGAAACGGCCAATTTGTTCCCGTAATCTACCCGTAGTGACGGTTGAGAAACTCGGTCCCGAAGACAGTGTTCGTGTATGCGATGCTGACCAGTATGATTGTAAGTGGCGATGGTAACAAAACATATATAATGGCTTTGAATGCTACCAAACAGCTCAACAAAACAGTCTTTCTTTCTCTTCATCTTCATTCACAGCCTTTTTTATTTACAAACAACTTCACAATGAAGGGAAGCTCCACTTTCCTTCTTGCCTCCAGCACGCTGCTGAGCGCTGCAAGTGGTCTACAACTCCACAAGCGCGACAACCCAGCCGTTGTGCCCGTCGACTTCGAGAGACAAATCAGAGATGCCTCTGAATCTCTTAAGAGGCGAGCAGACGACAAGACTACCGAGATGAAGGTTGACAAGCACGGCTTGACCTGGCTCTACTGGGCTAACTTCACCATCGGCACGCCACCCCAACGGCTCTACTCTGAGATCGACACTGGCAGTGCTGACCTCCTTGTCCTAACGGACGAGATTGAAGCTTGCACGGGTAAGGAAGCCCAATGTACCGGAAATGTCTTTAGCACCGGAAAGTCAAGGACCTTTGACTGGCTTGACAGTGAGTCTCAAGCTTCCGGAAGCTTTGGAAGTGGCGAGACTTGGTCTGGATATTACGGCACCGATACTTTCACTCTTGGTGACGCGACAATTGATAACTTTCAATTTATTGCAACAACCGAATTCAAAGCAACTGGTTCAGGAATCTTCAGTATCTTTGGCATTGGTCTTGCTGGCCTTGAGCTTGCTGAGAAGAAATACGCCAATCTTCCGTATGCTCTTGCTGAAGCTGGTGAGATCAACACCCCCGCCTACAGTCTTTGGCTCGACAGCGACCAAAAGGGTCAATTCCTCTTTGGTGGTGTCAACAAGGCCAAGTACAAGGGTCCTCTCGTTTCGTTCCCCATCCCCAAGAACAACCAGAACGGCAAGACAGACAGGCTCCTGGTCGTCATGGAAGGCTTCGGTGTAAGCAGCAATGGGAAGTACTCCGGAATGGACTTCACGCCTCGCCCCGTTCTTTTAGACTCTGGAAGTGTCAGAAGTCAACTGAATGCAGAGATGCTCATGCACATAGTCGAGACGTTTGACGACATTGGATTTGTCGCGACTCCTAGTGGCGGACAGGTACCCTGCAATGTCAGCGAGAAGTATACTGTGGACTTTACATTCGGAGAGCTCACCTTTAAAATCCCTCTCAAGGATTTCATCATAAGACCTACTCAAGACTACGGTCTGGACGGTGTACCTTATTGCTCGCTCAACTTCAATCCTGATGCCACCCTGCTTCTCCTGGGCGACGACTTCCTTCGGGCAACCTACCTTGTGTACGACTATGAGACCATGGAGATTTCCATGGCCCAATACAACCCCGACGGAGGCAAGGATGACATTCATGAGATCGTTAAGAATGTACCTGGTGCTGAGAAGCTCAAGGATGTGCCGATGAAGTTCGACGTCTGGGATGGAACTGCATTTGGTGACCCGACCACGGCTCCTACATATGTTACAGCGGCTACTATGACTCTTCTCAACGGAGGGACTGCTACAGAGGCTACAGTGACCGGCGACCCCAGGGAGACTAATGCGGGTCTTAAGGTGGCTAAGCCAACAGAGACTGGGGAATCCAAGGATAAGAAGGATGATGAGGATAACGCGGCGACAAGAAGTTTGCCTGGAAGTGCCATGGCTGTTGTTGTTATGGGAGTCATCGCTCGAGCAATGTTTATGTGGTAGTATTATGAGAAATAGAAGAAGCATACTGTAGCGTCGTCAATTAGTTGTTGTTAATAAAAGGTTAATACAAACATGAAACCTGGAAGTCAGTCGGTGTATTTTGTGACATCCCATCTCACGGTGAAGATGCTACGTCAATGAGATTCAATGACTATGCGGTCTTCACTTGTTTGAAGAGATAAAAACTCTCTGCCGATGCGCGATTCCAGCTAAAGGATTGTTCTACACCGTCAATGATAAAAACACAAGAAGAGCAAAAAGAATGATCACGCTGGGGATCGAACCCAGAATCTTCTGATTCGTAGTCAGACGCCTTGCCATTGGGCCACGCGACCGTATCTTGCTTGAAGAAAATGGATCAATTTTGACACTAAGTCGGCCGCAAGCGCGAAACATCGTCCTTGGACTAGAGAGGTAGGATCTGGAGAACGCGTATGTGACTATGGGCCCGTTGGTACTTCCCTAGAGCAGCGAATCAATGACAAAAGAGTATTTGTTTGGTCTAGATGACTGTCTCAAGCAATTGCCACTACAGGAGAAATCTTATCGACCAGGGCTAAGCGAGAACTCAGCGTCATCAAGTAACGGCAAAATCTTAAACTGAGCTGGTATGAGCTAAAGTGAACCATACTTTATTGGACTCTTGAAAGGGTAATGAGCTCGTTGAAGATCAGCCTGTCAGCAATATCCAAATCGGTCCACTGAGACGTCCGCCCAGCTTGGAATGGCAGTCTGGAGTCAATGCTTGTATTGAGTTACAGGCCGAATTTCACCAAATGTTCACGATAGGCAGCCCCTATCATTTTTAAAAGAAACAGTACCTCGGAGGTGGCCTCTCCATTCGCATCTCCTTTTAATAAAGATACAGAATCTGATTTCTTGGTATTGCTTGACAGCGGCAAGGGACTTACTTATCGTTGCGTTACGTTGGAATGCTGCGACGCCTCAATTTCACTTTCCCGTAAACTAGCGACATTCGTAGCTTTCTACAGCGATACTATTGGCGGCACTGAGCTGAATGCGGAACAAAACGCCCTGGCCATCAACTTCGATGCGGGTACACGGGACGAAAGCCCAGAATCTAGATCAACATATGCGGAGACGACAAGCCAAGGCCATAGAAAGCCATACCTGTTGAAAGGCAACATAAGAGGGCCGTGTCCCTTTGCTCTCGCAGGCGCTGGCCTGCGTGTTTGGCTGTCTTGGATGTGCTGTGTCGTCTTGGCACGGTTAATTCTTCAATCAAGATATCATGACTCGAATTCTTATGTTAGTTGTATTGGGATTAAGTTTGGTACTATTCGCACAAGCTAAAGGTCCCGTATCCCCCGGAGGAAACGCCAGCGACACCACCACCTCTCCTTGCTTCGTATGTTCCAGCCGACAGTCGCGCCTCAATGGATGTCTGCTAACCTTCACAGTCGGCCTGCCTCGATCAGGTATTTGACGACAACCCACAATACCAACGAAACATCACCAGGATATGCGACGACGAGGGCTTCTTTAAACAGTTAGACTCATGCATGGACGGTGATTGTGGTATTGGTGACGATTTGCGTATGAACGGCCCACGTCTATTGCAAAGCTGAACATTAATCCGACACAGGGTTCCATTTTTGGAAAGAGTTTAAATGCCATTTACCAATCGTGGATCGACGACATGCAGTTAACATGACTGCTTTGGTGTTCGGAGTTCTGGCGCTTGTATTCTTCGGCATGAGAATGATCTCGAAAATCATCGGGTTCGTGCCATATGGAACTGACGATAGTCTGATCCTGGCAGCATTTGTACGCGATTCTTATCGCTTTCAAAGTTGATGCTGACTTCAGGTAGCCGCTCGTCATCGTGTTGATTGTCACTACTTTCATTTGTGCGTATCCCCATTAAATCCCGATATCACCGTGCTGACATGTGTATAGTAACATCGAAAGGTCTCGGGCTGGATATCTGGCATGTGCGTGACAAAAGCATCACAGCACATTACCAAGTATACATATAGGTTCTTTCATAGCTTTCTACGGGTACTGATATGTTTCTCCAGTTCATCATGACCTTTGGAATCTCTTACGCCCTATCGCTTGCCCTAATCAAATTATCGATCCTAGCCTTCTTCCTACGCGTATTTCCAGACATCAAATTCCGACGGGTGGTACATCTGACTATGACTTTCATCGTGGTGATGACAATCGCATACGGTGTGGTATTTGCCCTGCAGCGGAAACCGCTATGGATGTTCTGGGAGGGATGGAAGGACAAAAACCCTCGTGGGATGATGTTGGACACGAATGCTTCAGCCATAAGCCATGGCTCGATCAACGTTGCGTTAGATGTCTGGATGATGATCCTTCCCATGACACAGCTATGGAAAATTGGCATCAAGCAGAAAAAGAAGTTCGGGATCATTGCTATGTTCAGTGTGGGAATCTTGTAAGCTTTATGATATCCACGGAAGCCAGACACGATACTGACGAAAACGCACAGTCTTACTGCTGTCAGTACAGTACGAATTCCATACATCACGAAGTTTGAAACATCAAAGAATTCAACTGGTATGTACCGCTTAAGAGTGAGAATAACAATTCTAACAGAGGAAACAGCGGACTCGGTTGAGACCATTGTCTGGTCTGTGGTAGAGGCATGTGTGGGAGTCATGGTGGCTTGCATGCCTGGTGCGCGTCAATGTGTGCGAGATATATCGGCACGTGTCAGAAGACGGAGAGCCGACGATGGAGAGAACAGGACGAGTATTTTCGTTGATCGGTCCTTGGCGACAATTGTTATGACCAAGCAGCAGACAACATACGGGACGGGAAGTTCCGATTCGGGGAGCGTCGCAAAACCCTATGCTGCAGCTGAAATACGTAGATAGAGGAGAGTCTAATTTGAAAGCAACTGGAGATTGGTGAAGAAGTTTCGTATTAAGTGATATCTAACCATTCGCGATGAAAACAATCTATAATCCAAATACCGAGCCACCGATTCTCAATATCGACAAGCCATTCGTACTCAATGAATCCCAGTTATACTATATCCAGATTCCTATGCACTACTGCCCTTGAAAGCTCCCTCGTCCCGAATCCTATTCAAAAATCGCAAAACAGCTGGTGTAACCTCTTCAGGCTTCTCAAGTTGAGGCGCATGTCCAGCACCCTTAACAGCAACAACCTCGCTGTCCTTAAAGTTGGAAGCAACCCAGCTAGCCTCCTCAAGAGGATCACTCCAATCAGGATCCGCATCACCATAGACAGCAAGTACAGGAGCTTTAACCTTGCTAAGGTATGGCTCAACGACTGCATGGTCTGTGGATAGAGTAGCATGGAATGCCTTCCAGCGACCAGGGCCGGTGAGCATCTTGATAGAACGGTCTACGCGCTCCTGCTTCTTATCGCCGAGGCCAGGCCAAAGCTTAGGAGCGTAAGACTTCCAGATAATAGGACCGGTAGGACAGTTCATCGAAAGACGGAAGAGACTAGCGACAAGCTTGCCTGTGCCGGGACGGAGGAATGCGCCAATGAGAACAAGACCAGCGACTTTATGAGGTTGGCTTCCAGAGGCGATGGTAGCAGCTGCGCCAGACAGTGAAGCGCCGACAAGAACGGCAGGACCCCCGCCGTAGGCATCAATGAGGGTGATGAGATCGTCAGCTGTGGCTTCGTCGCCGTAGCGTTTGAAGGTAGTGGAGCTGTCACCGTGACCCCGGAGATCCACTGTGGCTACTCGGTACCCGGCTTTGCGGAGTTCGGTAGCGAGAGGGTCGTATGCATCTCGGAAATCTCCCATGGCTGGGGAGCAGATGACAAGCGGGCCTTCGCCGGAAATGTCGACGGCGAGTTTACCACCGTCGGTCTCAATGTAAGTGAGAGTCATTGTGAAGTCGTGAACTAAGATGAGATTGGATGAGATAAGATGCCGTAAGATAAAGAGTATCTGAGTCGATGGTAGAAGTCTAGTGTAAACTGTTGTCTGATGCAAATAATCTTTTACAACTAGCGGGACGTAGAATATATATAGTCATTTCTATTTAATCAAATGCCGGGTCATGCGGCAGTGTTTGCATCTCTTGAAGGCGAGACTCGGCCGATGCTGAGAGTCTTATCATTGATTGGGTCGCCCAAAAGCACGAGAATATGCCGAAACTAACGCGAGAGCGAAACATGAGCGACTTCCAAGCTTTGATTGGTTGAATGAACTCGATTATAGTTAATCCACCTTAGAACCGATGGACTAACCCGAAAAGGCATTTGCACTTATTGGCAAATCTTATGCATTGAGAAATCATTTCTGCATCTGTGTGGCCTTAAGTCCAGCTGGGCGCTTTTAATCTCCCGAGTCCCGCGGAACCTGTAGCGTATTGATGGGTCGCATTCGTGATGATTCGGTGTCGAGATTGAGGACGAAGTTATTTCTAGCATATCATTGGCACTTCCATCATTGAACTTAAACAATCACCAAAACCGCTGCCATCGTAGAATGAAACTGCAATTATATCCATTCTATCTCCTACTTATTGTAATAACTTCTTAAGGACTTCACAAACAGCATTACCAACCTCGGTACACTTAGCAGACCCTCCCAGATCTCCCGTCCTGGTTTCTAACCCACCATTCTCCTTTGTATCCAAGACCTTGACAATAGCTTGCTCAATTGCAGAAGCCTCCTTCTCCATAAGGAATGAGTAACGAAGCATCATGGCCAAACTCAGAATTTGTGCGACAGGATTGGCGAGGTCCTTGCCTGAGATATCTGGTGCGCTACCATGGACTGGCTCGTAGATACCCTTACATGGTCCATCTCCGGGGATACCGGCAAGACTGGCACTAGGGAGAACACCCAGTGTGCCGGTAAGCCCACCGGAAATATCAGAGATAATGTCGCCAAAGGTATTGTCGGTATGGATGACGCTGTGGTTGAAACGTGCAGCGTCCTTGACCATGAGCATCGCCAGACTATCTGCAAGCTGATGCTTCAATTCCACGTCGGTGAGTTCCTTTTGGAAGATCTCTGTTGTTACACGACGCCAGAGACGCCCGCTCGCTAGAACATTGGCCTTGTCGGCACTCCAAACAACGGGCTTCCCTCCAGCGCCTGTGCTAGAATGTAAAATTCTTGCTACAGCCGCGCTCACGCGGGCCAGTCTTTCAACCTCTGGACGTGAGTACACCCAAAGATCAGACGCAACATCCGCATCTTCCTTCTTCTCACCAAAGTAGGCGCCACCACAGTTCTCTCTCACCACAATAAACTTCAGACCCTCAACAAGCTCGGGCTTGATAGGTGACGCGCCAATAAGACTTGGAACAAGAATCTCACAAGGTCTCAGGTTGGCGAATGCATCGAGCTTCTGGCGGAGTTTCAAAAGTCCAGACTCAGGCGTGGGATCAGCGCCAGCCCACTCTGGACCGCCAATGCTACCGAAGAGCACGGCGTCGCTTGCAAGTGCTTTATCAAGGACGGCTTCGGTGACGGGTGTGCCGTGCTTATCAATACTGCAGCCACCGACGATATCTGTGTCTCTTTCAAAGTGTAGGTCTGGACGGCTTGCTTCAATTACGTCGAGGACTTTGAGAGCCTCGGCCATGATTTCGGGGCCGACATGGTCGCCGGGGAGGATGAGGATACGAAGTGTTTTGGGAGCCATTGTGATAGATGGGTCACTTTCTTAGTGAATGACAAATTCTGGAGATATTGGGGGAGTTGCTACAATGGTGTCTCTTATCCTAACGTCGTCTTGGGGTCGGTTATCTTACTTTTCCGATGTCGGAACGTTATACTGCAACATCCGGTCCCGGGAAAGTTTGCATGTTCCTGTGATGGAATTTTGAGGGGAAACAAGAAGAGGGGGACTCCACTATCACTGGTGATGGAGTGTGCCGCCTGATCTGAGGGTGTGGGGTTGGATTGGATTGGCGTTGTCCATGGAACCGACAAAAGTTGCTAATTATAAGCGGCTATATCAATCTGTTAGACTTTCTTGAACAATTCTATTTCTGAATTATCGAATTATTATCTTTCAACAATCTTTTACATACCCTTCACTCAACATGTCTACTCGTCTCCAAGGAAAGGTCGCCATCGTTACCGGAGGTGCATCAGGCTTCGGCAAAGGTATCGCAGCCAAATTTGTCTCCGAGGGCGCCAACGTCATCATCACCGACCTGTCCAAAGACGCAGGTGAAGCTGTCGCGTCAGAGCTCGATTGTTTCTTCTTTCAAGCCGACGTTACCAAACCTGATGACTGGCGCGCAGTCTTATCTCTTGCGCTCGAAAAGTTCAATCAGCTCGATATTGTCGTTAACAACGCCGGCGCAACTTATGCGAATAAGCCGACTCAGGATGCCACCGAGGCAGACTTTGACCTGGTGATGAATGTGAACGTTAAAAGTGTGTTTCACTCTACGAATATTCTTGTACCATATTTCATGAAGGAGAAGAGGCCTGGATGTTTCATTCAGGTTGCTTCGACAGCGGGAACGCGACCCAGACCCAACTTGACGTGGTACAATGCTTCCAAGGCCGCTGTTATCAACGCGACAAAGACGATGGCCGTTGAGTATGGACCTCACCAGATTCGCTTCAACTCGGTTTCGCCGGTAGTAGGAAGCACCGGAATGTGAGTAGAAATGGAAGAGCGCGTAACAACCATACTGATTTAGACAGGACACATCTATTCATCGGCAAACCTGATACAGAGGAGAATCGAAAGGGCTTCGTGTCTACCATTCCTTTGGGACGGCCGTCAACACCCAGCGACATCGCCAACGCTTGCTGTTATTTGGCCAGCGACGAGGCAAACTTCATTACTGGAGTCAATCTAGAGGTATGTGTTACTGCTGTTTTGCGACGTTTTACGATACTGACATCTGGACTTGACAGGTTGATGGAGGTCGTTGTGTGTGATTCTGGGGTAGCAATAGTATTATTTACAATAAACTTACACTATAATTAACTTCACCGATGCTCATTGTCAGATTTCCTGAATCAATACTGTGTTTCTTTGAATGTCAATCCAATCAGATAGTTTTCTCCATGTTAACCCATGTTCTACTGATAAGAAACCATGCCCAGTCGGTGTATCTTCCAATGTCCAAATTCCCGCAGTTACAACTGTCCCTAATGCAATCGCATATTATCTGCGTATCTAGAAAGCACTTGTGCTATGAGCAATTTGTTGGCTGTCCTGCGACATCAGTTCATCCATTCAGAACAAGCCCCGAGGTGCCGGCATCGGAACCGGGTACAAGAATTAGCGCCCGCTCGCTGTGAGATAGGCTATTGATCCCCTGTATCACCAACAGGGCGGGGTAATCACAGGGACCCGGGCTTCTCCGCCGGACGTGATAGCGCCCCCCATGATAGGGAGCTGTAGCACCGGCCCCGCTTTATGTTCCTGTGAGCTTCAGAGATTACGTCAAGCTCTCCTCCGCAATCCTCATACGATGTAGAGCTGCTGTATATCAGAGAGACAAAGAGGCACTGCTGAGAGGTTTTTGATCTTGTATCGTCTTTTCATTCCACCAATACGTACATATACACCTACACAATGGCCAACCCATACTCCCTTCCATTCACACTCCAGGATGCCGATCTCCTTCATCTCGAGTCTTATGTTCACGGAAAATTTGTCTCAGCGAAAGATAACAAGACTTTTGATATCATCGACCCAGGAACCGGGGATCCTTGGGCAACATGTCCCGATTGTAACGTCGCCGACGTGGAGCCCGCTATAGCCTCTTGCTATGATACTTTCCAGACCTACTCCAAGACGACACCGCGGCAGAGAGCTAAGTTGCTCATGAAATGGCATGAACTCATACTAGAGTCCAAAGAGGACCTCGCTAAGATTCTGGTTCATGAGACCGGAAAGACATTGGCTGAGGCTCGTGGTGAGATTGACTATGCTCTTACCTTTGTCTGGTGGTTCTCAGGCGAAGCAGATCGAGGAGAACATGGAACAACTATGACCTGCAGTGTTCCCGGTCGTCGGGGTATGACAACTAAGCGACCTATTGGTGTTGCGGGCGCTCTCGTACCTTGGAATTTCCCCATCGCACTCGCCCTTCGTAAGGCAGCGGCAGCATTGGCCGCAGGATGCACCATGGTCATCAAGACCTCACCCGAAACACCACTGACAGCCGTCTCCGTTGCCCATCTCGCCACAAAAGCAGGCTTTCCAGCAGGTGCGCTCAACGTGCTCACCACCAGCCTTGAAAACACTCCTGCTGTAGCCGAGGCGATGTGCCTGGACCCGAGAGTGAAGAAGGTCAGCTTTACGGGCAGTACGAGAGTGGGCAAGTTGATCTCGACTCTATGCGCAAAGGACCTCAAGAAGACAACGCTTGAGCTTGGCGGCAATTGTCCATTCATTGTGTTTGATGATGCCAACGTCGACCAGGCGATGGAGCAGCTTATGAACCTCAAGTGGCGACATGCCGGTCAAGCATGCGTGTCTTCTAACCGACTCTTTGTGCAAAGTGGTATCTACGATTCCTTCGTTGAGAAGCTGGTCAACCAGGCGAAAGCGTTGAAGACTGGTCATGGGATGAAGGAGGGTACTACTATGGGTGCACTCACGACCCCAAGAGGCTTGGACAAGGCAGAAGAGCTTTACAAGGAAGCCGTCGGGAAAGGTGCCAAGACGGTCCTTGGTAATGGACAGCGGGAAGATGGACGGGGCTACTTTATGAAACCTACGATTCTTACCAACATGACCGACGACATGGCCATAACAAATGACGAGATCTTTGCGCCCATCCTGGGTGTCTACCGCTTTGACACGGAGGAAGAGGTTGCCAAAAGAGCAAATGATACGCCGTATGGTTTGACGAGCTACGTATTCACCAAGAATGTCGATAGACTGATGAGAATGTTTGAGAACCTGGACGCTGGCATGGTCGGACTGGTAAGTCGTCTCCATATTCCTTTGCTGGAGTGATACTGACTTGAAGTAGAACGTTGGAAACTGCTCTTCAGCTGAGGCACCTTTTGGAGGTATCAATGACAGTGGGCATGGAAAGGAGAGTGGAAAGGATGTTGCCATTAATGAGTTCCTCATTACCAAGACTGGAACTCTGTCCATTGAAGGGCATTACTGAGACACCTGTATTGAGGTTCATTGATAACGACCAGCTATTTTCTGTACTGTGTTGTATGATAAGTGACGCCATGATGTTTGTATGGGTGCCATTTTCCAGACGCTTGGATGCGCCCTTCATCGGATCGCGATTCGCTTAGAAACGCTGTAGGTAACTTCAACGATAGCTCTTGCGCTCCTGTGCCACATTAAGAGATTGGCGGGACAGGTCCGAATCTTTCACTCGGTTGATGAGGGAGAGTGGTACGCTCCGGAGGCTGACCAGCCGTCTCGGACAACCCCGCCCCCTAGAGTGCCCTAGTTCATGCAGCTGCCAATGTAGATCACGAGAACCGTGCTTATGGGTCGAGAATCTGGGGTTGCGGGGCTCCTCAAACTGTCTTTAGCATAGTCTGTATGTTGGATGTCGCATTGCTTCAAATGATGATAAAGGAGCGTGGTATGGAGCTCATAAGATTACTTCCAAGCAAGATCACAGGAACACGCGTCTAACATCGTCTTTACACGTCAATTATTGACCCTTCACGACCCCCCTTCATTGTCAATGGCTAAGCACACAACGGCCTACAATAGGCTGGTAACTGTTGCTGTCGCTTTCGGGTCTCTTGTAAGTCACTATCCCTCCTCCAACCTACGATGCTAATTCACCCATAGACCTACGGCTACTGCTCTTCTGTCATTGGCAGCACGATCGGACAGCCAGGATGGTACAACTTCTTTGACCTGCCCATGCAGGGCGAACCGGGCTACGGTACTACGACGACACAAGCCATCTCGACAGCGAACGGCATATACAGCGCAGGCGGCGCAATCGGTACACTGTTTATCATGTGGGCTGCGACCGCACTTGGTAGAAAGAGGTCGATTCAGATCGGAGGTGCCTTTGCGTTGCTAGGAGGAGCCCTACAGGGAGGAGCAGCCAACTTGGGGTAAGTCTTGACCATACTTCTAAGAAAACAAAGCCTAACAAAATTCTTCAGCATGTTCCAAGCCGGAAGAATCTTGGCAGGCATTGGTATCGGTATCCTCGTCACAGTCTGTCCGATGTACATGGGCGAGCTTGCACCACACGACAAAAGAGGCTGGCTGGTGGGACACCACGCCATCTTTCTCGTCTTTGGATACATGCTTTCCGGCTGGCTTGGCTATGCATGCTACTTCACCACCGAAAGCATGCCAGATTTTGCCTGGAGGTTTCCCTTGTGCATGCAGTGTCTGGCGCCCTTAGTATTGCTCATAACCTCTGCCTGGATCCCTGAATCCCCACGCTGGCTGCTGCAGAAAGGGCGTGTTGAGGATGCATGGAAGGTTATACGCAATCTGCGAGCGTCGCCAGAAGACCCTGATGAGCAGGTCGCTCGGGAAGAAATTTATCAGATCAAAGAGCAGCTGGCGTTGGATACTGCGAAACTTGAGACTCTTGGTTGCGGACCTTGGTTGGCTGTGTTCAAGAAGAAGAGCTATCGTAAGCGCATGGCGATCGGTTTCCTTACTCAATGGGGTGCCGAATTCGCTGGCCCTCTTATTATTGTAAGTTTTTCACTTCTCCCTTTAAGCCAAAAATGCCACTGACCTTTCTAGAACAACTATTCGGTCATTCTTTACACCAATCTCGGCCAGACTGGATCCATGCCACTCCTACTTTCCGCCCTGTGGCTTACCACTGCCGGCATCATCTACAACCCACTGGGCGCCTGGCTCCATGACAAGGTCAACTCGCGTCGCTGGATGTTCATGGCTGGTCTTTTTGGCTGTCTGATTACTACCAGTGGCCTTGCTGCCTGTATTGCCGAGTTCTCAGGGACCTCGAATAAGGCCGGCAACGCAGCTGGTGTCTTCTTCGTTTTTCTCTATCTAGCATTCCAAGGGTAAGTCCAACACCTGCACATCAATAGACTCTTGTTTCTAACCAAAGTGCTCAGCACCCTCTGCGATACAACCATGTATATCTACGTGTCAGAAATCTTCCCAACCGAGATTCGTCCCATTGGTATGGGCTTCTCTCTGTTCGGTCAATTTGCAAGCACCCTCATTTTGCTTCAGACGGCGCCAATTGGATTTGTCAACGTTGGGTGGAAGTACTACCTGGTCATCATCGTTTGGTGTATCTTCTTCATTCCAATCGTCTACTTTTATTTCCCCGAGACGGCCAATCTGTCTCTTGAGGAGATCTCGGCCCGATTCGGCGATGATGTCGCTGTTCATGTCCACGATGTTCCGGAGGAGCAGCGCAAGGAACTTGATAACTATCTCACGAAGGTGGATGTTGCACACATGGAAGAGTCTGGACCGAAGAGCAAGGCAGGAGCCTGATTTCATTTACGGTGTTCAAGGTACGGTGGCAAGCTGGATGTTGGTGTGTTGGTAATTTGTTTCATGATCTCTTCAATCGACCTTTGTCCCTGAAAGTAATTACAAGTTCTGTACATCTATGGCAAGTCAGGTTTGGATGTTATTACGTGTTCTTGACGACTGCTCGTTCCTCTACGATTCTTGGATCAGTCTCTCTTAGCAACTTTTACATTAGTAGAAAGAGATGCTTTTGTTGCAAAGCCCACTCCAGAGGATGCGCCTGCATGCATGCACGCAAATTATGAGATGTCACTCATTCTCATTGTGATATTCATCAAGTACGCCAAGAATCCACCTCCACTGAAATCTCGCAATCTCGGCAGTTAGCCATGCATCTGCAACACAACAGATCCGGCGATTCTGCAAAGACGACCGGGGAGACTAGATCAGCTCCGTCATTCTCTTTTGGACGCCTCCACATCTGAAGGAGGCTGGGAACAAGTGCTTCTTGGTTAGTGTAGCGTTGAACCACTAGTCGATCCCGGAGCGCCCCCGCAGCGGCACGCTCCAGATGCTCACCCTTCGATCAATCAGGCCATCAAATGTAAGAACCGAGGAGCATGCCGAACCATTAGCGGTCTCCATACCACAGAGATTGGGGAGCGGGGAATGGGATCATGGGGTCTGGTGTCAGAAGTCAACTCCGGGGAAGAGGGTATAGAAGGACCTGTCAAGTTCAAGTCACAGGATCAGAACCTGCTAGTCTGTTAAACCTCAACTGCGCTCCCCAACAGCACTCAATATGGGCAACGCAATCTTATCTGAAGACATGTCTCTTCACTACAAAGACTATGATAGTCTTCCTGACCCTCGAAGAGTCTGGTCTGGCGCCCCAGGGTCCCGTGAAGAGGGTCTGGGCCGTCTTGTCCTTCTCACGCCAGAAGTGGTTGCCAATGCAGCAGCTACATGCATCAAAACGGGACGTCGAACGTCCTTGAATTGGGACTTGACAAAGCTGGACATTGCCAACTTCAACCGGGCCCCAGCACAGCACCACATCATCTCACTCTTTGACGGTGTTGCGTATGACGATGTTTACATCTTCAATCCACAACAGTCGTCCCAATGGGACGGTCTCCGCCATTTTTCAGCCCCAGCGCCTACCAAGTCAGACCTAAATCGTCGCCTATTTTACGGTGGCATGACTTCAGTTGAGATCCAAGACAGAAACAATACACGCATAGGCATACAACACTGGGCCAAGGAAGGAATCTGTGGTCGTGGTGTTCTACTAGATTATGTTGAATATGCCGCACGGCATTCGATAACATACTCCACATTCTCAAACCACTCAATACCGCTCCATACCCTGCTTGATATTGCCAAGGAACAAAATACTCAGTTCCGTCGAGGAGATATCCTTTTCGTTAGAGTTGGGATCACAAAGGAATGGGATCAACAGATGAGCGAGGCTGATAAGCTTGCATACGGCCAGAGCACCGACCCTCAACATGCCGGTCTCGAGGGCACAGAAGAGATGCTGAAATGGATCTGGAACGAAGGCTTCTCTGCAGTAGCCAGCGATTCCATCTCTTTTGAAGTCTATCCCAAGCAACCATTTTACAAGCGAGAGGGAACAGATGCTACAGTGCCGGGGTTGTTTATGCATGAGTACTTGCTTGCGGGGTGGGGAATGCCCGTTGGTGAGCTCTTTGATCTCGAAGGGCTCAGTCAAATTTGCAAGGAAGAGAAGAGGTGGGAGTTTTTTGTGACATCGGCGCCTCTAAATATGCCCGGAGGCGTAAGTAGTCCTCCCAATTGCATAGCTATATTCTAAATGCCAGCAAGTATCTTGACAGATAAAGGTTCCGCGTATCATGGTCGCCTACTAGGTTAGAAACCTTTTGATTCCAACACTTGGAAGATTCTAACAAACTTCGTAGCTAGTCCCCAGCAGTTCAACTTCTGCAGCATCCTTTGGGCATCGTTGCTAATAGCAGGAGTGGAGCCGGGAGTGCCGATATCCTGGACTGATCCACAGCTCGCTGGCCCTCCTGCTTCAATCCATTTCACTACAACTCGCCTCTGGGATATGTTATGGTCATGGAGATCAAGGCGGACAATGTGATTACTCTCACTGAGCGCTAATGTTCCATGAGGACCGTACGTAGAGTAAGCAATGATGAAAATGTAGCCCATAAAGACCCGCATGATCTCGCATGGTGCAGAGACTAGATAGTCATTTGCGATCGCAACGATCTGGGTTGCATGCCAACATAGCCTTCTTGCTGTCTTGGGATCTCTGGCAAATGTTGACTTGAGACGCTCACGAGCGACCTGGATTCCGTCATGTTGTTGCGGTGTGGACGTGATGAGATTGCGCACGATGTAGACTATCATGTCAAGAATGCCGTTTGCGGCACACAGGTGCGAGTAGTGACAAAGAAGGCTGGCAATACTATTCTTATCGTCAGTTTGTATAAATTCTAAGACAAGAATTCGCTTACTTGTAGCTGATCAGATCACCAGTTGTGGACGGTGCCCGCAAGGATTCAACTAGCGTGTTCAGTCCCTTCAGAAGGGACCTCTTTGTTTCTCGGTGTGCGCTTATGAATGAACTTAAACCGAGAAACTCGGGCATAGCGACAACTTCCAGTTGCCAGAGGTCCCACAGCATGCGCCCCATAACCTGAGCACAGAGCCTCTTTGCCCATGACCCAAGATATGATGGTGCTTCTCTTCCGGCTAGCGTGAGCTTGATGACCACTGACAGATTGGGGCCCGAGCTATCACTTCCGAGGCGTGATACAAGGGCATACCAGGCCTGCGCCGAGGTCGCGTTCCATATTGACTCGGGACACGGGAGAAGAGAAGGCAGCTCATTCAGATCAACGACACATCGGCGACTTGTGAGAGTGCAGAGACTGCAGTCATATTCGAACGCTGCCCAGGCTGCTCTACGACCCGATTCTCTGACTATCCAGCTTCTCCACTCATGATTCAGATCGTGTCCATTCTCCGGGCTGAGAACGCCTTCCTGTCTCTCGTCTGAGCTGACGGCGTTACGAGGTTTCAACAGACCAATGCCCCGTAGGCCGCCTATAAGTATGCCGCGGGACCTGTCTGCGTTTTGGTAGAGTTGTCTGTTACCCGAACCCAAAGAGTAAATCTGATGGAGGCAAAGGGCATTAAGGTATGCGACGTCGTTGTAGCTCATATTGTCAGATGCACCCATCCACGTGATTATAGTAGAACACAGGTCGCTCAAAACAAATGAGAGGTCAATATCGCTCGGGCTATCCGATAGCAAAGCACCAATGCAAGCCATGGCAGTCAACATAGCTGGCGGACAAGATGACATCGTCCATGTGGGTTTATGAAGAATCGACTGTACATCGTGGAACCGTGTGAAGTAAGACTCAGCAAGCCGTTGTAGATGGCAGAAAGCTTGAACCGAATGACTGCCCCGTATGCTTGCAAGCTGTGGCATGGGAGTCTCGGACAAGATCTGGATAAAGCCGTCCACAAGTTGTGACCGACCAGTTCGCGAGCGACTGTTCAAAAGTTCACGCAGAGGAGGCAGCCGATACTGATGTGGGACGGAGTCATTGCCTTGGTCGAATGGCCATGCAAGGCTGGCGTGGTGGGGATTTGACAATCTTCTCGCTTCATCAGACGATCTTCTGCCTTCAGCTTCGCGCGTCCACGTCGATTCTGTAGTTTCTGGTATTTGCTGTGGCCCTCCGTCGAGAGAGCACCCATTGGTAGCTACCGTCTCGGGACCCCGTTGCTCCATATTCGAAGGCCATGGTTCTTGGACGTAGAGACCTTCCAAAGCCGCCAATTGGGCAGGTTGTAGGCCGTCGTCAACATTGGAGCCGAGCCAGTCAAATCCACCAGTCCGAAAATTAGGTTGCATTAGAGCCATGTAAGAAGGTGAGATGGCGAAATCATTGCTGAAGACGGCATCGCCAGGGTCTGCTTGTAGAGTATCAAAGGACTGTGGTATGTCCACCACGGAGCCAATCGTAGAGTTTTCATCGATATTGTTGAATGCATCTACTTGACAGGCTTGACTCAAAGATTGAGTATCGTCAGTTTGACGTGTCAAGGTAGAGCCGGGCGAAGAGGTTGAGGGCGGTAAAGTCGCTATTGGGACACTCATGTTAAAAGCCGGCTGCCATGCATCGGTCTGAGGAAGCGTAGGTTCATCGGGTTGGCCCCGTGCTTGCTCATCCTCAGGAGGATGATCAGGTCGATCAGTGCTCGCGTCGCTGTCCAGAATTACTAGGCCATCTTGTTCAATAGGGTTCGGATACGAGCAAGCATTGCCCGCCCGAGCGCAACCGTTGCAGCAAGGCCTTGTACGGTCGCATTTCAGTTTCTTAACGACACATCGATAACACGACTTCTGAACCGATTTCTTTGCATGTCCTTTGACGCGATGTGTAGAACGTAAATGACGCAAGAGAACGTCGCGTCTACTAAATGTCTTTTGGCACTGAGGGCATGGAATAAAGTCCTTATTGGAGGTTGCTACATGGGTGAGTTGATGGCGACTGAGATGACTAGGCCGTGAGAACTTTTGAGGGCATTCCGGGCATTGAAGTTGACGTTGCTAAGGTAATATTAGAAACTGGAAATAAGGCGGAAGAAGGCAAATTTACATTTGAGTCTGCTCCTGTCATGGCGAGCTTGGACGACACTTCACGGTTGGAAGGGAAGAGTGGCAGTATTATTGGGGCCAGCAATCGAGTTCTGGGGTAAAATGCGGGGATCAATCACGTGTTCGGCATTGAGACTCGAAAAGGACAGGACGTAATTATAACATCAGAGATAAGATTTCCCCTTAAGGTGGCTGCTCCCTTGCATCGAGTGCTGACAGGGTATAGAGCCAATTGATATGGCTGTTGCAGAAGTGACATACAAATATCAAGAATTCTCATTGCATTAGAAGTACCTATCGTACATTCTTGAGGTGAGGATTCAGCCAGCTCCCCTTGTCAACGTCAACAAGGTTAAGTGCGACTGGTGACAGTCACACCAGATAGGGTCATTCCTCCAAACACTATGGTTAGTATAAGGGACAGACTACCGCCGATGCTTTCCTCGGGAAGTTCATATCTGTATGGGTACCCCTTGATGGACATATATCGAGTTTAAAGATAAATAAAAGCTCAATCGAAAGACTGTATTTGAAATTGAAATTAATATTCAAGTCTATTTAAGGATATAAAATTCTAAAGAAACTCTAGATCGCTGTATAATAAATAGTAGATAGATTTTTATAAAATTTTTACAAATTTCTATTTTACTTTTTACAGGGTATCTCTGAAGATTGCTACAACTAGAATAAAAGAAAAGATAAGGTCTACTATAAGTTTGCTGTAATTACCTTGCTAATGCGCTAGTTCTTAGTGGTTATGCGCTGTAAATAATAGCTAAATTTGACCTGATGGGTCGTTTTGGTGGTGGTATATTTAGACTGATGATCACACTGAGAGGGGTGTTTCTTGATCAACCCCATGATAAACTGAATCAGCTACAGGAGTTATTGGTTATATAGATACTAGGTAAATAGGGTGGTTATTAACATAATTTACTTTACACTGCAACTAACCGCACGCTGTAAAGGCAAAATTCAAGAATGTCAAGCCATCCACCGTGTTTATTGACTAAGCGATCTAGAGAGAAAACGATTCTCCATTTTGACTGGCATTATTAAGAAAGATCATCTCTTCTAAGCGCGAGGCGACTACTTTAGCCTGCGCTGCTTCCGGCACTTTTGCCGCAAGATTGAAATCTATAACGAAGTCGCCGAAGTCTCCTCTTAATGCTGCTGCATCGTGGTGGCTCGAATGAGCTTGTAACGGATTAGCCAGCACAAGAGCCTCATCGACCGATAGGGCGCCCACTTGCAATGCCATTCCCAGCAGACCACGACCGACTGAGACGAAAACCGGACAGCAAATGGCAAGCTCTTGGCATCTTGTGATACAGAGAACAAGGTAAAACTGTAAGTCTAATTCGTTGGCACCTTCCATCTCATTGGTACTAACAATACCGCTTGTAGGTTGGATATCCCAATTGCTGTCTGATGTAAACTCTTCCAGCACCTGATTGAAGATGTGGAGTAATGCGGTGCCGGTAATCATAGTCCTAAGTATGCTATGACGCTCGACATGGCATTTCACTAGGATTTGTTTAAGCTGGTTTGCAGATGCTCGGATGACAGATGTAGCAGTGCTATCGGGGGACGAGAAGGAACGAAGGGTTTGGGCGGGTGTTCTCAAATAGAAGGGCCTGAAGATATTGATAACGGTGCAATGAAATGTGATACTATACAATACTCATTAATAATGGGGATAATTCGAAAGCTACTTCGCCTTAAGCTCTCAAGCGAGCAAGACTAAGGGTTCACTTACTGTAAGAAAAGAACTTGATTGGAATCATGTTCTCCTCGGAGCAAATCGTCATCGAGTGTATCTGCCCAGTGGAGCAGCTTCTGATATCCGGATTCAACGAAAGAGAGAGGTAGGGTTCCATCGGACGCAGGACGGTAGAGAGAATACACGGCGGCGACTTCCTGAACAATAATCCACAGCCTACTAAGAGCCCCAAAACCTTTACCGATCAGCTGCCTTTCAGTAACTTTATGGGTGCCCTCTCCAGGAATCGGGACTGTAGGGGGACAGGGAATCGGCTTAACCGGCAAGTAGTATGTATTGCGTCTGTCAAGGATATTATAAGATTGCAAGGCCCATCCAGAACACGGCATACGTACGATAACCAATTATAGGCCCCCCAGGCGACCTGAGTAGTCTGTCTTTTTACTTGAGTAGAGAGCCCTTGCCAATTGGCTGCATTTCTTCCGCAGTTCTTCCCGCCAAATAGGCCCAAACGCTCGGCCATATCTTGCGCGTCTTGAAACAACTCAACAACACGAATGTTGCTAGATTGAATTTCGCATGCAACGCCAGTTACCATCAATGCTGCCACACTCAACAATGAGTCAGATTGGCGTTCTGCGAGCCACAAAGTTTCAGCAGCTTCTAAGAATGCTTTACTCAAGTTCGACGAGCTAGGGTCAATGAAGCAGTACCAGAGCTATGAATACGGATGAGCATGGGAACTAGGCTTTGTTTCTGGAAAGGGCTTACACAGGCACAGCTGAACACTGAATGAACCAGAAATGCGGAGCAGAAATCCAATTTTCTTTCCAACAGGTCATTTAAAAACGGTTCAGCGTCGAAAAAACCAAACATGTGATGGTTCTCTGACAGATATGTTGTTATGATAGTGATGGCCAACTCATTACGTATGGGTATAGTCGTCCAGTAACTCATATCTAGAGACCGGAAGTGATCCAGCCTCAGCGGAAAGGTCTCTCGGTCCCATATGCTAGGTTCGTTGGTGGTATCTGCAGTCATTCCTGTCACCCCTTCATTAGCGATGCTAAAAGGCTCTAGCACAATATTTGATACGTCGACGGGGGGGATACGAGGGTAGGCGCTTTGGTGACGAGCTGTGAGCTCAACCTCAAAGGTGGAAAACCCAGAGGGTGATACAGCACGATCTAGACTGCTACTTGAGGGTTCATCCAGAGTCAGATCAGAGGCGCGCAATGTACCCGCTCGCAGCCTACTCAGTTTCTCTATGGCCTCATCTTCCGGCCCCGAGATGAGCTGCCGAAGGATGTTTGCAGACTCTTTATGCTGATTTACTGAAGCCGCATTCTGATACTCGCATAGTACGCTTAGCCCCATGCATAAATTACAGCTTGGACGACCTCGGTCACACTTTGCTCAGATAGATGTTAGCAAGCTTTTCGCGGATACAAGAAGTGAAACGGAACGCATAGGTCCTCTAAACAGAACAGAAACAAGACGGAGAGGAGACCTTTAGTTTCTTCAATCGACATCGGTCACATGACCCGACGCCCCTATACACTCTTTTCGGTGGAATTTCTCCCGTGCGCCTACTTGATTGGTTGATTTCCTGATTTCGTGAATGGCTAGGCAAAAGCGGCCGATGATTTCTGCTCATCGTAAGGGAGTAAGAGTGAGCAGACAATTACCGTAGTTGGGTAACATTTGTGTAGAACGAAGGTAATTGGGCTATGTATGGGGATTGTGGGGAGATAACTTTTCAGGCGACTCGCTGAGTTTATGCCTCAGGCACTTAGTTGTCTCTGGAGCTTGTCAGCAATTGGATAAGCAGGGAAAACATTAGGCTTGGCAGTAGATGACGCGATTCGCACGTCAATTCCCAAAAGAATGCGTCGGCGCCCCTCCGCAGCAATCAGCTCGCGCAGCACATATTTTCTCTAGCCTTTGTCGGTCCAGCCTCTGCAAATTCAGAAGCTAATTCAACATCTCGATTTTGTACCAACCACTGCATCATGGATAATCCTAGACAGCCGTTGCCGACGCCTTTGGGGGCAAATGGCGAACACGAACAACCCAAGTGTCATCACTGTCGTTTGAACAGAATTCACGTACGACTCTCTGCAATCCATGCCGTTCTGCGTCATTCCCAAAAACTAACAACCTCATGAAAAGTGTAACGGCGGACGACCAGCGTGTGCTCAATGCCTCACGAGATCATTGTCATGTTCCTATGATAGAGATAGCTCCAGCTTAGCCCATAAACTCCGTCTCCAACAACGAATAGCTGATTATAGAAATTTCCGAAGGCGCCTACAAACCATGTCCACAAATGAAGCCTCCCAAGCTGTCCATCAGATGAGGGCGGCAGGGTCTATTTTATCTGCATCAGAAGCCGCTATAGCCAGACAACCCCAACTATATCGCCCTTCTGAACTCCGCACAATCCATGGTATATTACCCCCAACCGAGTCTGTCCTAGAGTTCGAGCTTAATGCACGCCATCCATTCGCCTATCCTCCACTAGAGCCACTGGATTTAAAATCTGTAGCCATCGACGGCTGGTTCTGCTTCGAGGATCAACCGTTCGCTCGAAATAGACCTAGCCCGCGTAACCACTCAACACCCGAGGAGACAGGAACAAGAATTTTGTCTGTAGCCACTTCTGAACCAATGCCGGATTGGCAGCTTTGCGATTCCCGCCTTACACTTCTCGATATGGCCTATTGGAGCAAGATACCTATCGACAATCCATTTGTTTCCAGGATCCTTTCTCATTTCCTTACGGCACACTTTCCTTTATTTCCTTGCTTTGATATGAATCTTTTCCTCGACGATATGATACAGCGAAATACCGATTGTTGTTCGACATTCCTCGTTGCAAGTATAATGTCGATTGCATGCGTAAGTCACGATATTCGTCAAATATTTCACAAGACTCTACTGACAGCTGCTACCAGCAATCCTTTAGCGCATTCGATATTCGTTCAGCCCCTCTCAGTATTTCATTTGAGCAAGAGGCTCGGCTGTTATGGGAAACTGAGCGACATAACGATTCTTCGACTAATTTGGCTGCGATGGCGTTTTTATCTATGTCTGGCGGGATGGCTGGTCGTGAGGAGTTAATGCTGCAGACACTGGCGGATATTCGAGCTATGGCAGCAAGGATGAATTTATTCGGAATACGGGTCAGCGACGAAGCGCTCAAATTCTTTCATGAGCTCCCACCGGACAAGTTCAGGGCATTAGCATCTGCCGCTTGGGGGGCGTATGGGTGGTTAACGTAAGTCAGCAGGCTTCTTGTCCTCCCTGTGACTATTCAAGTTAACGAATATCAGATTCTATTCAACGCACTATGCCGCTGATCCAATTAACTATCCACCCGCACTGCCTGTTCCTGGCGATACGAACAGGCAAAGCGGTGGGTTGGTTTGGCCACCTCACCCAATACCAGAGTTTCTAGGACACAACATAACAAACATATGCAAGCTATGGCCCATCATCCAGGGTTTTGGACATGTTTATTCGTTCACAAATCCTGTGCCGCTATCGGAAAGGGTGACTCTGGCTTTTGCTGAATCTACGTACCAGAAATTTCTGGCTTGGGCAGATGCTCTCGATTTGAAAATGAAACGCAATGACAACAGTGTCTCTCATGTCTATTTCTTTCAGTAAGTGCATTCCATCATGGACAAAGCTGGATTCGCTGGCTCATCAGTTCAGTGCGCTCTACCATGCTAGCATTGTCAGGTTATTTCAACCTTTTCTTCATGCCTCGGCGCATACACGACTCAAGAGCTTCAATTCAAGAGATTGCACCCCAGCTTCGATATATATGGCATCCATACGGCAGCTCAAACGTTTACTCATCTGGTATTTAACTAACGCCGGTCGACATTCTGATAACGGCTGGTTCACCGTCGCTGTGCTCCAAGTCATGAGTGCAACACTGTGGAACACCAATGCTCCAGATTGGAAAGTCTATTTCCAGCTCTGCTTCAACTTCTGGAAAGAAGCATACATACGCTATCGCATTTACTTGAACATAGCCAAGGCAAATTTGTATTTCGCCCTTCAACTAGGGGTAATTGAAAGGGACACGGCCGTTGCCATGGTTAATGAACTACGTGCGGTCGGCGCGCACCATGTTGATCCTGAAAATGCCATAAATAGAGCCATTGCAGATCATCAGATAGCGGCCAAGGACTTCAAAGATTCCAAGGTGGACGCCATGGCAAACGAGTTTACGGACCTGACTGTGTCGCATCGTACCGGGGACGTGGAATGCAATACGGACGACGCGGCCTCTTCTCATGAAAGCGAGGTAGCGCCCTCTCATAACTGGCTCAAGACTGTATTAAACTAGAAAGCCCCTAGTTAGAGTTGGACTAGTTAAAATCTCCTCAGACGACGACCACTATCGTGGTGAAGGGCTTGACTATTGTCTAATCGTGATGAAGAAGGATGATCCTGACAACTACTCTCCAAGTCTTTCCATGTAACTTCTATCTATTGCTCTTGTTAAAACTCCTACCAATCGCTTTTAAAATTGGGCTCTAACGAGTTTGAGTTGTAAGGCTAGAATACTTGAATATCAATACACCGGGTTTAAGAAGAAAGATAAACAGAATAAGACACATACCATTGCTGATACGGAATAACATTTTGAATTGTTCAGCCACTGCTTTTATGCAATTTGGGAAAGGCTATGGATCGAGCTGATAACCCTTGATTGTTCATATGGTCAGCTTAAAATTGGTTTGGAGACGGGGATATTGTTGAAATGGTGTACCCTTGGCTGCATAAGTTGTGTTCACGGAACGCGTTTCAATTTCAATGTCATGTTCTGGAGACTAGGACAGAATGAGACGCACAGAAGCATTGTTCAATATACGGATTTAGTACCCAAGTTCGCCGAACGTCCTTCTTTAATGAAATCGATAATTCCGCATAGGCGAATGAAACATTACCGGCTATCTCGGCCATCAAACAGTTAGTGCCAAGCGACCGGTAGAGTCACAAAATTAAATCCTTTCTTTGACATCGGGAAAATTCCGACGCCCTAGACAAACGTCTCTGTCCTAGCGCTACCAATGTGTGGGGAAATCGCAACGTTGAGTCGAGTACCGTCGTACGAGTCAGGATAGATCCTTCAACCCTACAAGGGAGATCACGAGAGATGCGGGGTCCCCATGGGGATGAAGCGAGCAGGCAGGGACATCACCGGAGGAGATCCGATGTATACAGACTACTGGGATGTTCAAGCGTATATATGACTTTGCCTGGGCGTCCCAGCATTTCAACGTAGACCATCTGGCCTTGTCATTCTCTCTGTATTGCTCGCCATGGATCAGAATAATAGTAAAGGCGTCGAGCCTATGAAGGTCGACGACAGGTTTATTGAGAATGCCCCCGACGCTTACTCGGGTCTCTTGCCCGAAGATGCGGACTTTATGCGCGGATGGGAGGGCAAAGCTGGCAAGAAGGTTGTAAGAAAGGTATGTCTCCATGGTCCTTCAAGTATTGCATCTTGCTAATTGATACAGATCGATTTTCGACTTCTCCCCATCATGGCGGTGCTGTACCTACTTGCCCACATCGATCGAGGAAATATCGGGAACGCGAAAATTGAAGGAATGGACAAGGACTTGGGTCTTGTCGGTAACCAGTACAACATCGCTAGTACCATCTTCTTTGTTCCATACATCATCTTCGGTAGGTGTCACCGGGAACTCGTCTCTTGGACCTCACTGACTTGTCGCAGAGGTCCCTTCCAACATCATTCTCAAGAAGGTGCGCCCCAGCATCTGGCTTTCGTTCCTGGTACTCAGCTGGGGTATTGTCATGACATGCATGGGCGTCGTCCAGAACTTCGAAGGTCTCGTAGCCTGTCGTGTCATTCTTGGAATATTTGAGGTACGCATAAGACTCCATCTTTTCTTTAATTAACTAACAAGGTGACAGGCTGGTTTCTTTCCCGGTGCCGTCTACATCGTCTCGAGTTGGTACCCGCGTCACGAGCTCCAACAACGACTAGCGATCTTCTACACCGCCTCTGCTTTCTCCGGTGCACTTAGCGGTCTGCTGGCATTCGGTATTGCCCGTCTCGATGGTGCGAGAGGTATTGCTGGCTGGCGCTGGATCTTCCTCATCGAGGGAGCCGTTACGGTGGCAGCTGGTCTAGTCATGCCGTTGCTTATCATTGACACCCCCGAGCGAGCGAAGTGGCTGTCTGACGACGAGAGGCGCTACATCGACTTACGTCTTAGAATGTCTGGTGTTCGAGCAAACACTGAGGAGGGTGACAAGTTCTCATGGAAGTTGTTGTTCAAGACCATGACTGATTGGAAGGTCATGCTTGGTGTTGTTCTAGCTTGGGCAAACTCTGTCCCAAACGCCGCCTTCAAGTTCACCATGCCCCAGATTATCAAGCAGCTTGGCTTCTCGACTGCTAACGCTCAGCTACTTACGATGCCCCCGTATGTCTGCGGTGGTATTGCCGCGTGGTTATCTGGTAGGTTCTCGGATCGTCTTGCCTGGCGCATGCCTTTCATCGTTGGACCCATGTCGGTGCTATTGATAGCGATGGCCGTCCTGTTCAACTATTCCAAGGATGTTGGAAACAATGTTCCAGCTATGTATATCGGTGTGATTCTGGCCCAAATTGGTATATACCCACTTTTGCCTGGTATCACTGCTTGGACAGGCAACAACCTCGCTCCATCCTGGAAACGGTCCATCGGCCTTGCGTGGCTTCTGGCTGCGGGAAACCTTGGCAGTATCATCGGTACCAACATCTTTCTCGATAGAGAGGGTCCTCGTTACCCTACCGGCTACGGTACCGCGCTCGGTATCATTTGTCTGGGTGCTTCTTGCGCCCTGTTCATGGAATTCTGTCTTTGGCGATCAAACAAGGCACGAGCCAAGCTTTCCGAGGTTGAGATTCGCCAGAAGTATTCTCAAGAGGAGTTGGATGCTATGGGAGAGGACAGTCCCCTGTACAAGTACACTCTGTAAAGGTCCTAGGGATAGCGCGTTGCTTGATTAGGTGGAGGTGGACAAAGTGTCACTGGTCACGAAAGTTGACGTGGAGGATCTCAGGGAGGCATGCAGGCAGTCAATAGAATCTTACGCCATTTTAAACAATTTATCTCTTAAGGAGTGAATACCGCCATTCATAAATGTTCAAAATGCTTGTGTGATGCGCTTTCCAAATTGCCGGGTGGAATCTCATAAAATTCCACACACTCGTGGAGGAAAGCAAGGTAATTTGGTGATTCAAGAGTCTAGCTCTGTTGGAATGCTCAGGAGTTCTCGGCCGATGCACATAATGCAATCACGAAGGTCTACAACCTGAACAACGGAAAATCGCTACGACGATTGAAGATTTCCAATTTGCCTCAATAAACTTAAATTTCCCATTCAACTCAAATCTATTTATTGCTTTCGGCTTAGAAAAATGCCAGAGCGTTTGGTGGACTTGCAACAGCTCCCGGCACCTGTACTGAGTAAGCGTCTTCTATGCTTACTACACAAGGGCGGCTTGACTTACATTCATAGGGGAACTCGACATAAAGAAGGTATACCGTCCCAGTTCTTTACATTTCTTCGAAAGCTCTTCGAGGTAGAACAACTCACCAATTGGCATACCCCAACCAGCCAAAAGCCACTCATGCAAATGCCATTCAAGATCCTTACATGGCCAAACCTCCAACGATCGCGCATCACCACAAATAGCAGCGATCTTAGTATTCCAGAGAAACTTGAGCAGCTCCTTGGAGGGCTTTAAACCGATGTTATCCGGCTTTTGAGTCTTGTATAACTCGTTGAGATGCTCGCGCTTGGTGGCGTCCATGTTCTCGTACTGGGCTAGGTAGCCGAAGCGAATGACGATGATGTCGCCAGCTCGGAACGAGTCGAGACTCATGTTTTGGTACTCCAGAGTTTTGATGATTTGGTCGAAGGGGATTTCATAGGATGTCATGCCGTCGATTTGGATGCCTTCGTTTAATGCCCAGGAGTACCAGTCGATGAAGACGGCGCGCCCGGCAATTCCCTTCTCCGAGACATCTGCACACTGTTAGTAAAGTAAGATGAGGCGAGCTAGAGAGGTACGTACGGTGAATACTGTTGGGATGGTCTGAAGCAGCGAACTCTTCTGCTTTTCGGCCCATGTAGTATAACTATCGGGTCAATCAGAAGCATTCCAGGGCGTCTCCAGTCATACTTACTGCCTCTTCTTGATAAGCATAATGTCGAAAGCCATCCCATTGAGAACTGCATTGCGAATTGAAGCTCCACTAGTGCTGACGTTAGCTATCTGGATTACGTCCAAACTTGGGCAGGTTACCTCATCGTCGTGCGCATGCTTCAATGGCGCCTTATTAATCAGCTTCAGCTCAAGGTTCTTCCGTGCGAATTTCGGATTTGAGGCCCCCGTCATCGACCAACTGTCCCATGATTAGCCTTTGTTGCCAGATTGGTAGGATCACTTACTTCAAAGACAACCTTGATCCCGTCTTGATGTTTTCTCTGGCCGCTTGACTAATTACATCATCGTTCAAATGATTCAAAGTACCAAGCTGGTCATCGGGACCCCAAAGACCCCATGCGTTACCTCGAGGACCATTTTTGTCCAGGGGAAGTTCGTCAAAATTGGGATGTTTTTGGAACGCCATCGTTGTCGAGTATGAAACTGTCAAGTGGGCGGGTTTCTTTGCTGGTAGCACAGGCAATTTGAGCTATCCTCACGATTATTAATACTAATGCCAGCAGCTTTGCCGTGGCTATCAGCATTTATTCTCACGCGGGGTCTGATGATCGTGAAGGGGTCTCCGAACGGCTCACGGAAAAACCCCGACGTGACATCCAGCCATCGGACCCAGTCCGAAGAGACACTATCCACAGTTTTTACAACAGTTCAAACATCAAGTAACTAATTTCATAAAATTGGACTAGCTTAAAATACACCTCGTTTGCTTACAAAGTCTCCAATGTCTCGTCTTGTGTTTGCGCCCCTGTCAATTACTACCGTTCGTCGCCAGCTCCTCTTCAAGTTGTCTGTCCCGAATCCAACGAACCATATCGAGTAAGGCGGGATCATTGGGATCGATGTTCGGGACTGTGGCCAGAGTTAAACGAGTCAACTCTTGCAAGACAGGATCATCAAGATCAGGATCGCGAAAGTCAAGATACTCCCCACCATCGTCACTGTAGTCATCTCCACTGAACATATCCAAAGCGTCAGTGGACTTGAATCGCATAAAGGTAAGATACCCAGCCTCAGTGTCTCCAAAAGTACAACGGTTTGGGATAGCTTCCTCTACCAATTTGGTGAGGTCGGGATCCTCGTCCACATCTACCATGATTTCAGTTCCTTCAGGCACAAGGCGTTTGATAACCTCTAGCCTCCGTTTTAACAGGATGTTCCATTCGGCATCGTTTATGAGTCCTGCCCCTGGCAGATAGCCGTTTGTGCAGTAGAAGGACATAGGGTGTTGTATGACAATTTCCAGAGTAGATAGTCCCCCAAGCAAGTCTGCCCAAATCGGGTCGATCGTGTCTGGATCCTTTGGGTCCTCAGGATTCTTACAGAGCATGACCAATGCGATATGGCGGATTTCCTTTTGTAAGTAGGGCTCGGAAATCTTCAATTGATGCCATTGCTTATCGATATAGACGTCAATCTCAAAAGTGTTGCAGCGGTACAAGAGTGGTGCCGCCTCATTGTTTATTTGATGACAGGTTTGAACAAGTCGAAAGAGAGTGCCCGGATGTATTCTCTGTCTTTCAACCACGCTGGCTCCCCTGGCTCTTGTGTTGTTGGACTAATCTGCCAGCGGTAGCCGATTGGGGTGCAAAAGCCGTAGATCTTTTGGCGTAGTTCGGGCGGCAGATCCAGAAGGGGGAAAGTGTCTTGAGACGATGAAGTTGATGTCGACATTCTGCTGTTCAGTATTGTTTACGTTTTGAAGGATATGATGCAAAGAGAAGAAAAACGGCGTTCTTGTTCGCTTTTGTTTTGCTGTGAAGGATCGCGTTCCTAGGAATTACACGCGTGCGAGTCGTGAAGGGTATGGCCAATGGTAAGGGAAAAGAGGCGTCTATCGTCCCGTGACTGACGCGTATCAAAATACCACCAAAATCCACCACTCAGCAACATTACTGAGCGTTTACTGTGATCCAATCAACATCATGCTTGGCCTGCAAGGGTTGTTGGTAGATGGTCTTGTGGCTGCGTGGCTCTGCGCTGTTAGCGATGGCATTAGTACCTGACAGTGATGAATGTAGGCAAATGTTTTTATACAATTCATGACATTCAATTCTATCCTAGACTCAGATTAATTGAATTCGGCAACTTAATCAAACTAGCTTAGCATGCGTCATCCACAACCGTTTACAAAGTTTCTAATCAACAGTATCCAGCATTCCTGCCCTTATGAACTGTTTTCGTCCATCGCTAGCCACTCTCAAGCGCTTTCATTTGTCTCCAACTTCAAAAACAACTGATACAAAGGGTAGTAAGGGTTATTGTGATCGATAAAGTCATCGTCATCGTCATCGTCTTCAGACGAACGCTCGTCCAAGTCCAGGTCCAAGTCGTAGTCACGGTCGCTCCGAGCGAATACACCTCTTTTGAAGAACTCATCTCCAGCAGCAAGTCTCTCGAAGGTGCAGAGGTTTGAGATGTTGTCGTTTACCAGCTGGCGGGTCGATTCGTCCCCGTCCGTGTCTACCTCGACCTTCACTTGTGGAGGGATATGTAAGTCGATGAACTCTAGGTGCATTTTCATCACTTCCGCCCATTCATCCGGATTATACCATGACAGGCAGCTTACAATAAGTTGCAGACTACATAGTCCACTTAGCAACTCTGGCCATGCCTCCAAGTACCGACCTTCTTCGTGTTCGGGTTCATGCAAAAACGGGTTAGTGTAATATAGATTTATAACCATATGTCGAATTTCTTTTCGATATTTTGGTAAAACGATTCGCAGCTCCTCTCCAAAGTGAACATGAACGCAGTTGTTATTGTATAGGAGTGCTCTCGCCTCATTGTGTATCTGGCGGCTGGTTCGAAGGAGTTGAGGGAGAGAGCTTCGGAGGTCGGTGTGTGCAGACGTGATAGGTCCTACCGAATCAGCATTCTGTTCAGACGAAGTAGTTGTCTCGTGCTCAATATCTGCAATGGTCTGGATGTCGCCTTCTTCGTCCGGAGCTCTCTTGCAACTGCTACCGCATAATATAAAGCGCATGCTTTGTGGAGAGCAAAATTGATAGATTTTGTTGCGTAATTCAGGCGGAAGTGCCAGAAACGGGAAGGTTCCTCCAGAAGATGGCGTCGACATTGTGCTGGTCAAGAGTCCTCAATGTAGGAAGTCTTGAATCGATGGAGAGAGAAGGTTGCTGTTGGTTGATGTTCTGGGCAGGAATAAGTACTCTCATCGAAGTCGCATGAGGTGATGCCTAGGGAGGAGGATTGCAGGTGGCCTACTGTGCAAATGGCAGAATCAAAGAGTGGGTTTTCCCCTTGTACAACATGAGAAAGCCAATGAATTGAACGCAAGCAACTTGCATCATTCACCCCAAGGCTTTTTTCTTTGTTTGTCGGCCACTGGTTTGCTGACAATTTCTCTGTTTTTGCTCGAAAACACTGCTCGAAAACACCACTCTGCGTCGCGATTGCCATTATAGACGGGGCTGCTAGATACAAACTGCTCAAGGTTACATATGTTAATGAAACCGCTTCTCATGACATCCCGTTTGCATCGTTTGAAGTCGCCCCTCAAATTCGCATCAAGGTAAATCTCATGCGTTGTTGTCAATTCACTCAATAACACTCCCTGCTGGCGTCAAACATGCCGTCGTTAACAGAGACAAACCAATGTCACTCTATCTACTCCACTGTACCCACGATCATTGATTTTCTGTTTTATAGAGTCTTCTGATCTTCGTTGAAGACAGGATGCTGTCTATCAACCCTTCGTGGGTGTCAGGTAACCGGGGCGTTTATTCAACTACAAGGTTACGACGACTTCATACTAAACAAGCAAAGATGGGGGCTGATCTCGTAGGTCTATGGGATGATTGCGATCAAGGCGAGTGTAGAAAGTCACCGTCTTCGACAAGACTCCCGCTGTCCACCGCCGCATAGCCAGGTTTACGGTGGCAAGCCCGGATGGCAATCCAGCTGCGGCTTGTAACTGGGAAAGCTTCAAGTCCGTCAGACTGTCTCCAGTAGGGACAAGGATGTCGTTTGGGCTTTTCCTTTTTGGAAGGTGTCTTGCGGTGACGGAGTAGACATGATGCTGTTGAAAAGTCTTATATGACTCTAAACGGAGGATGGATAAAAAACTGAGATTATTTCGCTTTGTTTTGGGGTGGACAGCGCTCTTTGAAGCTGCTCGTCCCCTTTGTGCCTTGGTCGGTCTCCAGGGAGATGCTATGATAAGGATCATGAAGACGTCCGAGGTTCGGTTACGGCTTGCTTTTTATTGCAGATGCCAATTGCATCTAAACAGCATAGATGAGTATCGCGGGCAATTCAACTTTGGAATTTCGTTCAGCCAGTATTCTCATTCATGACATTCAATTGTATCGTATACTCATATCTATCCATCAAAACGCCTCACCCAAAACTCCAAGCAAAGCGTCCAAACTATGTATATCTATGCGTCATCCTAGGCGCAGTCGGCATCTGCGTAGTCTCTCTCGCCTGATCAAAAGATGGAGGATTCGATCCATCACTCATACTCCTCAACTTGGCCTCCTTCTGTTTTCTCGCCTTGCTCCTCCTTCTCAAACATGAGAGTAGACAGCACAGGGTGAGAAGAACAATGAAACCACCGACTGAAGCAGCTGTCGCGATAACAGCTGTGCGGTTTCGATCGAACCAGCTTCTACCATCACCGTCGAAGTCGTCGTCGTCGGTACAGTTTTGTACGTCGATGGGACATTGACCTGAACTTCCGTCGCAGCGCTCCTCGGGATCGCAGTCGGCTGTGCTTTCTCTGCAGACCAAGCCGCTGTCTGCAACGCGGCATTCTTCGGTGCAACACCCATCGCTGACGGGATCACATTCGGCGCCTTCACGAAGTTGGCATGTTTCGGGGTTGCAGCAGGAATCAGAGGGACAGCGTCTTGAACCACCGCAATCGCATGTTTCTCCAGGCTCGACAATTCCATTACCGCATTGACTGTCATTGATGTCTGGCACATCATCCTCGGATACCAGACAGCTTGTGTCGATGTGCTCCTCTCCAATGCCGGTGCAAATGGTTCCGATAGTACAGGGTGAGAATTCCTCGATTCCTGGTGTGCTTTGCGGGTTCATGATATACTGATTTCGCGCGTCGCATGTTGAGCGACTAAGCGGGCAACAGTCATCACTGCGGGAATATCCATCGCTGCATTCGCTGGACGTGCAGTCATGAGCGGCTCCAAAGTTATGCGCCAGCTCATGCGCAAAGACCTGCCATTCGTTGCTTGTGCGAACGACCACATTCGCAGACGCAGTACCTCCGCCGCCGTAGATAGATCTTCCCGATCGGTTGCAAATACTTCCGATCCAAGCGATACCAACTGTTGAGCCACTTCTGCAGGCTGTCAAAAGAGACCAAACAGCGTTGTTATCGCGCATCCTGTTTCTCCACCTCGTGAAGAGGTTGAGCCGGGTGTTGATGTCAACGTTGGCAGTGCAGGGGAGGTTCCAGGGCATGGAGGTCGGTGCGTCAGCGGGGCAGGATGGGTCGGACATGGTCAAGTTCTGGATTGCCAAGGCGATGTTGAAAGTATCCTCGTAAACCTGAGATGCAACATTGACCATCGAAATAATGTTATCGCGAGCATCTTGCATGTTGTCGAACTCAGCTGTGTATGAACAATCGGCTGCGATTCCGACCAAGGCAACTCGTCGAGATGAAGGACAGCCATCTGTGTCTCCAACGTGGTTGGCGGGATCGAACCAGTCGCTGGGGTTTTGTCGACGGGTGATTCCAAGGGGAGGATGAGAATCGTCTCTCTTCTTCATTCCCTCGTAATTTTCGGCTTCTTCGAATGCGAATTGTTCCGGGTTGAATCTATGGGCTCCACAGGATGGCTTCTCTGTCGCGGATCGCTTAAGAATGGCATCATGTTCAGGGCCCACCAATTCCTTCCAGACTCTCATGTTTCGTTTGGCTTCCTTCGAATCGCTATTATCCAGTCGTCGCGTCTGTCGATAATTCGAGTCGAGGGAAATGTGGTGGTAAGCGCCGTCATTCGTAAATGTACCTTCAATCACATGTCGTCCCTCTCGATATCGCACCATCATTCGTGCCCACCCTACTCTCCGTCGGGTTTGCTTCTCATCATCATTCACCCAAGCGACTCCCTTGTATAACAACGGGCTAGAGCCCTTGAGATCCAGAGTCTGTCCATATTTCTTATTCGGCTTGACATGCTCAATATTCGTGTTTTGTGTCAACACATGTCTTGATGGCTGCAAGTTGAGCGTAATTCGTTGACGCTCATAAGGAACATCAAACTCGACTTGAAATGAAGATGCAGCGCCAATAGTATGCGGATCCTGTGAGAACTCAAGCTTCTCAATAGCAGCTGATTTATCAACGGTGTCTCTAGCTCTTGAATGTGCTGGGGGCAGTGATGTCAGTAAATATGGACCAGGCCTAACATGTCTTGGCATGACATACCTTGCACTTGGAAAACCTGCAAGACAAGCAATAATAAAAAGGTCAAGAGACTCATAGCTGCTCACTTTCCACGACGAGAAAGGAAAGTAGATCTTTCTGAAACAAGCACTGGAATTGGGAGGTTAGTTAAACATATACATATCATTTTCCGTTCCAAGACAAGGGTTGCCCCCCATGTCGTTCTATGACACAGGGACTGTCTTGGCCAGTTAGCGAAGCCAAGACGTTAAGTCGCCTGGGCGGGATCGGCTTATTCCAAGGCAGCTGAGCCACTTGGGTTTCGTCAGAGTGCGTGCAGTTCTGTGTGTTTCACAAGGCTTCGGGGAGCCGAGAGCGCGAGGTTTACTCCATATCGAGTCAGATTGAGCGCTGCTTTCTCATTACATCAGAGGTCCTATCATATTGTATTGACATCTATCTAATCAATTAAATTACTACTAGAAAATTATCCGATAGTTGAGTCTCTACTGTTCCTGTCTCAAAAATAACCTTGTTCGTCGCAAATTCCCGTGGATTAAGCTTAAATTGTTTCTGATACACTACATCATCCGGCACCTCCGGGACCCGGACCCCGCCATGGAGTTTGGAGATGAAGGTACTGTAGAGGTGGGATGAGACGGAGATGCTGACAAAAGTCTTGGCTTAAATCCGAAAGACAAAAAAGACGAAAAGACCCTTACCCACTTGTAGAGTTCAATGACGCCCGAGCTGACGTATGTCCATTCTTGGCATTTCAGTCCGCGTGGTCCCCTTCTTACTAAACAATTAACAAGAAAAGCCATGTTCCACTAGACTGGAATTCCAAGACAAGCCTTTTATATTTAAGCATCATCTCGCATTTCTTGGTACCTGATTGGTAACTGAAAGTCTGATCTGAGGCTATAGAGGATCAGGGACTTCAATAGCCGAGACTTTTGCTAGTAATTGTCTCGGGTGAAACTGAGCATGCAGGAGATTCGTCAACGTGGCGAGGAATAAGCCATCTCTCATGTCGCACAGCCATGTTAGACTCTAACAAATACGAAATGTCCGCGTAAGCATAAGCGTTTTAACGTTTTAAGGTACAGTACTAGAGTACATGGTTTAAGGTCCCGGTACTGTTACTGTACATAGACGGCGTTAAAAGGTATGCACCGAAGTATGCATCGAAGAGGTAAACTTCTATGACGCCGGAAGCCACGGGGGGATGATCTACGCCCAGGGACGGTACTGCACTACATTGCACAATCCTTCAGAAATCCTGCAAATGCAGGGCTTCCAATGAAAAACAATTTCTGGGCGCTCGGCTTGTTCTTGTCGTCATTTGGTTGGTGAAATGGCTCGGCGGTGAGAAGCAGCCAAGAACGGACTTTGTGTCATCACCTTGAATCCCCGAGTCATCAAGGAAGATTTCTGAAGGCCAGCTGATACATTTTCGATGGTGACACTGCCTCAGACAATTTTCGTGGAATTATTCCTGACACCCTTTGGTTTAACTAACGTGGAGTGTATGACGATCATGTCTGGGGAACGCTATCTTATCTGATAAGATAACGTCAGATAACGAATTCCAGAGGCGAACATCTCGAGATTTACTGCGAATGATGCGTAGATAAATGTTTACTGTAATTGTAGATGGTCTTGTGACTCTTTGCCAATGTACTTCGAGTCATACATCAGTATTCTTGGTTACAGAACTGTTTATTGTTGCCGTTGTGTCGCGTGTTCTCTTGGTATCTGCCAACTGGGCTGGGTATGTTTATCCCAGAATTCAACGACAGATCAATGCAAGCTTCTGTGCTACTCAGGTGTCGTGTTTTCTAAATCGAGACTAAAGCGATGACTCGTGCCTTTTCTTTTTTTCTATTTTCTTTTCTCTGATTGCGTTGGATAGTGAATAAATCCAGTACAACCGATTCGTAGACGCTTGCCCAGATAGTTTACCCTATACCAGGGTCCAAGATGTTCGTGACGCCATCTTTTTTCGTCCCTTGTTAAAGACACATGACATCATTAACTTGGTCCCTTGGCTTTCAACACCAAGTGTCTGGTCCTGCTAAGCTAATCCCACTTGAGGATAGCCTCAAGGTTGAACGATATGCTCATTACACTCAAAAACTATCTCAACAAAACCTATGTTTTGCTAAAGGCTCAATACGTACAACGACATGTTAATGTCAAAGGCTCCAGTCCGATAGACACTTAGAAATAGAAGCTGGTAATCGCTCTGGTAAAGATGTCTAGTTGTCGATGTTGACCCTATGCCCCTCAGTGATGCCTACACTTTTACTGATCAAGGCCAATAATCATTGACCATCCGCTAAGATCGCTATAAACTTCGAGCTACCGGTAGGACGTATCATCTCCATTCCTCTATCCACAATGCGATTGACTGCCGACCACCATGGTTGGGCCTGGCTTTTATATCTCGAAAATAAGAAAGGTCTGTCATCTGGTCAGTTTTCGCATCCAAACCGACAAAACCCCGACGGACAAAATAACTATCATGCAAGAGAAGGGACCTCCGGATGATACAACCTCCAGTTAATCCATCCCGGGCTTGCAATTCTTCTGTCCTCAATTGATGTGACCTTCCCAAAATGCTAATATTCTTGTTGGTCACTGGATGTAGCGCTCGTACAGAGAATTTGAAGGACGAATGAGAATATGCTGACAAGACCGAAACGGTAATAACAGAGATTGAAATAAATAAACACGGGAGTGTTCCCTCATTCAACTTCAAGTGTGGCTCCCCATGCATGACTGCCAATACTACTAGGCATCCAGATCAAGTAATCACATCATCGGCTAAATGATATCAGGTAAACGGATGCATCTCCGCGATCCTAGACACAGCACGTTAATTATCAGCTTCCCCGCATGTGCGTGGGAGCGGATTTAAACTACCATTAATACTAGATATCCTTTCGGCGATCCCGCTCTACCATCCCACCCTAGCGTAGTAACTGCAGGGGTAGCCGACCACAATCCTTGCGATATCAGGCTTCTTCAGCAGGCATGGACCCTTGAATGGTGCGGTTGTTATCTGTGCGACCTGAGGGTCCTGCCATTTGGGGATTCTATCAAGGAAGAAACGTTGGATCTCCACTAAGATATGTTTATATAGGGCGGAGTATGCCTACCAGATATGGGCTATAGTGCAACCTGGCGAGGCATGTTGCCAGAAACTTGCCTTGTGATGAGGGGCTTCTTGCTATGCTAGTAAACACAACATCGGTGGAATCCCTAAATCAGCATTGTATAGTTTTCGTAATGATTATGAAGCTTTGTTTACAAGTAATGAGGGGGGCATGTGAATTTACCGATCCGGGATCAAGATGGGTATAAAAGAGCTATCTGTCTGCTCAGTCAGTTGACATTCTTGACCTTCATCCTGCCACATTAAACTGCCTGATTCAACCACAAATTAAACCTCCTCACCACTCCTCTACCTTTATCCACCGCAGCCATGTCTCTCAAGAATCTCTTCGCCATTATTCTCGCCATCCCCGCCATCATGGCCGCCCCCACCGCGGAAGCTAAAGTGGCCGGCAGAGAGGTCCTAGCCTGCGCTTGTGCCAACGCGGCGGGCGAGACCAAGATCGACGGCTACTGTCAATACATTGCCGGCGGAAATGTCGAAGTTGACGGCCGAGACTACGTAAGTCAATTTTCATCAGGTCTGTTGAATTGGGTCACTAACAATTCCATCTATAGTGCTTCCCTGCCGCGACGTGGTCAGAGTACATGGAGACTCGCTTCACAGATGACTTCTGCCCTGGCTACTATCCTGGGTACACCAAGGGTGTTTGCAAGACTGTCTCGGTTTGCCCACTGATTGGTGACTACCAGAAAATCTGCTAAACTTGCTATCATGAAGATGGTATGTCGGGCTTTCCAAAGTAATGATGTCGGAACATATTCTACTTCGCTATATAAACTTTATATCCTAAATGGACATATTTAATTACTTGGCTGACTGCCCTTGCTCCTAATGCTTGAGATGTTCTGAGAAGGCTAACACAAATCGTTCCACATAAACTTCCAGCCGTTTTCGAGTCAAGAGAACGTGGATGAAGTCCAAATATCCATCAGTCTAGGCACGGCTCAATTGCCGACTTGACCAATTAGCAAGCAAAAAGTACCAGGTTTTCCGGAAGTGTCAACCTCCTTAAATCCAATCATGATGATTAGCAACATTGGGCATTCTCACTCAATGTTATGGAAATCGCCGTTCGGTCGGCTCGGTGGGTCCAGCGTATCACGAGACTAAGACTATCTACATATTTGGATTTTTGATCAATTGACAATTATTGATCGCAGGATGACCCAAAGTCTACGTCATCATAGAGAGTACTTATTACCAAACAGTTGTCAATAAAGACGATAAGTCGCATGGCAACAATGACGATATAGATAAAGCTACGAGTCCTCTCGTCACAGTCTGATCAGAGAACTGCAGATTATCGCGCAACACATTCTTTTCAACTTTTCACTCGTCTACCTCACTTTGCGCATGTCCCAAAAAGTGCCGTCATTTACCGAGAGCGGATGGCGGAAGTTAATATGTGGCAAATCTGCAGACCGTCGTTACAAAGCCACTGAATCCGATCTCAAAGACCCAATATCTTATAGTTCAGGCCCGAGTTCTCCCTTGAAAGCTCAACTCAGCTGTACTATTGGTTCAGAACGCAGTCCACCTGATCAGACCGCTATCGCCCCGTACAAATCTGACAAGGCACCCTCTTATTCAGCCTATGAGCTTGAACTCAACAATTTGACAAACGATGAGGTCGAGCACGACGCCTTGGGTAATGAGCGAGACTTGCAAAACAAAAGTGGTAATGGATGTGAAGGGAAATATATACTGGAATTTAGCTCCGGCAGACCAATCATTACCGAAGTCATAAGAACTGAATCGGGTTATTGTTTACTTTTGAGCAAAGGCCATCAAAGTGGTAGAATAATAAGCCAAAAGTAAAAGGGTTCAATATGTTTAGTCCTTAAGCTTTTACCAACATATCTTCAGCTGTGGCAAACTTGAGAGTTCCATCCATGACTTTCGTATTTCACAATAACCACGATTCACCTCATCGTTGCTCTATCGTCAAGAAAGCCTGCGAGCCAGTTATCGCCAACATTCGTAACGATATCTTCAGCACGTTTTTGCTTCATTGTCTCGACAGCTTCGGTGCAGATATCCCCGAGCATGTCAGACATTGTAGTTGACTTGTCTTTGAAGAAGTCTTGAAACCACACAAGCGCCTTGTCGACATGCATTATGTCTTGCTGAAACTCCGCTTGTTGCGAGTTGTTGAGGTTGTTTGCCATTAGCATGACCATCGCTGAGATGTATGTGCACGCAGCGAACCTATATATGTTAGCTGGGTCATAAGTAGAGTGAAGTCTGACTCGCCATTTCAACCAAGTGTACCTTTGGTATAGCTGCTCATATAATATCATGTAATTCCTCGCATCTTCAACCATTGTCTTCCACTCGATGGGTAGTTCCAATAAGCTAGTCCCTCGCCCATGGTCGCGTATACCAACGACCCACTGCTCATCCCAAGCATGGGCTCGAGTTATGAGCGTCATGCACAGGAGACTCCGCGTGTGAAGGATACAAAGGAAGGTGGCCGTAGAGGGATTGTTACTTGTAGTTGCCACGACGTTAGCCCCGTTGAACTCTGCCGGTACGGTGGTTTTCCACTGATTGAGTGATTGGACAATTCTTTCCCTAGAAACTCTTCTCTCTTCAGGTGTTCTTTTTGATGCGCGAGTTGAGTACAGGTGATCGTAGACATCGCCTTGGATACTGGCTAGCTGAATACGAGAAAGCAGGTAGTTCATCTTGGTGTTACCATCAACCGTGGTAACTATACCGGCCTGAGCATCACCTTCGTCAATACCGGATAGTTGCATAGGCAGATCAAGATCAATGTCGTCGTCAACTTGAACGGAAGGCTGTTGGGCACGCAGACTCAGATCTTTATCCACAATGTAAGCCAACCAAAAGACACGAACATGCTGCCTTTGCTCAACGGGACTCAAATTCTTCGTGGAGATTCTGTTATGCAGTCCCATCTTGTGGATTAGGCGCATGGTAGCCGATATGATGACTGAAGCTGGCGTCATGTCACTTCCTGCTTGTAGTAACATCGCCATGCCAATTAATGTCTGGATATTGAGCAGTCGAGTTTCGCCTAGTGTGACGGCCCATACAACTGATTGTGCTTTGTTGACATAATCACTGATAGTTCCAAATTGAGCGTCTGCGTCGCCATCGTCCGGCATCTGTTGCCGTGCCAAGGCGAGAACAACGTTGATGGCAGCCCATGCCACGGGGTCTCGCTCACGAGGCTGCGTAGCGTATGTTTCTCCGACGAGTTGCAGAAGGGAATCAGGATCAAACAAAGGCATCATGGAGTTGAAGGTATTGAGATAAATCCCGATCATGTGCATAGTTTGCTGCAGCGCGGGGAGCTTCATGCTGCCGCTTGTATTGTTCACATCCCCAAAGTCCACGGCCTGAGTCGCGGTCGCATATTCTTGATCCTGATACTGAGCCTTCATTGGCACATTAGTGACTTGATGGGTCATCTAGATTATGTAACGTACTAGTTGTCCTTGTAATTGCTGTAGTTGTGCTTTCAGGCTCCGGATCTCTCTAGCTTCCGGAGGTTCGGCATCTTGCTGAGCTCTGGGCGGCTTCCACTTCCTACTTTGGGCAGTATGTGTACATGATGTCTTGTAGGTGATACAATTAGAGCAACGCGGCTGCTGTCCGTCGCACTTGATCTTGCGTGTATAGCACAGATCGCAAGCCTGTGTCAATTAGTAATGCTCTGATGGCGTCTCCTCGGAAGCACTCCACCTTTCTTGGACGGTTGCTGGACTGCATCTTGAACCAGGTCAAAACGATTTTCTGCTATTGGATGGAGGAGATTAGTCCAATATTGATTTGATCGACTTTGAAAGTCTTCCGTGGAAGTTTGTTTGGGGACGGGATATATGTCAGACGGAGGGCGTCAGCGCTTCCGCGGAAGCTGACCAAGCACGAATCTCAGATAAGCATGAGCCAATCACTCACAAATGGGAACCGCTATGCCTATTGCGGACTCCGGAGACTTCCATAAAAATAGCAGTCAATTATTACCAGTTTAATGAGAAAGCACAGCGTAAATACATTTAAGGAAATTTACATATGTCCATCCTTGACAGTTTGTAGCCAGACGCTCAGCGAAATGAGACTGAGACGGTCTGCCCCGACCAACCGCGGGGTACCCCATGATAGCCAGCCAATACCTTACTTGCGTTCAACCTCCGTCTTGATCTGCTCAACATCTGAAGCGATCTCAGGATATCCCGAGTCGTCACCAAGTCGTTTCCAATCGCCAAAGAACAGAGGTCCCGGGTGACAGATGGTAAGTGCAAGAAGGGCCGCCATGATCATTGGCCCATCGAGGACCATCAGAGATGGCTCATCATTGGCAGCCTCAGACTTGAAGCCACCAGAGAGTTCAACGACACGATAGATACATCTGATAGTGATCGTGATAGTAGCAATGCTAAGGGCTGCAAGTTGTTAGCCTAGTGTTCAAAATAATGGAAGGATTCACTTACCCCAGATAAACGACCTGAACTGTCTAGAAGCCCGCAACTCTCGGAACCGAGGGTTGGCACTCTCTGTACCCTTGCGGATGCGAGTCCAGAGGTGTGTTGCCAAGCCCATGAATACACCCAAAGATAGGACTTGATAAGCCAAGCCGGCTACCAAGATGTATACACCTCTATCAACCTTCTTTTGCGTCTTTCCAACCGCGGCCATTCCACCGCCCATAGCCTGGAGGACTAACGAGACAACATCAGAGCATATGAAGATAATTGCGTATGTGCGGGGCGCCATAAGTGAGAATTGTCTTCCATATGCTTTGACGACTCGCCCGAGGGACAGATAGATCGGCGCCGAGATGAGAGCAGGTGCAATAGTAAGGCACACGAGCTGAATAACAAAGTACCTAAAGAAGGATATCTGTCAGTCAACTACTCTACGAAAACAGGAGCATACAAACTTCTTCTTGAATATGCCATCCCCCCGGGCTTGCATAACGCGACCGGCATAGCCAATCGCTTCTACGACGCAACCCAGTACCAGACCACCAGCAAAGGTGCCCCAAACTTTGTATCGGATCGCGAGGTAGAGCTGAATAACGGCGAAAATGGCAAAGACTGCAAGATAAAAGGCGTTGGCGCCGAGGTTAGGTACATAGTGGTACCAGCCGTATTGCTCAACGCTACAAGTAGCCAATGTACAGAGACTGCGGTCGAACGCCATGTTGAATCTTGTGAAAGGGTGTGAGTAGAACGAATGCAAGTATGAATGGTACAGATGCAATGTTTGGAATCAAGTGGAATTTGGACTTTTAAACAATTGTCAACAATCTCAAAGGAGGTCTTTTCACGCGTCTTGTTGCCCTAATTGTTTCAGATGATCAGCCACGAAAGTGCCTTGCGCGCCTATCCTTCTAACCTCAAAGAGACACAATACTCGTTACTGTTGTTTCTGTTGTGTTGACCTGTCGGATACGCCAGCCAATGATAGCCTTATTCCCGGAAATCTGACATCTCAACAGGGAAATATTCCTCGAGCTGAATTATTATCCGACCCCACCCGGGGTATATTTGACCTCTCAGACGAACGTTACGGAGTTTTGTCAAAGCTGACATTCCTGCCTGAATTTGGATAAGTGCAGATCCTGTGGTGCCTAGGTAGCACGTCCTTTTGCTAGCCACAGTTTGGGCCTTCCTCGATGAGGATGTTGAGCTATGAAACGGCAGCCCCTATTCTTAACGTTCGCAAGCATAATCATATATTTAGGCTTTGTATTGGGTTCGGTATATTTGCTCTCGTCGTCAGGTCATGCTAACGGAGCATGGGCTGCAGATCCCACGACAGCTATTGCAAAAATGAGGGTTTCGTATTGAAACGACTCCGCAACTGATCAACGAGGCTATTGGTCCTCGTGAAAATCTGCCTAGCAGCTCTTGAGACCTATTAGGTTTTGCGAGTATTAGGTAAGATTTTCAATGAGTCTGAAAGGACTTTGTGTGACCTTATGAATCGAGTCTTGGTACCTAACTGGGACAACAGGGCCACATGTAAGCAATTGGGACCACCCCCTGCATGACCTCTGATGGATTGTGTTGTCCCACAAGAGGGAGGGAGCCATGATGAGTCAAGATTCGTAAAAGAACTTTGTTCAAGATGCTATAGCAATAATCAATTGGACAGAATCCGACATTGACGTACTGATGATGAAGTGGTTGGAAGTGGCTGTCTCAGTACTGGGCCCAGGTGAGTAACTGGGTGGCCTCCTGCTAGAGCCCCGGAGGACTACTGGAGGTTGGTTGGTTGTAGCCCTGAATCAGATCATTGCTTGCAAATATAAAGTTTTTCCTCCTCCTCTCTTCTGCCTATCTTCAAGTACTCCTGACTTTTCAATGACGTCTGCAATGAAAAGTCAGCTACTTCCATCATTCCTCGTCGAACATCAGAGCCGGAAGAAAAGGTCTCCACCATGGATTCGATGCCCCTCCTATTGCGGACCTGTTATTTCGATTTAAGATTTCGGTCCTGTTGACGGGTGAGTCTTGTGGCCCTACTGAAACTTTGATACCGTCCTCTCTACTGTTCAATGACTGGTCCCCTCTTTTGATGATCACCTCTCATCTTGCATCACCAAATTCGCACGATATAACTCCAAGGTTCACATGAGGGTTCAGTTGAGCATAAAATGCGTTACTTCCATCCGGTGTTGTCCCCTCTTTCTTCTAACAACATCAACCACCTACAAGAGACATCAACCATTAAGCTCGCCGACTTGGATGAAACCTTCTTAAACAGATCCTTGGAGCAAGTCGCGAATAATTGGATTCAAGCCAAAGGTTATGCTTTCTCTTAGGGTTCGTTGTTTCCAAACTCATCATCGAAGTAGTAACTAACCGATCAAGACTGCAATCTCTCTTGTGCTTGCTACTGTCCCAGTAGTACTGGCGGGCACATGCAGCAAAGGATGGGAGGCCGGAAAGGGACCTTGGTGCACTGGAGGATCGTATGGCTTTTGTATCCAATTTCTGGACAGCTCATGCTGGAGGCCGTGCAACCACCCTTTGTTCGGAATTGAGAGAAAGTGCCATGAATTCTGTTCTCATCTTGTCAGATACGCATGTTCAGGTCGGTGCGCGAGTGTCCGTAACTGTTCCGACTGCATGAATGCTGTCCAGCGTGTAAACGTCACCACTAGTGACCCGGAGTCGGGCCTAGACTACATGTACTGTTCCAAAGAAGGATGTAAGTTCTCTATTGCCTTAGCCTACACATCAGTACAGTCTCTGACGGTTCACTTTAGCGGACCACAATTTCTGTGGTTGCGATCTAAAGAACTAATAGTGTAAGGGAGTTGTTGTTGGAGGAAGACGGGCAGCTCCCCGAAGGACAGTACAGGGGAAAGTGCCTGGAATTTTAGTGGGACACCCGCTATGATGTCCCTTGCACCAAAGTAAGGCCAATGGCGAAAAAGCGAACTCGGGTAGATTGCAGGCATTGCAATAAAAGTGTTAAGAAATAGTATGATGCTCGGAATCAAAATGATTCGATTCTGAATTGCAAATATTGAAGCCCTAGCTGTTTCGTTTCGACTTGCCAGTTTGCATTTCGCATTTCTCAATCGCCGAGAAAGCTGTTGTGCTGCTGTCGGGGACTGAAAGTCGATGATTATTGGCCAGGTATCAGATAACCAAGAGCCGGAGGTACCCGCTTCTGCCCTCGGTCGGCGATTGAACTGCCGAAGGGGAAAGGGGTTACCTCTGTACAGCGATCCAGCTTTCTCCTATTTAGTGAAAAGATGTCTTACGATTATCTGAAGTTCCAAAAATGATTCTTCTACCCCTATCTGTGTATTTTCCTGAATTAAGTAGCCTACAGGGACGATGTCATGTACGACCCTCGGCTTAGACTTCGTATTGTCTTGGGAAGGCGTGGGGACTTGATGGCTTATCGATGGCTGTTCATTGGTAGACGACCTGACTCAGCTGAGCTTATCTGCTCGGCAGCCAGTTAGAATGCTTACAACAAGTCGGTGAGCATCCACCTGCAAAGTCGGAGTTTGATTCTTGATTCTGCTTCTGCTCCTTTGAGATAACATGATACTCATGCATCTTCAAAATAATCCGACATTTACTCCGTATAATCATACCAAGCTTAGAATCAGCGCATAGGACTAACTCGAGCTCTTATCAGCCAATGTAATAATTGTTTACCTTATCTCGCTTCCCATCACACCTCGTCCTACCAAGCCCTCCCGCTTATCTTTCAATCGCCGACTCATCCTCGCCCACTCCCACTTCCTCTAACCATCTAACATCGCCCGCCATCAGAATGACGGTCTCTTCATCATCGCCGTCAATCAAACCATCCGGTATAGCAACCCTCGCCTGTACCGTCTGCAGAAAACAGCACCTCAAATGCGATGCGGGAAAACCTTCTTGTTCACGATGCACAGAGACCGACCAGGTGTGCTTCTACGAGCCGTCGCGGCGCGGAGGACGGAGAAAGAAGCTTCGCTCTGATACGCAACCGAAAAGGCTCATGATGAGGTCGAGTCAGAGTGAACCCACCGGATTTATGGAGAGTGTGAATGTGAACCCAATCAGTTTGCCCATTACGCCGACTTCCTCGTCGCAGGAGGGCATTCCTGGGAATGGATTGGCACAGCTTACGCCACGACCGGCTCATCAAGGTTCGGTGTCGGATAGTTCGAGCGAGAGAAGGGCAAGCGATCATCAAACTCAAGTACCTCCTGCTCCAGTGCAGCAGCCTTTGAATGATCCTGCCATGTCATTCTACCACCACCTTGACCCGGGCCTGATATCGCACGCAATAGAGAGCACCAACCTTGGAAGTATCAACACGCATGCGCCGGTCCCGGCCTCATCTGAAAACGACCGTCTACTTCGGCTTTACTACGAAAACTTTCACAACGCGCACCCATTTCTGGTTCCAAGCTCCGCCTTCACATCTCGAAATTATCCGCCGTATCTTCGGCGCATGGTGGACTTTGCTGGCTCTCACTACTCCCCATCAGGAGCCAATGCGCAGCTCAGAGCTTCTGTCGCGACGGATATGCTGTCAATCACGGATAACTCAACTTCTATGGTTCAATCACTTCTCATCTACTCGATACTACTCTTCTTTGGCGGCGATCTCGACGCCGCTGGTAAAACGTTTGAGCAGTGCACGAGAATGGCCATGGATCTGGGTATGCATCTCAATGACTTTGCAGCCGCCAGACAACTAGACAATCCGATCGAAGCTGAGAGTTTAAGACGGACGTGGTGGGAGATTTATGTCACGGATATTCTCATGGCTATACCACCCAAGACGATGAATCTTCGATGTAGTAGCGTTCCACCGAAAGTCTGTCTACCATGCGAAGAAGCTTTCTACAATGGACGCCTGGATATTCCCCCACCACATCATGTCCTAGAGTTCAAACGGCGGGTCCTCTTAACTGGCGACGTCACATTTTCGTCGTACAGTTATCGCATCGAAGCAGCAACGATTCTAGGCCGAGTTTTGTTGCTAAACCAGAAGAAGAGCACCAGCCATGATCATTCACAATCAATCGAGAATGCTCTACTTAGCTGGTCAAACCACTTACCTCCCGGCAAACTGGAAATCGTAGACTCTTATGGAAACATCGACGAAATGATGTTTCAAGCACACATGGTCATCGCTCTCGCGAGCATGCTCTTACACCTCCCTCGCAGCAATCTTCACTCTCTTCTAGTGGACTCCAAAGACCCATTCATCCCAGTCGCACAAAATCACCCACTCTCATCATCCACGACGTTGATCCAAGGCATAAAAGCAACAGATGCATCGCGACGCATATCAGATTGCATATCCCTCTGCCCTAACGTCCCCAAACACACACCCTTCGTCATCCCCGCCCTTGCTCTTTGTGGCTTCATCCAACTCGCCACCACCCAAGGCCATCCCGATGAATGCTTCGAGCATCACTACAACCGCGTGACTTTAGTGTTGGGCTGTTTAAAAAGCGCGCGACGGATGTGGCGCACGGCGGAATCTGAGTACGATCGTCTTCGGTGCTGTGCCTCAGAACTTATCGCAGATGCTATGGATAGGATGAATGCATTGCCTTTGTGTCAGACTCTTCCAAATACTACGCCTGCGATAACTGGCACAGCTGATCAGGGAGGGAGTTTGTCGCTGTTATCGCCGACGCGTGGAAATATGGATTCTGCGATGCCACGATTTGATCCGTTGTTTTTGGACTCGGTTTGTTACGATTATTCGTTATTTAGCGCTTTGCCAGATTTCCATAGCTCTTAGACATTACTTAATTCTGCCCCGGATGGTTTTAGGAAGGATACCCAGTTAGACAAATTGATTTACTCCTCAAACTTCGGTGCCTGAAGTGATTGTGTTGTCGTACAGTTGTACTAGCTCGAGGATCGGTAGAAGAGTGGGTAGCAAATTCAGCCTTACGAGGCCGCCCGTGAGATCATTTTCGATTAACGAAACAAGACAATCTCGATCTCATTGTATGCAATTCCAATTGGCAGATCGATCGCGCATAATTCGGGGTCCACAGAGGCACAGCCCCGTTGGATTCGGGAAGGACATTACAGATTGCCAGAATCGGGTAAATGCAACTATCCTCGGTCCCGAGACACATCGAAATACGCTCATATGACTCAGAGAAGATGTCAGATTTCATGCTCGAAGTCATCAGTCCCTAGCCAACAAGAATTTCATGTTGTGTAGAAAACATGTCGACGTTTCAGTATCAATGCCTGCACGAAGGTCTCAATGAGATTCGCGTCATCACAACATGGCCTGGTAGATTCGACGACCCTATCAAAATCGACATTTCACATCATTCACTCGTTCCACCACCTATCGACAAAAACTCGCCATCGATCTCGATCGAGAAGATAAAAAAGACTATACCGGAGGAATCACCATGGGGCGTATTTAGTACACTAGAGGGTCGAACGATATTCGTCAGCAATGACACAGATGAGACTTCATGGACTCATCCGGATCCACTCGTTGACCAAAGTCTATACGATCACGAATTCGCGCCTGAGAATAATAAAGCTCAGCCTGTCTACGAGGCACTCTCGTATACTTGGGGGTCTGGGATCGCGACTTCACCTGTAAGAGTCGAAGCAATCGGAGATGGGACCGTAGGGTCATACCAAGGGTCACTGTGTATAGGCAAGAACTTAGACGAAGCGCTCCGATATTTGCGGTATCCTCACAGCCCCCGAACAATGTGGATCGACGCATTATCCATCGATCAAAGCGACATCGAAGAACGCAACCACGAAGTCAAACGCATGGGTGACATCTTCAGACTCGCGACAAGAGTCGTTGCCTGGATAGGACCAGCGTTCTTGGGAAGTACTTTGGCTTTGTCTACACTGAAGGACATTGCTCAGAATATAGTATGGAAGTCAAACAGAGCATGCGAAGCCAGACCAGGTTGTTCTGATCCTTCATGGCACAAATGCGACATTCCACCACGGTTCAATACCCTCACCGAAATTACCATCGGAAACCTGTTCTCTCGCCTCTGGTTCCGAAGGTTATGGGTGGTACAAGAAATTCATCTCTGAAGTCCGTCTTCGATAGTCCAATGCGGCCGTGAGACTATTCTCTGGACGGATTTGCAGGGCGCTGCTATGATCTTGATATCTGAACACGATGACGGAACAAAAGGACGTTTGCAGCGCCATTTGTGGGAAATGGCCAGGATTTCTTCTACGTCAAGAGTACAAGACTTGACGATATTCTTTGGAAGTATCATGATCTTGGTTGCCAACTTCCTCATGATAGAATCTATGGGTTGATGAATTTTGCGCCACCTGAATGGGCGAGCCGGATCGAACCAGATTACTCAAAATCTGTTCTGGAAGTTTACAGAGAGGCTTTCCTGGAGTATTCCCGATTCTATGGACGTCTTGATCTCTTACTGAGAACAGGCATAAATGGGGTTGGGACAGTTTCGTGTGATGAGAACTGGCCTTCTTAGGTTCCGGATTGGACTGCGCGAGCACTTGATACAATTCCACCAGGTAATGGTTTCAGCGCAGCAAGCTTCTCCCCATCACATTCAGCCCTGTATGGCCCGAACGAATTGGAAGTGGCAGGCATTCGTCTAGACACCATCCCTTATGTATACCGACTCGAGATCAAAAACTTCCAAGACTTGGCAGATTACTTCAACGAACTGGGTCTCGAGAAGATCATGGAGAAACGGCATCGAACAGGGGAATCGTTTTTGGACGCGCACCTGCATGTTCTTACACACTCCAGGTTCAAGGAGAGAGTTCCTCATGTTGGAAGGCCTGAGTTTGAGCATGTGCGAGAACATATAATCAATCTGACTCAAGGCAGACAAAGTCCGTATGACTTGACGCAATATCAGAACGAAATGATAGTTGGACTAGAGGATTCATATTGCTTCCTTACTAGCGATGGATATCTCGGCCATTGTCGGACGAGAGGAACAGTAGAGAAAGGTAAGTCTTTTACATCTTCTACAAGCACAAAAACTAACATCCCTAGGTGATGAAGTATTTATCCCCCTTGGCTGTCAAGTCCCCATCCTCGTTCGCCCAACATCCAACAACAAACGTAGATCTCTCGGCGACTGCTTCGTACACGGCGTCATGCATGGAGAGACACTTCTAGGCCCTCTTCCTCTCAACTACAGTGTCCAAGAGATTAAACGCAGCGACGGAATCACTCGAACCCATTTTCTAAACCATGGCACAGGGGAGCATACTATGGGAGATCCGCGACTGGTACCCATACCGTTTCCAAAAGGATGGCTATTCTCGAAATGGGGCATGGAAACCGATGATCCTATTTGTTGCCCTATTTTCGTACATGAGACAGGCAAGGTTGTTCCTCACGATCTACGGTTGGAGATGTGTGCCTTGATAGAGAAGGGTGTTGATGTGCAGACAGTAACACTAGTATAGCTTCTCTCAGATTTGATAGCGTAAGAAGAACTCACTATTGGTCTCTGATTCAATTCCTTCCGACACGCTTTCGGTTATCATAGGGCCAGACGGTTATGGCTGTGCCTCGGCATTCGGGTGTGTTCATGATTGGTGGTGTTTCATGAGGCAGCTGGCGAACCATCAGCTGAAAGTGCACTTGGGGCTGAAAGGTGACGTTTCACCGCCGGTATCACAACCCTTTCCTTTTAAACTTTACAAAGAATATTACGTCTAAATATCCATAAACTCACTCAGATACACTAAAATCTATGAATAGCGAGTCGAAGTCCCAGCAAACATATTCATCATATTTTCCAACCGGTATGGAGGTCATACATGATGACGCCGATGCCATCGCCGACATATGTCTTATACACGGCACAGCAGGGGACCCCAAGGTTGCATGCACAGAGTCTGCGCCATGGCTAAAATCACTCCTACCTTCCCAAATTGACAAAGTCCGTATCCTCAGCTATGGATACGGTCCTTATGATGGACCCGGCGAAAGACAGTTTGACGTATTCGATTGCACTAGCGATCTTCGTCATGGCCTCATATACCATCGTCAGCACACGCCGTTACGTCCACTCATTTTTGTGGCACATCGTGTTGGCGGATTAGTCCTCAAGGAAGTAGTCAATTACTGCTACTACAGCCGCCCCACAAGTCATGACGCCGCGATTTACTCTGTGCTTAAGGGAATTATCTTCATCGGAACTCCTCACAAAGCGGAATGGAAGCCGGTCGTGAATACTCGGATCGCGAGGTTATACGCCGGGTCTACTGATATAGTGGTGGCAGACGCCTCCCTTGACCTATATACAGATGCTAAGCAGGATCGCGCTACTTCGACACACATAGAGTCGGTCGGGGATATGAGCGAGGATGATCATCTGAATAAAGTGGAAGCAGTATCTTTCTTGACATATCGTCCTGAACCCGCAACAACAAAGCCCTCTGTTCCAGAGCTGTTAGCTACCATTGATACGATTGACGAATACGAAGCCATTCCCATCATCGCCGATCATATACAAATGATCAAACTTAGCCCCTCGGATGAAGGAACCAGACAAATTGCCGAGACATTAGACGAATGGACATCACAAATCAGTAATTAATAAGAATTCCATTAGATTTTCTCCACTAACTTTTGTCAGAATTATCACAACAGACCCCAACGTCTGTCGATACATCAACAATGGCGACCTTCCAAACAGGCCGCAGCACTCGAAGCATTGGTCTCCAACGCCAACGTCGCCATGAACGGTCTACAACCACACTTGTTGAGCGCGAACCGCAGCCAGACAATCTTCCGCAAGTGTCATATGAAATGCTCGGCCCATCATTGTTCCCGGAATCAGCCAAACCACCGACAAGTTTCTACCTGCCACGGCCCTGCTACATATTCTGTTTCTTGATGTTCCTCATTGTAGTGGGTAGTGCTAGCTTAGGAATATACTACAGCGTGCGCTATGATAAAATGGGAGATGGGTTTACGGCTGCTGGGTGGATTGTTGCTGCTGGTACCCTGCTATTGGCTGGTCCATTGGCTCGGCACTATCCGAATTGTTCGTGTTGGGGTACGAAAAGGTCTTTCTCTTATGAGTTTATTCGCATGGATACTCTGCCACATTCATTGTCAGCGAGTACGCCTCCAAGATATTCATTGGCAAGCGCTCACGCTGCATGTCAACGCCCGACCAGCACATGACAACAATTTATAAAAGAATTTCTTCTTCACTACCAAGGCAAGCCTCAGCAAGCAATGAAAAAAGCCTGTCAGACGTCCATCAGCACCCGTCCCGAAAGCGCGCCCGAAGGCAAGACCACTCGCAGGACCGAGATCATCAAGCAAACCTCTCTATACAGCCACCGCAAAGCGGTAACCGCCATCCTTGCGGACAGATCGAGAGGACCAAAAAGTGTTATTCACTCTAGGGTGCCGAGGATATACATTCATCAACCAGGGTGGGATCTGTGGCTCTTTTGGAGAACCAAGAGAAGGTCGAATACTATAGAAATGATTCTCTGAAGTATTGTCGACATGAAGAAGAAAGGAAAAAAGAATTCTAAAAGGTCGGCGGCTGTCGAGACTTTTATAGATGGTTGATGTGGAGTACGTGACTAAGCTTAGAGCAGAGTTTTCTGGTATGGGGTCTGTTGACTCGGCGGTATTCACGATGAGGCTGACTAGCGAAAGGGCACGGTTGTGAAAATCCTTTGAAAATTCCTTTTAGTGTTCTGGAAGATCCATTTGTTTGGTAATTGTTTTGTTTTATTCGCTGGTTTTGAAGATTTTTCTTCATCTCGAGAAACTGAGAGACAAGACAAAGTTCTCATTGGTCGACCGACTTTTCCTTGCTCGGAGAGATATTCTTCCGTCAGTGTCATCACGTCAGCCAATGATTGTCCACTGTTGCTTGGTGACTGTCGACTAGTTCGATGGTCACATTTGGGACGTTGAAGAAAAAAGCATCACGAGTTGGACAGCCAATGGTCCAGTAGCAAAAAGAACTGTTGTCACTTCTACGAAATTCAAATTAAATATAAAATACTTAAAAGCATTAAAGTATGTTTAAACCACTAATCAAAAGCTCGTACTGCTAATAAAGTGACAATTCGAGATGCCATACACGTAGTACAGGGTAACTAGAGTCCCACTTCAACACCTCAATGCTCACATTAGATATAAACCTACCTTGTAACAAAAGCAGAAAGGGCCGATAGAAGACATGCCCTTCGGCAATACCCAACCCGCAATGCTCGGACTGATGGAAGTCTCGAGGAGCATTCGGGACAAGGCATCAGCTCAACTCCTCAGCAATAAAAGACCCCTCATGATTCGCTCACACCTCAACATCGCCAAGCATAGCAGGTCATTCTCATTCCAGAGGCAACATACACATCTCCAAGCCATGGCAATTTCGGGTATCCCATAAAACCGGTAGCCGAAACAATGGTATTCTTTCTCCAGGTCTCCGGTGCAACTATGTATAGCCAAGTCTAATGTTGACTCGTCGTGGAATGAAAGCTAAACTGCAATTGGTCCCCACCTCCGATCTCCCCAAGATGCCAAGTTTGTCTGTGCTGCTGCCAAGTTGACTCGAGAATGAGCCCGTTTGCAAAAAAGCCAAGATCTCATGTCCGCGGGTTGGCTCCCCCGCAAACTAAACCTTGAAGCTTATTCTAGGCAGATGCCAAGAGTGGTTGGCTACCGGCAGTACGACACGGGTAATTTTCCAGCTCAGCTATTCAAAGTATCTTGTACCCAGTGTCTGTCTCTTTTGTCTCTATTCATAGCCCCGTATCACAACATGCAGTAGCCTCATTCTCTCCTGCATATAGCACACTTTTGTTGGTCTCCTGCGTCGAAGGCGCAACATCCAAGCCCGGATTGCCCATAAAGAAATTAACTGGCTTAAGCCCTACGGTGAGCTTTTCGCTTGGCATAACCGGCCAATCCTCAATCCTGGGATTATGCGTCGACCCGAAGGTATGCCAGATAACAATGTCTTGGTTCCTCACCGACTGAGCCACGCCTGTGTTTCGGCGCTTCGCAATTACTGACGCTAGTCCGTCACCGCCGGAAGATTGCATCGTGTATCTGCCTGCGGGGAAATGGTCGTTGTCTTCGTGTCTTGTTACCCAGACTGCATGCTCGGCGAATTCGGAGCGCTTGGCGTGGAAGGAATCTGAGTGGGCGAGAAGCATTTGGCTGTAGAAAGGTATGAGTTTGAAACCGATTGGTGTGCCTGTAATTGGATTGATCTTGTTCTCGTTGATGAATTTGAAGGTTCGCGCTTTAGTGAAGTCAAGATCGAAACCGCCTTCTTCCTCAATGGTCTGGCTCTCGGTGACATAACCCACTCCGAAAGGATTGTGAACAGCTGGATCATCGATCGGAAGCGACTTTGACTCCTCTACCACGAGAGAGTTTTCATGGCCGTCGATTGCGGGATCAATGCGAAGGCTAAAGAGATGTTGGTGGTATGGCGCCAAGACCCCCGGTGCGACAACAGTTCCGTATGGGTAGCCGCCCTTGTGGTCCATGGAGGTTGTCGCAGTTGATAAGATACCAGTCGCACGGACTTCATAATTGATTGAGGCGTCTTGATAAAAGTGCCATGCAAAAATGTACTCGTAGTTGCTAACGGTAATAATGGTCTGCAGAACAAGGACTCGAGACCTAGCGACGACGGGGTTGTTCGTGCGAAAGTTTGTATGCTTCCATAAAATTCCATCATCTTGTTCGTGGCAACAGATAACATTTGGCAGTTTCATAGGCTCGCCCGATGGTGTATTATGATAAGCGTCGAAGTACTTGATGGTGCCTAGACAATCGCAGCCAAGCTGTAAGTTATTGGCGTTAATGCCAGCTCCATCGTTACCAAGATCGAAAGCAGCCTTGCGTGGGTATGGAGACCGCGGATCACCGTAGGGAACAAACATCTCAGCTAGCGAAAGCCGATAGAAAAGGCTTCGTCCGTCGTATCGAATGTCGTGAAGAGTGAGGCCCTCTCGATAATTGAAGCCGACGCGAAGATCCCATTTCTCCCATCGCAAGTGATTGCCGTTGATGTTGAATGAGGGTCCATCAGGTTGGACCACTTGATATGGCTTAGTGCTAGCTCTGGGGCTTGGTCTTAAGTCAGGATGATATTCGCTCTTGGTGGTATTGTGAATTCGTCGACGATCGAATGGCCTCGTCTCGGTGTGAATTCTTTCGTCTGGCGTTGTCGGTAGGCGGTACACTTTTGTGACTTCAAGAGACTCTGATACTTCAGCGCATATGTCCAAAGGGTAGGCGTAGTAATTCGCATCTGGGTTCTCCAACAGTCGTAGATAGAACCAGCACTGAACAGGATCAGCAAAATATTGAACATCCCGGTGCAAGGGATGTATACCATAGTAACTCGATCAGTCATATCATTCATCCCATCCGTCGCATAAGCCCATGGCTCAACAACCACAGTAGCCCCATCAGGAATATTAAGAGTCTTAATCTCAGCTTGGACCTTCTCATCAGCAAGACAAGCTTCTTCAACAGCTTTCATAAAGTTAGTATCAATGTAGGAATGTTTCCCTTCGACATGCTGCTTTTTGACAACGCTGTTGTTATCGAGATCTACAATAAGTTCAAAGAGTTGGGTTCCGCTAGGATCTTTCTTGGTTGACACTTCGACTCGAGCATAGCGAGTGGGAGGTTCTGCCACTTGACCTATGAGTTCTTGTTCGAGATAAGAGAGCATCTGCTTCTTTGCGGGCTCGAGGAGGGTAATGACGCGAAAGTTTGGCTCTTGGCTTCCAAAGTGAGGACACACTATGCGCGAGGCCTAGGAAATATTTTAGCTAATGATGAACCTTGGTATAAATAGCGAACTGACTCTTGATATCTCCTCCGGCCTCAGAGGGTCAAACGGATGCGGTGGTGGTGCATTCATTGTAATAGCTGGGAATGAATAATTTTGATTGAGAAGATTGAGACTGAATTGACTTATGAATGTTTGAAGAGTTGTGGTGGGCTTTATTTACATGGAAGAAAGACAATAAAGTCGTTGAGATGAGGGGTCGAGATATCGCACGCCCTTCTAGTGGAACTCTATGTCTACTTAGATAATCGCGCCTTCCAACAACAACACCAAGGTAATACCAAAATTAGAAATGCATGATATCTCAATTATACTCAATTTACAGCTATTCTATAGAAGAAGACATATCTTGTATGTAGATGGGGCTCCTCACGGTTCCCCTCATACTCCAAGTAACCACGTCACGCTAGCCAAGCTCTCTACCTGTCATGTGTCACTGCAAGACGCAGATCAAACGGTTCGAAAGAAATCCCGGCCACATGGGAGAAGAGAGTTTTGGGAAGGTCAGTACCAGTGCGACGGGTCGGTAGCTTACTTGAATAAGGGCTTTGTGTCATGCATCTGAAACTGGATCTTGACATATGTTAGATGCATCACTGAATCGGGTTGAAGATATTGGATGATAGCATATATCTCGTTGCGGTTGAGAATATAAGGCTTTCCAGAGGATGCATTTGGACTGCCCAGCTGTTTGAACCAAGACATTGCGTATGGGTTCACTAACTGGGCAAATATCACTCTACTGCCTCCGTTCAGTGGGTTCAACCTCATTCTTAGTGAGGAGAGACTGTCAGTAACCAGACAGATCAGTCCCAAATTGAGAGTGCATGTCAAAGGCTATTGCTGGCACGACCGGTAGTTCAGCATGGTGCCTTCGTTTTCCCTCCACAGTCTCTCCTCCTTTATCGATTTGGCCCCATATTATCTCCCAAAGCCGCCCTTACCCTCCTGTGTCTCACTTGATTCGGACCGGTCTTGGCAGTCAAAGCGAAGAAGATATTTAGAAGATCTATCAAGGTACAATCTCCATTTCAACCGTTGAAATCTGATGCGGGTCATTTCGTTCTTATATCCACCTCGGTTAAGTCGGCAGTTTAGCAAGAAGATCATCACGACCTAGAAGAATCACAAAATGATCAACGACGATCTCATGTCTCAACTTGCTCTGCGGTAAGACGTTTTCTCTACAGTGGAGAGGCCCTAAGCGAAGCCAGGCCAGGGCAGGTCAGTTTAGCCAGTGGGTAATTTGGGGGGAGATGGGGCAGTGGGGTAACGTTATCCTCTTCCCTGATTTACCCCCAAATTCCCGCTTTTTAAAGGCGGTAAACACGGGGAACCGTATGGGGTTTTCCACGGGCATGCCTTTGCCTTGTGGGACAGACATAATTATCACATCATGCATCCAATGGGAGAAAGAGATGTGTCATGAAAGTTGAAACCCGCGTAAAGAATGCGATGTGACATGGGGGAGGAGAAATTACAGTCACGGACAAGTAACACCGAATGCGGAGAAAGACAAGAAAGGAGGAGAGAAGAGACACAGAAAAAAAAGCCACCCCTGACTCGTGCTACGGACGGAGTACTCGGTGGATTTACCGCCCCCCCGCGGGGTAAAAAAAGGCCGCCCAGTAGTAATTAAAAGCACTGGAACCAACAAGGGGACAGGGAAGATCTTGTTCAATCTTAGATATCTTACATACATGGAGATGCAGGCGGCAAGAAAGAGAAGAGAAGAGAACAGACACAATCACGTATCTGCAGGCAGCCACGCGAGTTCCACGTGTCTCATTAACCAGCCTAAAATAAAATGTGTTGGGAGGAGATGTGAAGGGGAGGTAACCAGGAGGGAGTCTCAATAGACTAACAAGTCCAAGCCAATAATGAGGGGAATAATTAAGCATAATCTCATCTTACACATACACGTGGAGAATATGCCATGTCAGAGATCGGTCTACATCCGCCCGGCTATAGATTCATCAATGACATAGGTTAAGAAACAGGAATAACCGAGAGATTTAAACCAGAAGAGGAAATCATTCCATCTGTCCGAGTGCAAAATACAGCCAAGCAAGAGAGACATTGGTAACCAAGCTTACTCGCCAAGATTGGGATGCGTTGTTATGACTTCCCAAAGCAAAGTCGCCAAGTAACCGCCAAGGTCTAGTTGGACTGGGGTAGCGTCACCTGATATAGCCTGTAAACTACTCAGAATCAGTGGAGTAGCAACAAAAAGATATGCATCCAACTACTGTCTTGGCTATGCCTTGGCGAAATGCTCCCCCCCGGAGACTGCAAAACGTAACAGAATTTCTCCACAAAGCTTAGCCCCCCCCTAGATTTTGCACTTTGTTCTTTCTTTCCCCAGTTTGCCCCAGTCTCTTCCCCGTCTTTGCTTCCTCCGCCTCCCACATCCAACCCACAACCATAATAACCATGAAATCTTCTTGGCGTCTGGGGTGTCTTGGCCCTCCTTTGGACCGGGTTTCCTGCGTAATTTGGATTAGAATGTCTGGGCATTGATACCCCGCGCGGGTCTCTGCTTGCAACCATTACGACGGAGCGCGAGGTTATAAAAACAGGAGCTGCTCTGTCCCCCAGTCGCGTCTCGAGTCAGTCAGCTCTCTCTCCATCTTCTTCTTCTTCTCCCCTTTACCACTTTTTTCATTCCACTGCAAGCTTTGAGCCTTCTTCTTAGGCCCAATCCTTTTCTGCCCATCATGGCGGTCGGTAATGAGAGTGATCGGTACTCCCCTACCACCAAGGAGGAGGAGGGTATCGCTACCAACAGCGATGGCCCCGTCAACGACACCTCGGTTCCTTATGTCTCTGAGGAGACGGAGAACCGTATTTTGAAGAAGCTTGACAGACGTATCATTCCCATGGTCTGCTGGATCTATCTCATGAACTTTATGGATCGAGGTAAGTTTTTATCAGGACGATAGATGGGGGGCTCAATAGCTGACAATTCTATAGTTGGTATCGGTAATGCTCGTCTCTACGGTTTGGAGGATGAGCTCAACATGGGAAACAATGAGTACCAACTTGCCGTGTCAATTCTCTTCGTCACGTATTGTGTAAGTCGCAATGAAATCTCATTCCACGGAACCAATTGACTGACCCTTATTTCTAGTTGTTCGAAACTCCCTCCAACCTTATCATCAAGAAGATGAAGCCCGCCCGATACCTCGCCGGTCTCTGCTTCTTCTGGGGTCTTGTCGCCTCCTTCACTGGTTTCGTCAACAACCTTGGCTCTCTGATCGCTTGCCGTCTTCTTCTCGGTACTTTCGAGGCCGGTCTTTTCCCCGGTATCATGTCAGTACACACACGCGACCGATGCAATGAACGCTTTACTTACACTTCCCAGGCTGTACCTCACCACCTTCTACCACAAGAAGCACATCTCGCTCCGCAATGCCTACTTCTACTCCATCTCTGCCATCTCCGGTGCCGTCGGTGGTCTTGTCGCTCTCGGTATCGGAGAGCTGGATAACTACGATTGCGAGGGGTGCGGTGCTGGCGGATGGAGGGCTTGGCGATGGATCATTACCATCAACGGTATCCCCACTGTCTTGACTGCTCTCGCTGTTCCCTTCGTCCTTCCCAACGATCCCGCCACAGCCAAGTGTCTCACACCCGAGGACCGTCAGGCACTTATCGATCTTCGAAGCGCTGAGATTGGTCAGACCGCAGCTGGCCAGGAGATGCACAAGGAGGACGTCATTGCTGCCATCAAGGACTGGAAGATCTGGGCCCTTTCAATCGCTCAGTACTGCAGCCACTCTGTCCTTTACAGTTTCAGTGTCTTCTTGCCCACCATCATTAATGAGATGGGAACCTGGACTCCCAAGCAGGTTCAAGGTCTTACCGTCCCTGTCTACATCGTTGGCTTTGCTACCTACCTCATCTGCGCCCGAATCAGCGACCGCACTCAGCAGCGAGGTCTCTTCTGTATCGGTGGAGGACTCGTCATGATGCTCGGCTACATCCTGCTCATCATCAACTACAACCAAGCCATGAGTTTCGCTGGCTGCTTCATTGTCGCCATCGGTCTTTGGACTGGATCTGGATCCGGTATGGCTTGGATCACTGTCAACCAGCCCCGATACGGCAAGCGAGCGTTCGCCAGTGGTATCTTTATCACTATCGGAAACTCTGCTGGTGTTGCCGCCCCCTTCCTCTTCAGCAACGCCGATAAGCCTCACTACCGCCCCGGATACGGTGCTACCATCGGCATGCTGGCCCTCGCTGTGAGCATTCACACTACTGTCTATCTTCACTTTCGACGTCTTAACCACAGAAAGCTTTCTGGTCAGGAGGACTGGAGAATGGAGGGCAAGACTGAGGAGGAGATTAATGAGATGGGCGAGTACAACCCCCGCTACATGTACACCCTGTAAGGCCTTGCCTTGATGTTTATTCATTTTGACTAGACGAGTTTTGTTTGATTTCGAGTACTGGCATACAATTTGGTGGACTTTCATATCTTGTACAGACTGCGATAGAAGATACCTACTACAATTGAAAAGTTTGCTCGAAGTTTTGATGTTGATGCAAAAGGTGACCATGCCCCTTCCACGTAAGCGCTTCTCCAATTTGATCCGACGTCATGAATTGTTATCTCAGCTAGCCAATGATATCTCATGAGCTACAGCCACAAGAGAAGTTTAGGGGATCTAACATCACGCTGCTGTACGAATGCTTGTGATTCTGATGCCAAGTTCCTAATTGCGTCGCAGACATTCACAACAACCTACTCTGTTGAGATGTCTGTGTGAAACACTTCACCCAAGATTCGTGGCAATGAGATGACGCAATCGAGGCTATCGTATTGCTTGGCTTGGTAATACTCTTGGCTTTGCTCTCAACACGAGTCCTGTTGCCAGTTTTCTCGTTTACAAATCCCTTGGCGCTGATGCGATGTCTCGCACCATAATTATCGTGGCTTGTGAAATGATGAAAGCGGCGTCCAATAGTCTTAAGCATAACGTTATGCTTACTTGGAGAAGAGGGGATGAGGGGATTAGGGTAATCGGGTGCGGAGTCAAAACTTGCTCTAGTCACCAAGGGAATAGCGTTTTATTCTCACGAGACCTGGTCTCTTGGGGTCAAGTGGGGGAATATTCTCCTTCGGAAATAAGCAGCAGTCACAACGACTCCAACTGCAGTACAATGACTCATGAAGCATGGCGTTGCAAGGTATAAAAATTCATGGGTAGACTAGCCACTAGACTACTGTACATGTACAAGGATTCTGGCTTCCTTCTGCAAGACATCACAGCAAGTTGACTGTGCAAAGTGCTTGGCGGATATCATCAGCCAGTTGTGTGTTCATCATCTCACCATTCCCAGACTGCCAGTACGTCTCCCCTGTCTCATCGTGGTCGGCGGGTATAAATCGCATCAAGTGAAGTGAGCGGCGAAACTGCCCATATATCCATCGTTTCTGTCTCTGCAGTTCATCCTCAGCTGATAATAGTGGTGGGCTGTGTTCCTCGAAGAGTCTAATAAGACTCGATAAAACACTCAAGGAAGCGATAGGGCCGTGGATGACATTATGACGATTGTGGTCGATCCTCGAAACATAGTGATTGCTCTTCTTGTAAGCGATGAATGTCTCGCTTGTCGGCAACAAGTCGTGAAAGCAGGGGAAGTGGAGTTTCTGATCGTTGATATCTGTGAAGCTCACCGGCTTGGAGAGATTGCCGAGGTAGAATGGTATACTCCGACAAATGGACTTGATTAGATCCTGTGTTTCCTGGCTTCTTTTTACCTGGGGATTAACACTTTCTGTGACCAAGTTGTTGAAAAGGTTTCTTTTGACTTCCTCGACGATGAGACGATAGATCCGCCACATGTTCCATATGTTTGTAATTTGAATGCTCGGATATATAACGACCGAGCCGTCGTAGGTATCTATACCTGGCGTCATGGTATCCTTAGCTTGTATGGTCTGACGGTGCCAAATCTCAGGTACAGTATGCAGCCAAGCATGGAGCTGTGCCTCGACTTCACAAATAATGGATGGAAGCTCTTGCAGTGCTGCCAAGGATATTTCCACTTTTGGAGATGCTGACAGGTTGTGAATCGTCTGAAGCCTAGAAATAGACACGCCGATAATGTCGAGCGAGTAGCTAGGATTTGCTGGTAGAGCCGGTATTATCTTGCTTTGTACCCAATCTAGCTCGCCTTCAGTCAATGAAACTTTGTGTCTGACACAGAACGATATTTTAGCGTGGAAAAGATTTCCAAGCAAATGTCCGTGATGTTTGAACTTCCCCATGCCATTTTGTGTCAGCAGGGCCAAGGCGCCCTTTCTGTGCGTGGTATTTGATTTGTTATGTCCGAATATGGCAGCCAAGGTGTCACATTGCTGCAACATGAGCGCCGCAATGACGGTCGCATCTTTTCCTTGCTCTTCAGGGCTATACACAGCCTCCTGTAGCTTTACGAGTGCTTGATTGTATAATCTGATAGGTAAAGAACTAGTGATGCCAGTTGGTTGTAGTAATGTCCAGAGCTTGATAGAAGTCGCATTGACTGCAGCGGATAGCGCGGAATTGTGAGATTCAGTTGCCAAGATGGGACGGACAAATTCTAGGAACCCTCTTGTCGACTCCATATTCCGGCCAACGTTGGTGACATACGTGAGAAAGAAAGCCACAGCCGCATCCTGCTGTTTTGGAAGGCGACTTGGAAGTAATCCTGGAGTCTCAGAAAACCCAGAAACCTCGTGCTCTGTGATGATGGTAGTGATTATCCGATCTGGTGATTTGAATTTATTCACACAACGTGAAGTCTCGTCTTTGAATCGTAGGCGAACGGGTTGCTTTTTGTAACCTGCACACTCGCGACCGACACGATTGCATGCCTTGCATGAAGGCTTCGTCTCGTCACATTTGACGCGACGTCTTTTGCAGGTGATGCAACCTCTGGAAGGGCCACGATTAACCATGACTTGATGATATATAGTGAATTATTGAACAAAAGATGAGAAGAGAAGGATGTTTGCGGCTCAGAGGCCAAGAACTTTATGTCTGCCTTGATCTGCTTAGTCTCGACTCTAGAGTCGGGACAATGCAGTATGCTTGCTTACTTTCCTTAGTGCTTACGTCGCGGTATGCTCGCAAAAATGTTTCCTTTTCTGGACAAGATCTTCAGATATCGTATTTATGTACGAGTACGAGTGTATGACAGAGAGACATAGAAAGTAAGCCGTTCATTTTGTGTCACGTGGAGTACGCATCAATGGAAATCTTTAATCCAGAGTCTTGTTGAGGTTGAAGACCAGACCAGAAGCCATCAAGTCAACACCATTGCGGAGTTTCAGGGTCTTTTAGCGGACCAATCCCTGTAGCCTCGGCCTGCGCGGGGACCGTTTTAGCGGATGCGTACTGACACAAGGCCTTCGGATGTGTCATCTATCGATTCAATCGGATTCGTAATTTTCCTCGCTCACGTATTCCTTCTAATGACAAATCACAAACCTGTTTGTAACTCCGTAACATTAGAAGGCCGCGCCAATACAGATTAGGAACCTAGTCCGCGGACACGAACCAAGCTGAGGATTGGATCACGTTCAGTGGTTGAGCAGGGGGATGCTGCGGGGTTAGCGGAGTATGAAAGATATATAAATCGCGTGTCCATCAATCTAGGTAGAAATAGACTCAACATCTACAACTATCTATCAAAATGTCTCCTCTCGACAACCCAGCTGTGCCTAAGGGCTCCATCGTCCTTGTGACTGGTGCCAACGGACTTGTCGGCTCTCACGTCGCCAAACAATTCCTAGAGTACGGCTACAAAGTCCGCGGTACTGTTCGAAACACCGAGAAAAATGCCTGGCTCTCGGCTGCTTTCGATAAGCAATATGGACAGGGAAACTTTGAGCTTGTTAAGCTAGAGGATATGGCTTCTGTGGATGCGCTGAAGGAGGTTGCTCAGGGTAAGATTCGCGATGATTGCTTGATGGGCCGAGGCTGATACGACAAATATAGGCGTTTCAGTGATCGCTCACACCGCTTCCAACATGTCTCTGAGCCCTGACCCCAACAAGGTCATCCCCGAAGCGATTGACGGAGCCCTGGCTGCGCTAAAAGTTGCATACAGTGTACCAAGCGTTAAGCGCTTTGTACTCACTTCCTCATCTAGCGCGGCGACCATTTCTGTCCCCGGCAAGCCTCACACGCTGGTCAATGAGGAAAGCTGGTCTGAAGGCGCCGTCGAAGTTGCGTGGGCCGATCCTCCTTACACCGCCAAGAGATCGGGTGCTGTTTATGCTGCAAGCAAGGTCCAGTCGGAACAGGCTGTTTGGAAGTACCACAAAGAACACCAACATGAGAAGCCTGAGCTAGTTGTCAATACTGGTAAGATCTCCCTAGGAATCATGACGGAGCTTTGCTGATCAATTTTAGTCCTGCCCAACTTCAACTGGGGCAAGTCTATCGACACGGCCACCCAAGGCTACCCGAGTAGCTCTGGTATGCCTGTTATGCTCTATCAAGGCAAAATAGCCTATGCCCATCATTTCACCGTACCGCGTAAGTCCCATGTCCATCTACAGACACATCCACATACTGACTATAGATAGAATACTTCATCGACGTCGATGACACTGGAAGACTTCACGTCGCTGCCGCCATCTTCGACCACGTCAAGGATCAACGCATCTTCGGCTTTGCAGGCCGCTTCAACTGGAACCAAGTTCTAGACATTCTCAGAAAGCACTACCCCGAGAAGACATTCCCTGAGAACTTTCAAGATGGAGAGGATGCAAATGAGATTGAACCTAGAGACAAGGCTGAGCAGCTGCTGAAGGATCTGGGTCGCCCTGGTTGGACTAGTCTGGAGGACTCGATTATTGCGAATGTGGAGGATGTGGACAGTGCTGGGGAGGGTCTGTATGTGAAAGACTACAGTGAGTTTGAGCCAAAGATTTAGAGTGGAGAAAAGCTTTGGATAGGAGCTATAAGATTCGACCTATTATAGGAGCTTAAATAACCTTTCCTGAAATTTCTGATTGTCGGAGTCTTTATCCTTCTCCCAAGCATCAATGATTTCCCCATCCATAATTCCATGAATATAGACTGACCCAAGGTAGAAGTACTCATCTGTTGCAGACTTTTGCCGGATGGCATATGGAGTCGAACCACCGAAGAGAACGCATACTTTGTCCCCTGCCTTCATGCAGCGAGGACCAATACCAACATAACCCTTATCCGTAATGAAGAAGTTTTGATCCCGAGAGATTGAGATCGATTGGACGAAGCTCAAACAATCCCGCACCTTTTGCGCAGGTTTGCAAAGCATGAGAAGATCCTGGGCAGTAGATAAGTACTCTGGGTTGTTTGGATATCGCCTTCTGATCTGTTCTAATCCCAATTGCTCCTCAGAGGTAGGTTCTATCTGTGGCTCATCTTCAGGTACGGGTCCCCTAGCTTCTAATGCAATCTGGATAAGGTCAAAAAGCTCTGCATCATAGCCTATTGACAGCATGATCTGCAGCATGGTGGCAGCAGAAAAGGTTATGAAGTCGTCAAGGTGGGATTCATCCTCTAGACGCTCCAGCGTGGGTAGCCAAAGAACGTCTCTCTTTCGGCCCGCCATCATGGTTAGGAGAATAACCTTAATTGCATCCATCTTGTATGTTTGTTCAAAAGGAACATTGTGATTCCTGACCATTTTCAAGGCGGCCACAACGCTGTAGTGCAATTCCGGTACTCGATTTGATTCCTGTACCCGACTAGATACCGGTCGTTGATTTAATTCCCTCACTTGATTTGATTCTGGTCGTTGATTTGGGTGCACATCTAGTACCACACCAACCTCCAGGCCCCTCAACTCAAGGACTTTTGCATTGCTCGATAGCTTCGTTATAGTCTTGGTGTCCTTTGAGGCTTTGAATTTGCCACTAACGAAGCCGGCCACGGAATCCTCAGGCTGCCACCGTGGCGCCCAAAGAGGGAAATGTTTTGGTTCATTCGGGTCTTCGACATAAGCACGGTCCAGAATATCCAGGTTTCCCTTTGTAGATATGACCCTTACAGCAAAGTCTGCGAATACTTCAGACTCAGGCTTGGTGTAGTCTGGATTCACATTGTAGTGATGTTGGCCTGCCAGCCCGACTAACGCGTAGATCTTGTCCTGTGGAATTGTAGCCTTGGATCTTGACGCAAATCGAACAAGTTCTAAAAGGTCCTTATCCTTCCATTCTCTTTTTCCAAAGAGGTTCATGGAGACCGGATGCCAATTAATTCTGGGACAGCCCTCCACTGCATCTGGTTCGGTCAAACAGAGAAAGAACATCTTGTGTGTTAGCGAGTCATATTCGTCTTCGGATATTGTGATATCTCCCCATAACAGTCGAAACCTGGACGATATAGCTAGCTCTTGTATGATCCACACCCTTGAGAAGTATGAGGCACTGAGCATCAAGTCCAAATCTGTCCAGACTCTTGAGTGTCGAAGGGGAAGGCCCAATCTTGCCAGGTCCTCATCATCAGGGAAGTGTGACATCCCACAAGCATAGTCTTCTCTCATGTTGGCAAAGGCAGCAAGAAGGTCTTTTACAGAGTTTGCCGCCTCAGTATCCGCTTGGCCAAGCCATGCAGTGACCATGATGGCATTAGAGTAGATCAATCTCATGATACTGACTTGCGCAGAACGCTCATCGTTCGACTCCTGATTGATGCAGATTTGATCGATCCAGAGAGGGCGAGGTCGATCGGTCAACCTCAGGCGGCGCAAGGTAATATCGAGGCTTTTAGTGACTTTGAAGTCGTACTTATTGCACTTCATGGAGGTTGATTCAGTCTTGCTCCCCCATTCGTAACTGAGTGCCTCATATTCCGGAGCTGCATCGAGACGATGGGTTTTTAGAGAACCCTGGATTTCATCTTGTTTTTCTCCGGACTCAAGAGTGAAGATTCGAGAGGAATCTTTGTTCAACCTCTCTGGGTATTGAAACCACATAGTACACAAAGCAACCAAGGTTGGTAAATGATAATACTCAGACTGTTCGCTGTGATGTAGGTAGGAAATGATGATAAGACGGGTTATGAGTGTTGTTGACGCAAATCGCGCAAATTGCGCTAGAATTTAGGCAGAAATGATCTTCATGCATGCAGTAAATATTGACCCAGCTGGCTTACCTGCATATGGTGAGGTGGCCTGCACCACCCTTTGCAACGAATGGTCTTTCCGGAGCAAGTGGTATTGTGTCCACATCACTGCAGATACCTGTTGCTAACAACTTGGAAATCTTATTGGTTGGTAGACATATCTGTGAAGAGGCTGGATGCGGACATTCTGGTCCGACGACATAGTGGAGGACGAGGCCATTGGTCTTGCAACTTGAGACGGTCATTACAATATGCTGTACAAGAACGACCTGATCTTATAGTACTTACACTATCATTGAACACTGACAAGAGTGTTATGGGCGAGTTGATTAGATCCACCACAATTCCTGGCTGCTCAATTTCTTTTGTCTGGAACCTGGTGTTTGGCTATACAACGATATGCATTGACGGTTGAAGCCATATACATACTAGAATCAAGAGACTCGGGAACTTTGAGCTCATTTTACCGGTTGCAAATTCAGAGTGGGGTGTCGCATTAGGGCACTCATAGTGGCTGGTCAAGGAGACCAAACGGATGCGCAAAAAGAAGGCAGAGACTGATATTGCATGATTCAAAGCCATTTTACTTGAGTTGCAAAAAAAAAGACCTGCATTTTACAGGTGGCTGGATCTCTCCCGCCGGGAATTGAACCCGGGTCTCAAGCGTGACAAGCTTGCATACTGACCACTATACTACGGAAGATGAACAATCTGATGACTGCTGTAGCGGGGTTGTTGGAGGCTGATCCGCTAGACCATACTAAGAAGCCTTGACAAACACCGACTTCAACATTTTCGGGTTATCGGCCTACCCCAGACGTAATGAACGTTATCTATCAGTATTCCCATAGCTACATCCGAAAGTACGCGAATTTCCTGTTAGATAGATTGTTCACAGGCAAGATCACTGCTTGACTAGTTATGGGCATTGCGCTAAGTTGTCATCTAGACATATCCCTTGATGATAAGTAATAATCTTCGCCGAATCATTCTCATTTCTCTCATCTCCATTTTGATGAAACTCTGAGACCTTGGAAGAATTTTAAACAAAACGTCCCAAGATGGAAGTGGAATATGGCGTCATGCGCACGGCCTGTCGTATCGCTTTTGCTTTTGCTTTTGCTGGTCGGAAATGCCGCGGACCTCAAACACTCGTAATGATCATTTGGTTGAGTCAAAATATTACCGTGATTACGAGGACAAGCGCGTATCGTCGCGAGATTAATTCTTGGATTCTCTGGGCGTTATCGTGAGTTGGCCCAAAGGCGGCCCAATCGTGAGATGCAGGATCTCAGACATTGTGCCCGACAATCTGGCTCATGGGTAGTATGCGTAAGACAACCAATAAAACTAACAGCAATGCTGTCCTGGAAGAGATTTCCAAGTTTGACAGAGATGATCGATTTGACAACTTTCCAAAACTAAGAAAAAAAGTAATTATTTTGCTTTTTCTTTTGACATGACTCTGACATCAGTTAAATGACCTTGTTTATTCCACGCACTAGCCAGACGACCCATAGATGATTTACGGATCTACCATACAGATTTCCCGTCAGCGGGATTCCACATAGCCAAAGCCACAACAATAATCATACCAAGAAAGGAGAAAAGTAAGCAATACTCTTGCAACCTTTCGGGATTTATAAGCCTAAATTCTACAAAAGATTCCATAGGAGGCAATCGTAGTGAACAGCTGAGGGTCTTGAGTGACTATCGTAACAGGGATCATCAATCCGAGGCTAGAATAAGCAAACATGGCTGGGCGAATGTGAGGAATCATATTTTCATATCGCCGGATGATCTACGTTATGGAGTATTAGTTCCGAGTTGTCAGATATAAATCTGCGTTGTACATCCTTTCCATTTCGGAAACCTTTCACTCCCTACTCTCCATCTTTTTCATCTCGACATGAAGTTCCACGCTTCTTCTATCGTCCTCGTCGCTTGTTTGACAACAGCTTCAGTAGCTGCACCTCCTAAACCAACACACGAAATCATAAATGTGGACGTCGCTATCATCGGTGGCGGTGCTTCTGGTATCCATGCAGCAATCCATCTCAAAGACGCCGGCGCTAAAATCGCTGTGATTGAGAAGAAGGACCAGATCGGGGGCCATGCCGAGTCACATGTCCATCCCGAGACAAAGGCTGTTGCAAATATCGGCGTTGTGCTATTTGAGAACAGCAAGACTGTCGAGAAGTACTTTAATCGTCTTGGCGTTGAGACAACTCTCCGTAATCCTGTCAACACCACGACCGAGACCAAGCAATATGATTTCTCCCTGGGCATCCCAATTCCTCCCCAAGACGCTTCTGAGGCTGCAGCGACTGCCAAGTCTATAGCCGATGCAATGCAGGCATATATCAAGATTGTCATTCCCAAATACCCATGGATCGACCAAGGCTATACTTTTGTCCCCAACCCCGTCCCCGAGGAGCTTCTCCAGCCTTTTGGCAAGTTTGCCGAGCAAAACAATTTCACAGCTCTGCTTCCTCTTATCGCACAGTTCAACTGGTACCCCGGTCATATCACTGAGATCCCAACTCTATATGGTATCAAGAAGTTTGGACCTGGTCTGATAAATAGTATCGTCAACGGTTTCATTGTTCCCACATCTGGCAACGCGCGGACTGTCTATGACGCTGCAGCTCGCGAGCTCAAGGACGAGCTCTACCTCAACTCGAACATCGAAAAGGTCAACCGCAAGGAAGATGGTGTTGTCGTCACTGTGAAACAAAATGACAAGCGAGTCATTTTCAAGGCGCGCAAACTTCTTGTCGCTATTCCACAGACTTTGAAGAACGTCGCTCGTTTCGACCTCCGTCTTACTGAAAGAGCCTTATTCTCCAAGTTCTCTGCTCTCGGCTACGTTGCTGGTGTCGCCAATATCCCTGGAGTCGACTACAACCTCCAAAACGTCGGCGCTTTGACTCGAGCTCATACACCCCTCATCCCCGGAAGCAACGGCTACAACATTCCCCCAGGCTTCTCAGGCCAATTCCTCCTTGGTGTCGCCTTCGACCACGCCGACTATACCCTCGAGCATGCCAAGGCCGTCATACGCAAGGAGCTAGCGAGTCTTGCTCTTGCAAATGCCGTTCCAGCTGACACAGCAAAGAAGGTCACCTTCCCCAAGCTGGCCAACCACGCTCCTTTTGAACTTCATGTTTCTTCCAAGGAGATTGGCGATGGCTTCTTTGAGGATCTTCGTCAGCTTGAGGGAGAGCGTAACACTTATTGGACTGGTGCTGCGTTTGCTGGTCATAACAGTGGTTTGATCTGGCAGTGGAATGAGGCTGCTGTTCTACCTGCTATGAAGAAGGAGCTTGGTCTTTAATTTTGACGGTTTTAGTTGGAATTGCCTGTCTGTGTTTCTTGTGGCTGCTATACTCATTTTCGTTCATCTTATCCATGCATACGCTCGGAGTTCTTGTTTCTCAATCTGACTATACCTTCATTTCCTATACTTAGACCACCTTTACTGCAACAATCATGTCTGTTCTTGAGTACCATTAATTCACATATCTTACAAATGAGTTCAGTATAACTGGTTGCCAAATCTTCTGTGACTTGGTACAATGCTTTGAACAAATATTAAACAGCAACTCCAACACATGTCCTCAGACTTACCATATCACCTTCGAGTCCATACTTCCATAGTTCAATTTCTTTGCAATCAGATAAAAAAGAATAACTCAGGTCATCGTGCTCTGCCAATTTATCCGCTGCTTCCCTTTTGTCCCCGAATGTTGGCGAAACTCTCCGCGTCCTGGTGTCCCGCTCACACAACAACCTCTGGATAACCTCAAAACAGCAAAAAAGAAACTCGTTGCTCGCAAGAGCTCGTACTGCGTAATCTGGGAATCGAACCCAGGGCTCCCCGATGGCAACGGAGAATTTTACCACTAAACCAATTACGCGGTTACTGTTTGTTGAAGATTGGTGTTACAATCAGAGTCTTAGAGCAGCTTGACGGCAACGGAAACATCTAGTGCATGCTGAGCCGACCATAAAGTTCACACGACAGCCAGTTATCGATGAGCCTTCCAGCGCTTCTGATTAACGCTCGTGGAACATAAACGTTTGGCTTGAGTTGGTGTCCCATTTGTTTCTCCCTTGATCCTAGTGCGCTCGGTTGAAGGTCCATCAAGTTGCCTATTATAGTTTAGCTTCCGGCCTCAAACGTCATTCGCGATAGCTGCCCCAATTTGTTAATTCTTGCCGGACGCTCGGTAGATCTTCTGGAAGCATGACTTCCAAATTTTGTTCTTACATCTCATAATCTGCACTCAACAATGATGGACCATACTGTAATCTGGTCACTCATCGTGGGCACCGCCGTTGCCGCGACAATCTACTTGTTATCGCAGCGTCAAACGGCACCAGAGGCGGGGCTTGAAGTCACTCAGGTGAGATAAGAGAGACCTTGAGAGGTGTGGCACATCAGCTGATCAGTTTACAGCTCTATGTATATCCAGTGAAGGGATTGAGAGGATGCGCAATTGACAAAGCACGCCTTGGTCCATTCGGCTTCGAAGGAGACAGAACCTTCTGTCTCCAGAAAGTGAAAAGAGACGGCGACTCGGAACCCCAATATGAAACCATGTTCATCGGATATCACCTCAAGCTTGCGCTTTTCCAGGCTGCTATCGACTACGACAAGAGCCAAGTGACAATCCAGTGGAATGCGGACAAGACCGACGACAGCATTCATTTCCCTCTGAAGCCTTCTCTGGAAGGTCGCAAGGTCATTGAAGCCAATCTCCATACAAGCACTACTAAAGCTTACGACATGGGAGATGACCTTTCGAAATGGTTTTCCGATCGCCTCGACCAAGAAGTGCGATTGGTCTACATCGGCGACGGCTCAAGAGCTGTTTTAGGATCTCTGGCACCTCATAGCTCCGATGGTTTACAAAAGGCCTCATTCACTCAGCGGCTGAAGAACAGCATTCCATTCCTTGCACATCCACCCGAACGAATTACTTTTAGTGATCTCGCACATTACCTGGTTGTCACAGAAGAGTCTAACAACGAAGTATCATCCCGCTTGAGCGAAGGCTACTCGATGGATGTCACCAAGTTCCGACCCAATATTGTTGTCTGTGGCGCTTCGGGAGCCTTTGCCGAGGACTTTTGGGCAGAGTTAGTATTCGATGGTGGAGTACGAATGGCGATGACAGCCAATTGCTTTCGATGCCAGAGTATTACCGTGGATTATGAGACTGGAAAGACAGCGGCCGATGATACGGGCACCGTTTGGAAGAAGTTGAACAAAGATCGACGAGTGGACAAGGGAGCCAAGTATAGTCCTGTCTTTGGACGATATGGCTTCTGTTATGGTGACGACATGAGCAAGACGCTTTCGGTTGGGCAACGAGTCAATGTCACCCGCGTCAACAAGCAGCGAACGACCATGGGTGAGTGACCAATTCCCAGAAGATGGAGTACATACTAATAGAATAGACTGGCCGACACTCAGCACTTTTGGTGTTTCACAGAAGAAATAAACGGCGAGGATGCAATTTGTTGATCCGTTTTGCAATTTGACGCGTCTTGTCGCGTAGGCGGGGTTCTCGCGATCTGGTTACCCTATTGCTGGAAGGAATCATGGCTCGGGATTGCAGCAAACTGTCTGCGATTAACAATGAGCATCCATTAAAATACTTGAATAATTAGAGAAATGCTCCCTACAATGAAAGTGAATTTATGTATGATGCCATTGGGATGATATGTGGCAAGAACAGATATACCATTAACATTTTCCCGTCGAGGGTTGAGCTGGAACAATTGTCATTCCATAAGGTCTGGAGGTCGGACTAGCACAAATCACAACGAAGATGGCTCTGAGTTCGTGGCTGACTTAAGAGGTCAATCTGTACTTCAAGGTACATTACTAAGACACCATAGCATATATAACATGGACGGGACCATTGAAGAACGTTCATCTGAGCATTCTTGACTTAGCCAAGACCAGAACGCTAGCCCCACGATCATAGACGCTAATGGTCACACCAACTTTCATCCAATAACAGCGCCTCAATGGCTCAGTGGTAGAGCGTGTCACTAGTAATGACAAGGTCCACGGTTCGATCCCGTGTTGAGGCACAATAAGATGTTCATTGAACCATTCTTTCTTTTTGCAAATTCTTCCAATTATTCAATCATCCCATTAATTAGATATAAGCATCACGCACCCAATCCAGTTCCAGGCGCATCGCTCTCCTTCATGGGAGTAGGCATCTTCAACCAACCCCTCTTATCAGCAGCAAGAATCCCCTTCAACCAAGCATCAGCCATCTTATCATAACCATCATCATTGGGATGCTTCGAGTCAGCCAGATCAGCTTTCTTGATATCAATTGGAACCTCCAGAATCTTCTTGCCGGACTTTTGTCGCGCGGCGATGAGTGCTCGGATTTTGGGATTGAATTTGTTGGTGTTGGCTTGCATTTTCGCATCATCGGCCCAAATTACTGGTGCAAGTAGAATGGTTACGTCTGAAGAGAGTTTGAAGATGCCGTCGACAATATCGGCCATGATCTTGTCTGCGATGTCGAGGTCAATTCCTCGGTCCATGTTGTTTGTACCGGCGTGGATGAGGACGACGTTGGGTTTGGCTTTCATGGGGGTTTGCCAGTACCCGTTGATGTCTGATAGAAGCTTGCCGCTGTGGCCTTCGTGGTGTGCATCGACCATGTTCCCATTCTTCAAAGTGCCAACCATATTGACCTTGACACCTTGTGCAAGAATCTTTTGTCGCAACGGTAGGCGATATCCAACAATGCCTGTTGAGCCTGTTCCTTTTGTGATAGAGTCACCCAAAGGCAAGACTCTGATATTGGGTAACGCAGTGGCTGGCGAAGCCAAAACCATCAGCGCCACGAGGGCAAAAATGTTCCGAATGGTAGACAACATAGCGAATCAGCTTACAGGAGTAAGCAGTCAAAAAGTAAGCTCTTTAATAAACACAAAAGAACTGCAGAAAGTGGCGTCAAATGAGCGAGGTCAGCCATCACCTTAAATAACCTCCCGCAACGCCCTTGTCATCATCTTAAAAGCACCTCTAAGACGGGAAATGCAGGTCGGTCAGCCGTCTCTGTAGGTGAGATCTCGTGGTGTTGGCTCATTGGCTTCAAAAGACTCCGGCGGCGCGATAAATGACCACCTGAAAGAGCCAAGCTTGGGGTCGTATAGACCGGGGTTGTATATGTTGGTGTGCAGCTTACACAAAACAGGGATTAGATGCTGATAACACTTGGCTAGACATGTCGCATGACGCATAGACTGGTCACTGTAATGGGCCATTAGGTGAGAACCAATGCAGCTGTGTGTTGTCCGCAGAAACATCATGGAGTCTACCAATGCATTGTCTCAGGGTCCGGTAGCATTGATCGCGTATCTTGTTATTATGGAGCCGGGGAGTCGAGACTATTTCCGCCAAGTCCGTATTTCCTCAAGCGAAGCTATGAACCCTGTAGCTGTGCCCCATGAGCTTACTGGGTAACAAGGTTGTTATACAAATACACAGCCACCGTCAACGAGACATTGCATGGCTCTGCTATTGGATGTGGTATTCATTGCGACTTGGCGTGAGATTCGGGGTTACTACCATGGTCGCGACATTCATAAGGCACAGGTCATAGAATTATTACTGGATCCTTTATTTAAATCTTTAACCCTTATTGACTGCGGAAGCTAGCCTAAAACGCGTCTTAACAAGTTTAGACTCGCTCAACTCTTGACACATTTGGCGCTTTATTGTCATCATCATCATCGTTCTCAAGCATGTCGTCAAGCTTTCTATCGTTGTTGTGGAATTGTCGCGTTGCGGCTGCAGCATCGCCCTTCCTACCCGTGTCGAAGAGGACAGAAACCTCCTCAATTGTCATGTTTCTGGAGCGATGGTTAGTACTGTCAAGATTTGGGAGAAGCCGACCGGGGCATATGCACCTTGTCTCAGGGAAGAAGAAAAGAATAAGGACGAGATACATGGCGATAACTGTGATGTAGACGATGTAGCTATCTCCAGTTAGTACTCCTTACGAGAAGCGCGTTGGGAATGACTTACTATTTCCAAGCGATCGCCTCAAGAGCAACAGGGTTCACCCATTGGTTGAAAGCCAGTGCAACACTCTGAACACTTAACTCAATACTCAAACCCTTGAGTCGCAGGTTATACGGCAAAATCTCAGCACCGTAGGCAAACGGCAGGGGGGACCAACTGATACAGTAAAAGGTCTTGAAGAGGTACATCATTGGCACCACAGCAAGACCGACGCCGTGAGAAGGGTTATGCGCGAACGAACCGCTGAGCCCGGTGATAACGGCGTACACAGCACACATACCAGCTGTACCAGTGATCCAGAGTGTGCGACGACCGAGGCGCTCGGCGCTCATGGCGCCAGCGTAGGCCCAGATGAGAGACCAAACGGCCATGCCGCCATTGATACCAGCGATGGCGCTGGCAGACGTGATGCCGACGAGCTTCAGGGCGGGAGAGAGGTAATAAGCAATGATACCGTTGCCGACCCAGTTGGACCCCGTACCCATAGTGATGAGCACGAGAAGTCGGCGTCTATTACCGGGTGTCTTCAAGAAATCAGAATACTTGGCGTTGTGGTTCTCCTTCTCGAGCTGCAGAGCACGATAGATCTCGTCATATTCGTATCGTACCAGCTCATCATCAAGGTCACCATTCGCATGTTCGTCAGCGAGAACCTTGAGGGCTTCTTCGGATCGATCGTGGTCGACGAGCCATCGAGGGCTTTCGGGAACAAAAAGTAGATGAACAAGGACGACGGCGGGCGCAAAAGCCTGGAAAAGACAAGGTGCTCTCCAACGCCACTCAGTATCAGGCCACGAAAGGGTACCATAACAGAACCATGCAGCGACAATCTGACCAACGTAGTAGTTACTGTAGTAAGCAGTAGCGACATACGGTCGAAGGCGAGGGTGCGCTAATTCCTGCAGAAGAGCGATACCAGTGATCTTGCCAAAGGGACCAGCAGCACCGATGATGACTCGGCCACCGATGAAAGTCCCGATGTCTTTGGCAAACGCGTTGAGGAAGGCTCCGAGGATGAGGAGGACGGAACCAACAGCCAAACACCACTTCCGACCCCAGAGGCCGTTAATGTAAGAAGCGAAGAATGGCGTTATGATCGCTGGGAGGAAGAGACTTGCGGAGATGAGTCCGAGGGTGTTGCCTGAGGGATAGTTGAAGTATTCTTCCCACTGGGGGATCGCTTGCAGTCCTGAGGGACAGAGGATTAGCTTCTGGCCATGCTGTTTGTAGAAGATGGGACTCACCATTCATCAACGAGGCATCAAAGCCAAGGTAGAACACCGCAAAGTAAAACCCAACACAATGCCAAACATTCTTGCGCAGACCAGCATCCTTGTACCAAGTCGGATGGGTGTTATTCTTCAGACCAGCATAATGCAGTGTCTTTGTAGCCTTTGGCTTGAAGAACTCTTTGATCTGCTCGAACATCTTGAGGTCTCTGCCCAAGCAACAAGACGATTGTCATGTCGAATCATTATATATCGGAAGCACGAAGCCGAGGTGTGTGGAGCAGAGACGATCGTATACTGTTTTGTCCGCGGGGAGGAACCTGGGGTAAACCTGGGGTAGCAGTGGTTGATCCTTGTCTGATGTTTGGAAATATCCAATAGGACGGAAGGCCGACTGGAACGGCTGGATGCCCTTATTCATTCCTGGTGACAACAGGTAGTTGCATCATCATAGACGTTGTTCATTCGATCCATGTCAGGCGAGCTTTCGAGATAGCGGAATCATCGCAGATGTGGGAAGGGGTATGCATCTCAGCTATGGGTTATAAACGGGTACAAGCCGAAGACAAAAAGCGTCTCCGATATCATGACAATACACGTTTTTCATCTATTTTATGAACAACTGGTATCGTGCGATAAGAACAAGACGCAGATGGAGATGGCCTTCGTTAAGCAGTGCAATTCCTCCACTCTGACCGACGAGAGACCAACGCCTTCTTGCTATTGGGCCACGGAACAATCAGTAAACATCGACCTGAACCTTCGGTATACTTTGGACCGAGGCCTAGCCGCAATAAAACCACCATCAGTTTCAGAGCTGGAGGCCGTTGATGTGCTACCCCTCACTGCAAGCAGATCCTACGTGCGGTGACATATCCGTCGTTAGGCGATCCACCGATTGGCGGAAAAGCATAACGAGCATGGAAAAGAGTCTTGTTCATAAGGAACAGCAAGTTTACGCGCTTTACCCAATTATGCTGTGAACGGGTTCGGAATCATCGTCGCTACTTGATTAACCTCAAACTCGAGCAAAACGTACCGAATATCCATTCATCATGGGCGGAGGCAAGCCGATAGTCCTACGCTTAGGCGAAGACGTTAAGTATAACCGCGACTTCTACGAAAATGTCTTTAAAAACAAATTCGACGTTGTTGCAAACGAGGAACCTGATCGAGAGTCGTTTATCAAGGCTTTGAAAGAAAACAAGAATGTACTTCGATCTGTCTTTGAGATCATCATGTCTAACAAAATCTAGATATGGCCAGTTCTCGGCAATCTATCGACCACATTTCCAGACCGGTGGCGAAATGGGCCAATGGGACGACGAACTAATTCCCCTTCTTCCACCATCAGTCCGCATCTTTGCTTCCGCCGGTGCAGGCTTCAACTGGGCTGATGTCGACGCTCTCGGCCGCCGTAAAATCTGGTATGCCAACGGCGCAGGCGCCAGTGACGAAGCAGTCTCAGACACAGCTCTTTGGATGATTCTATCAGTCTTCCGGAACTTCTGGATGTCGCAGAAAGGTGCTCGTTCGTGCGATCCTGAGCAGTTCAACAAAATGCACAAATTTATCGCTATGATCTCATATAACCCTCGAGGTCATGTCCTGGGTATTGTCGGTTTGGGAAATATCAGTAAGCTAGTCGCCCAAAAAGCGCGATTGGCTTTGGGTATGAAGATCCACTACTTCGATATTGTGAGATCTCCGTCCGAGGTTGAAGAGGAGCTTCAGGCAACATACCACTCATCTCTCCATTCCCTCCTCAGCATTGCCGACTGCGTCACGCTACATACACCGCTCAACGCCCATACACAAGATATGATCAACAAAGAAGCATTCGGCGCCATGAAAGACGGCGCACGATTAGTCAACACAGCTCGTGGACAAATTGTCAACGAAGAAGCCCTGATCGACGCACTGAAGAGCGGCAAGATCTCAGCTGCTGGACTAGACGTACATTACCATGAGCCGCAGGTGTCCAAAGAGCTAGCGGAGATGGATAATGCGATTTTAACGTGCCATAATGCAGGAGCTGCTGTAACAACGAGGATTAACTTTGAGCTCACCGCGATGGAGAATATCATGAAGGTTGTGGATGAGAATGGGGACTTTTGTGGGGAGCCGACGACGGCTGTTAACCGCAAGGCTTTCGAAGAAGCTTCTTCATGAGTGGATTGCATAGTTAAATAAAACACAGCAAAGCTTGTCCCAGATGCTTGGCTTCGGATGATAAATCACCGGTGATATACACAGGCATTTCACCAACGAGGCTTCATCCGGAAATGCTGCTAAATATATCGTCTTAATGGGGAGTGCTATAGCGAAGCTTTCGATCCATTGTAACGTTGCGTTCTTCAAAAGAATTGTGAGTAAAAATAACATTAGATCCATGAGATGAAATATTCACGGAATGAGAGAAGTAGAGACGTTGCAGTTCAGTAGATGAACGGTATGCTAGAAGAGCGTGTTCAGTCACATTAGCCAGGCTTAAGATGTTCACATACACTGACTCAGATTGGCTTTCCTTGCAAACGTCCACTTTCGCCTGGTGATTGCCGGAGTTTTCCACTACCGAGCAAGCCTTGCATTTCGTCTATCCCCGTCATATTTAAGTACGATCTACCCCAGGTATATATAACCATAAGATATCCTCATTATAGCCCGAGATCAGCTGAGAATCCACCCACTGCTGGCTCAATGATGAGTTAGGGCTCAGACAATGCAAGCAGTTGGCAGTAAGTCCACTTTAATTGTTCAGCAGCTGTAAGCTTCCGCGGAAGGTGACATTGAAACTGAGTCGCTGCCCTGTTTTCGCAAGGGAAAACCCTTCTGGACTAGCCCCCTGTTTAGTAACTGTTTAGCATCCTTAGCGAAGAAGGGATCTGCAACGCGGCAATTTCTAGCGGGTGTCGTTCCGGATCAACTGACTAATTTTAGTGGCATCAGCGGGGATTATATCCGTTCTTTCTTCAATGCTATAAGGAAGCTTATAATACCTGGAGAAAGGGATGAACCTTGACGGGTATAAAACAAAGAGGATCAAAAGCGGATATGCGGTTGTTTGAGATTAATGATGCTCCGAACAATGCGAAAAAGGCTGTGATCCACAGTCTGTGCATTAGGTCTCGGTCTAGGGATTAATTACTGAAGAAGATCTGCGGATGTACTGATGATCAAAGCTCCCGTGCTCGGGGAACTAGGGCGCAGCTGAAGAGGACGGACGGGATTACCTCTTGGGCAATGGCCGCTTATTGTGGTCAGCACTTTAGTCCCCGAATGTCACCAGAAACCGGCTCACCGTTTTATATTCCACTCCCCCTATACACTAGAGAAACCGTTTGTGGGTTGAAGAATGAGCAAAAAACTAAGTATTATTCATCAACTTGTAACGTGGCAAGCGGTTATCGAAGACGCCCTTCGAAACGATCCCGCTTATCACAGTCACATTTCACAGTCACATGGCAAACTCAATCATTTGTTCTTGTGTCCGATCATCCGAACTCAAGATCGGCGGACAATCACTTTGTCAAAAGCCCTGTTCGGCTTTGCGCAGCGCATGGCATTGGCTGCACATCCCTGTTCCATCCAAGACCCTGAGACATTAATTATCGCGGCCTGTTTAAGAACATGGATTGCGCCTGACTCAGAACCCTCCGACCAACAATCTTCATGCATGCTAAGTGCTATAGTGCCCGAAATGCCCGCTCAGGTGAGACAGCGGGACTTGCACACGGCAAGGAAGATGCTTGACAGGTTGTTAGAGTATTTAAGTTTAAGTATAAGAGTTGAGCGAGCCGCTTTTGCCGTCAAGGTGTACAGTCATCACTCTTTTTTGTTTTTGATCATCGCCTGTCATGCGTTATACTTCAGCCTTATCCTTGGCTATCAGCCTCTCGACTTGTGTCGCGGCTCGTCCCGAAATTCCCTTCATCAGCACCCTTCTCGATCCATTGCAGCATATCGTCCAATCTGCTTACGCCGGTGATGGACTCAAAGTTGGACATCTCGGAGAAGTGGGTGGTATCCCTGGTGTTGATGCTACCTATGATTACATCGTCGTAGGAGGAGGTACTGCAGGAAACACCATCGGTTATCGCTTAGCCAAGGCTGGCTATAGTGTCGCTATCGTCGAGGCTGGAGGCTTTTTGGAGATTGCCAAGCCTATTCTCGCTACGGCGCCTGGTGGTGTTACAGCTGGTAGTGGTGCTAGTCTTCTCGACTCTAATCCTTTGAGGGACTGGAGATTTACTACCACACCGCAAACATCTGCTGATAATCGCGAGATTCATTATGCGCGTGGAAAGGTGCTAGGTGGCTCATCGCAGCTGAACTTTTTGGTCTACCACAGACCTACCAACGGTACAATGGCTAAGTGGGCTGAGGAGGTTGGAGATGACAGCTACCAGTAAGTAATAGCTTGTGCTCATTGAAACCTTGACTGACCAACTTTGTAGATGGGACCAAATAATGCCTCACTTCCAGAAAACCGCGACTTTCACACCCCCCGATAACGAGAAGCGCGGACCCAACATCGAAACCGACTACGACGCATCCGCCTTCTCCTCCGAGGGCGGTCCTGTTCAAGTCAGCTACGCTAACTACGTCCCTTCCTGGGCCGCCCTTGTCGCAAAGGGCCTCAACTCCCTTGGTCTCAAGAGTATTGATGGTTTCAGCAGTGGCAGTCTTCTCGGATACTCCTACACAACAACCGCCGTCCGACCCAAGACCGCTACCCGAAGTGCCTCTGATGATTTTGTCAAGGCTGCTCGTGATGAGAAGCTCAAGACTCTCAAGGTGTACACTCATAGTTTGGCCAAGAGGGTTTTGTTCGACGATAAGAAAAAGGCGACTGGTATTGAGGTTACTTCCGTTGGTCTAGATTACACTCTCAAGGCGCGAAAGGAAGTTATTGTCAGCGGTGGAGTCTTCCAGTCCCCTCAGATTCTGATGGTTTCTGGTGTTGGTCCCAAGAAGCAGTTGGAGGAGTTCGACATTCCCGTCGTTGCCGATCTTCCTGGTGTTGGACAAAACATGTGGGATCACATCCTCTTCGGTCCTTCTTTCGAAGTCCAAGGTCTCGAAGACACCCTCAGCGTGGCTATCAACAACGCCACCGTTTTCCAGGGCGCTCTCGACGCCTACATCCAGCAGCAAGCTGGACCTTTGACATCCAACCAAGTCGAGCTTTTGGGTTGGGAGAAGGTTCCTGAGAAGTACCGATCCAAGTTCTCCAAGTCGACTCTCGAAGCTCTGAAGGACTTCCCCGAGGATTGGCCTGAGACAGAGTTCATTCCTCTGAACGTCTACTCTGAAGACTGGTCGTTCCCTATTCTTCAACAACCCACCGACGGCAAGGCGTACACCAGCATCAACGGCGGTCTCGTCGCCCCTCTATCCCGCGGAAACATCACTCTCCAATCCAACTCAACCTCCGACGCACCCCTCATCAACCCCAACTTCCTAAGCGATAAAGCCGATCAAGAAGTTGCCATCGCCCTCTTCCGCCGTCTCCGCGAGGTCGCCAAGTCCGCTCCCATGAAGAACACCGTCCTCAAGGAAGTCTACCCCGGTGAAGAGCACGAGTCTGATGAGCAGATCCTCGCTGTTCTGCGCGATACTCTCATGACTGTTTGGCACGCTGCTTGTACCTGCAAGATGGGCAAGAAGGAGGATAAGATGGCTGTTCTCGACTCCAAGGCTCGTGTGTATGGTGTTGAGGGCCTTCGTGTCGTTGATGCTTCTTCCTTTCCTATGCTCATTCCTGGTCATCCTATGGGTACTATCTATGGATTGGCTGAGAAGATTGCGCATGAGATTATTTCGGAGGTTGAGGATGAGAGTCCTACTTACAACCTCGATATTGATGCCAAGGTTGCAAATTAGTTCATTTGTTGTTTTTCTATTATAGACCGTATATCATTTCTTGTAGACTATTTGATATCATATCAGTTCAGTTCACATTGTTCATTAGCATTTGTTTTCTGGCGCTCAAATCACCAGAGTTTTGAGTCGCCACAGACAGTTCACGTCTCTACAAGGACCATTCAGCGTCGCAACAGCCACAGGTCAACGACTCGAAATTGACAATCTGATGAGACACCTGTGTCTGAAATTATAGACACCACTAAGCGGCGCAAAGCTTCAACGATAACAAGGATCGATAGCTCAGTGGTACGAGCGAGGGATTGCAGATCCCTAGGTCGCGTGTTCGATCCACGCTCGGTCCTAAATATCTTCTTTTTGGTAATCACACCTCCAATCGTCCGTTGTACTGTACTTGAATTGTCTGTTTCCATGCTCTGGTCCCGTTGCAAGAGCTTTGGTGGAGGTCCATTGCTCTACCTCGAGCGATAACCACGAATTGCTATGGGCATTTTCTGACAAGTTACCCACTGTACAAGAAATCGCAATCTTAGCCAAGAGGATTGAGTTCTGAATTATAGTTGAAGTTCCGGAATTTTCTAATTTTTAGTCAGGGCAGATCTGATTGTAATTTCGGTGGAGCCAGCTATAAAGAACCCCAATCTCATACTACTTTGAGCATACATCAGTAACATCACGATAATGTGTTTCATAGTATGTGTAGAGGAAGTCCGTCGCGCTCAGGTATATAGTATGGTATTGTAAACCTGCTTACATCAACAGCCTCTATAGCTCAGTGGTAGAGCGTTGCACTTGTAATGCAAAGGTCCATCGTTCAATCCGGTGTGGAGGCATTGATTTTCTTTTGCTTTTTAGGACACGGACCACGCAGATTCTTTTTGCATTAAATGCAGTAACAGTAAAATCGATTGTAAGAAATTGGTAATGATGAAGTCGCGGTGAAGACAGCTTGGCTGCATAGTGGTTGACCCACGAGAAGAATCTGTCAATTGGACGCGATCAAGAAACGTCAAGTAATGGTATTAAATAGGATATCGAATATTAAAACGTACAAAGCCCATCCTAGCATTTATCGGTTGCCTTGAGAGCGTATTGCTTGATAGCAGGTTCATCAAACTGCTTGGGCAGGTACAGCACCAGAGAAAGGCCAGCGATAGCGACAGCATTCTCAGTGAGTAGCAGATCCTCCAATCCAAGCCCTGGCGCCAGAGACCTGTTGCAAACACTAGCCAAGTCAACTCTGGATGTCTTTCCAGGTCCCTTGTGCGTAAGCGCATCCTTTGCAAGCGCAAAGGTAAGAGGATTGGCAAGCATACTCTCATGGGTGTAGAAAGAACCGCCTAGTTTCCCAGCACAGACCTTTTGGACTTCAGCGTTGGTAACGCCAACCTTACGTGCATCGAGAAGGTAGGCAGAAGCTCCAGTGCCAGCTTGGGGCTGGACGACTTCATCGAAGAAGCTGGAGTAGAGACTTGTAGTGGGGATGTAACCCGAGTCGCCTCCGTTGGAACGAAGGGTGGTGATGAAGTCACTTCCTGCCTTTTGCTGAAGAACAGCGGGCGTGTTGATTAGAGTGGTTAGGCCAAGAGTGTTGGCCAAGATGGTACCCTTGTAGTCGGCGCTGATAGCGACATGGTCGGTTGTGGTTTTGCGCGTTGAGGGCCAGTACTTGAGAGCCCATTGGACGTCAATGTTGCCTTGCGACCAGGCAATGATAGCGGCGTCGCGCTTGGTAAGAGAAGCAATGTAGTTCATCGCGTACGCGGCATACTCGGCGTTGACTTGAGCATCTTCGAGCAGAAGAGCAGGGACGTTCACCCAAACGGGATCAGCCCAGTCGACGCCGGTGAGCAGTGGGATGAAGTTACCACGGAAGGTAGTATAGCCAGTGGATCCAGTACCGGGGAACAAGATGACTGGGGGTTTCTTGCCGTAGGTGAAGGTGGGTGGGATGTAAATGGCAGCACGAAGCTTGGACTCGGGGACGGTATAAGAGGCATCGCAGTTCAAGACCTTGGGATAGACCTTCTTGGAAGGATCGCGATTCCTACAAATGGTAAGTATATTTCATGCGACATGATTAGAATTGACTTACTTATTGTTGCTTCCGTTTTCGGCTGAAAAAAGACCCTTGGCATAAGCGAAGATATCCGCCGTGTCGCCAAAAATGATACCATTCGCAATCAATTGCGCGCTGTACTCAACAATACTCTTAGGCTTTGCCTCTGAGATTTTCTGCAGAGCAGCATTAACCTCTTTGACACCCTTTCGCTTCTTGTTAGGCGACAGCTGCTGCAGGATATCGAGTGTCTTGTCCCTGTCACCGCTGTCAAGAGCCTTGCGCAACGAACCAAGAAGACCTCCAAGCGTGGTATCCAGCAAACCGCCAACACCATTGAGAAGACCAGAAACGAGTTGTGGCTCTGGTGCCGGAGCAGCCAGACCGAGGCTTGCAAAGACGAGAAGAGGCACCTGGAACCGCATTTCGACGTGAAGAACAGTCAAATGGTTTACAGGGAATAACTGGGGTGAAGCAGACAGCTATAAGGTGTGGCTGCGCTGGCGATCCCCATATAAAACTCCCTGTAATTTCAGAGGGCAATCCACTCAATATCCGACCGCGGTAGTTGTAGAGTGTCCATGACGAGGAAACAACCGAGCGTGTGACACCGGCGCATTCACTAGCTGATCTTCTCGTATGGGTCTTTGATGGCTTTCTACCCCTGTCTTTTCTGGCGTTTGGGTTCTAGTGCCTTGCGCTATTGAACTCTAGCGGCTTGGAGCGCCATGGCGGGCATTTTGATCCGCCGCGGTAGTTGAGAGTGCGGAATGCTTCGACTTTTTCTAGTGTGAGAATAAACTTCATGGCTGATTTAAGACAAATTTGCCCAAATAGGAAGTTCACGAAAGGATCAGCGTCGTTATTCAGAATGGTTGTGCGCCTGTATTGATATTGAATCGTGAAATTGCATCACTTCGCCATTACGTCTTACAGGTTCAATCCCACCTTGGGTCAATGATTACAGAGACTCTTATCAAGAGAGAGCTTAGATGGATATCTCAAGTTGGAGCCGAGGTGCAAGGCGGTTGAGTACGCAACAGTAAAGTGCCATTATTTCGGTTACAATTTAAAAATAAGGTATAATAAATTAACTAACATTAAACATTCATGTTCAAGATAATCATCAGTTCAAGCACACGGCTGAAGACACAGAAGCAAACATCCAAGCTAGAATACATGGTTCAACTAGTTACCAGTAGGCCAAAGTCCTCCCAGAATTCCCTTTCCCGTCTCAATAATTCCCTTGAGAGAACCCTTGGAAACACCAGCGTAGCTGCCGTACGCCTCAGTGTAACCAGGATACTTGGCAAACAGCTTCTGGTTATACTTTTGAAGCTTAGGACAACTCTTGTTAGCAAGAAGCTGACGGAGCTTATCGCTCAAGGGTGTCAAAGCCTTCTTGACATCGGTGAATTGACTTCCGAGAACATCAGGGGCAGCAGCCATGATGATCTGCATAACGAAGCACTCGAGGTTGTTGGGCTTGAGGAGCATGGCAGTGTTGAAGACACCGCCAGTGAGGTCCTTGATATCGACACCGGCGAAACTGTTGACCTTGCCGGTGTTACCACCGATGTTCAACAGACGAGGGTACTTGGCAGCATGCTCAAGAACATCGATGAGGAAGTCTGGAATGGAGAACTCGTCACCTATCGGGCGACGGTACCAGTTCTCAGGGATGCGTTCCCAGCCCTGGTTGACCTTGAAGTTACCAGGCTTGTCACCCTTGACACCGAAGAAGCTGGTAAAGACTTCTCGGGAGAGGTAACCCTCAGGGTATTTGCTGGAGTGGTTGGCCATCATTCGCGGAGGGAAGGAATATGCAGCAGGGGAGACTAAGACACCCGCGAAAGGCGAGTAGAAGAAGTGACTGTTAGTCTTCTCAGAGTCCTGGAATCGCTTGTAGTGGAACGGCGCCAGAGCGGTGTATTGTTTGGGGGCTGGGGTGTTGAGTGGAATGGCCTTCCAGTATTCCTCAAAGCGGCTCAGAACAACGTGGAAGTTGTTTCCAGTCACATAAAGATCGCCTCGTGTAGCGCTGACATCGGACTCATACTTGTTGTGACTACCGCTGAGACCAGAAGGGGTACCAAGGATACCACCTCCATTGAGGATGTTCTGGCTGAAGCGGCTGGGACCACCAATGGAGTAGCCTGGGCTGGTGGACAGCGGGTTACCATTGAAGACGGTACCGTAGACAGCGAGGAAACCTCCAAGGTCAAGACTCATGCCGTAGACCTCGTTAGTGGCCTGGATGATGGTCTGCATATCCGCAACACCATTACGAGGCAGGTATCCGTGGTTGGCAAGCGCATTCAGACCAGGGCAGGGACCTCTCTGGTCACCAAGCTTGAAGTTGGGAGCGTGAAAGGCATGCTGACCAGAAACACTGATGCGCTGCTTCTTGGCGTCGAACTTTGCAGCTCTCTTCTCCTTTGCGTAGGGGCAGTCACCTGCATCTCGCTTTTCTTGTTGAGCAGAGAAGGGGCAGGCTTCGGGGGCTCTCTCAGCGTGTTGGCGATAAGCCTCGACTTGTTCAGGGCTGAGTTGAGGGAAAGCGAGAGCGGAGGGGAGAAGGCAGGCTGCTGCGAGCCAAGAGGATAGTGTGATCTTCATGATGAAGAGGGAGTGATGGAGAAGGATGGTTGCACAGAGTAGTATCTTGGTGGGGACCAACCAGATCTATTTATCGTCGAGATACTTGGTCGTACTGCATGAATTAATGCATGCCGTGTTCGATGTTTCCTCGACACCTAAGACAACTGCCATTATAATGACGTTGTGTATCCCTCCCTTGTCTTACTCTCTTACAAAAAGCCTCTTGCCTCGACAACAGGCCTGGTGCTTGCGAACTTGTGAGATTTGACAAGGGTTTTTCCAGTTTGTCTCAAAGCGCGCCGATCGACAGCTTGGCTATTGAAGATCATGTGCCTCCAATTGGTCAATTCAACAAGCATATCTCGCAATCTCACAAACAGTCGTGAAGTCAAATGTCTCAATCAAGTCAAGATGTTCCCTTGCCGGGTTGCCGATGCGCTAAAAGCAATCTATCGAAAAGCTAAACTGCTTGGCTCCCCTCGAAGCTTGGAATCTGCCGGCTTATCATTGGCGAGGAGTTGGAAGCTATCATAACAACAGCTGCAAGTCCGTGCGAGGGGGGCTTTTTAATAGGAACGGCAGACAAACAGCTAATAAGAAAGCGGGCATCACAACAGAGACACCGTTATATGACATCAATCTGAGCACATCGAGACGGTTTTTCTAGCGGCCCGTGAGCCAGATTTAGAGTGTCTCTAAGCTTATTTGGAATGAGCTTGCCCGTATAAGGTTCTTTTGCGAGGTACGAGCGTTGGGCATTTGTGATAGTATAGAGCGTGCAGTGACTAGCAAGCTTTGTTGCCACGCGCAGGCTGTCAGGTTATTGAGGTCACAAGATTCCAGGACCTGCGCAAGTAGCTGCAGCTAGACCCGACGACCTCTGAGCTGTTAATCCAGGTAGAGTTTGAAGCTGAAATATGAGCGATGGATGGAATAAGCATTACCCGTCACCCGTTCAGCCCGTTGGTAGTCCGAGAACCATCGGATTTCAGCACAGACCGTAGATCTTATCAGTTGCTGGTGTTGCTTATTTCCAGGTGCATGGGTAGGGGAATAAATGTGATAATTACCCCGGATCGCCGATCTCAAACATGGGATCGAGTCCGCCATGCTAAAATGCGGAGTGGAATCTCCAGAGGTCCGATTTTCACCTATCGGAAGGCCCTAATCTAGAAAGCCGGGGAGAGGTCAGAAGATCCATCATGGCGCATCAGCGTGTGGACTTAGGTTTGACTTCAATAGTCCCAGTTCTCAGGCCGCTGAGTCCTTGCAATCCCAAGCACGGTTGCTTATTGAGAGCTCGTCATGTCGTGACATATTCGTCATTGAAGAGTGCACTGATGGTGAGAGTCGGACCGTATTCGCACTTCTTTAGTTGATTTACTAAGGCAGACTGCCGACGCGACTAGAAAGCTTGGTGCTTCAGTTGCCAAGATGTCACGCCATCCTCCTCTCACACGGGCCATTAGCTTGCCAATCTTATGGTAACTTGACAAGTCGTTGTGAAGAACATGGCTCACTATATCTGAAACTTAAACGGCACTTCCAGATTGAGATAGCTGGACCGAGGCCTAGTATAAGACTCACTAGTGATAGCTTCATTGAAATGCGCAGCTGAGCATAAGTCTAGATTCGGCGGAATTGGGCTATCATGTCTTCGGGTTCGTTCCGAAGTGGCTTGAGATAGCGACGTCGCGACCAGACAACGGAGACCAGACAATGTCGAAACGGCCACTCCATACCCTGACACCAGTTCGTTGGAGTCCGGAAAAGGTCTCGCAGAAAGAACAGGAAGCCAAGCAAGCGGTACGACAAAGAAGCCGATTCGACAAGCCACATCCGCTTCTGCCACGTGAGTGATGGTCCGATGGCTATTGAATTTTAGTCTGGATGAGGGTAGCTAAATCGTAAGAGACGAAATACTTCGGACAGTTTATGCTAGCTTGGGCTGGCGTTTAGGATATCCATATTACTGTTATCCTAAAGGTTATTGAAGTACCTAGGCACTGAATACTTCCGTTAACCGCTATCTTTTCACTCTTGTCTCCAGTAGGGAGAATGGCCCAGTAGCGGGTTTGGCTTGTTGCTATGGCTGTGGACTCTGAGGGCCCAATTTTATCGAACGCTGAAGGTCCAGGATCGGTAGTGGATCTATGCTCAACTCCTTGGTTGTATCTGCTAAGTTGGCTCATCACCCTTCGTTGCTAGCAACAATTCTTCATTTAACATCGCACTAAAGTCTTTCAACTGTTTTTGACATGTCTGGTAGGTCTGAGACTGAACGGAAGCAGTAGTGACACAAGCGAAAGCGATGTTTCGATGCCCGCTTAAGCCTTTAGACGAGGGTGGTGACGACGCAAATTAACATGATTGGATACCCAACCATAACACGATTCTTTAATGTTCCGACAACCACGTACAATATGTCACTGCTCTATAATAGCGATCACCGTTAACTCTGTCAAAAAATGATAAGTAACGCCCATCTAACCAACCCTGCGTCAATCCCTCCAAAACAAATTGTTGGTGAGTCCACAAAATCTCCTATTTCTTCATCTTTTTTGCCCATCTCCCGCAGAGGTTACATCGCCGACGGAAAACCATGCTCGAATCTTCGCCAACCAGGGCATCTGTTTCCAGCTCTAGAAACTAAATATCCACCACTCAGGTCCTGTTGCTGTGCCTTAGTACCTGAAACTCACCAAGATTCCCTGGAAATTGATTTTGCTCCGTTTCTCGTAAGCGGGCCAATAGATGGTTAGGCGAGGATGGAAGTAACCGTATACGCGTATAGACAGGCGCTTGTTCAGCGCTTCACCGTTGGGAGTTAGAACGCCTGCAACGAATAGATCTTTACGTTCGATCTCGTTAATGACCATTTCATTTAATGGTGTTTTAGGAGTTTGTTTGTGGTTACGAAACGACTGTTTCGCTCGCTCGTTTAGAAGGCATAAGGTCAATCTCGTTTACAAACAAAACTTCCTCGCCGAAATCATCCTGTCTTGGCACAGTCGAAATAAGCATAATTTTCCGTGACCCAGTTTCAAACGCCCTTGGCGACTAACCGCTTGAGCTGTCAGAACATGGGCATGAGACGTTTGACGTCGGACATTCGGCTCACTCTAACCAACCTCGGCCAGACCCTATTCTTATGCCATCGCTATAAGAACATTTCATCTCGTCTGTACTTTTTGTTTGTTTCTCTGCAAGTGCTACTTTGCTACTTTTTTTTTCGTTCTTTTTGTTCCGAGGTTATTCAACCTTTTCATTCGTTACCTTAGGCCGGCCTAAGTCATTCATTCAATCTTCTTCTTTTGCACGGCTTACCACATTCTTTTTACAAACAAACCTACTTCAAAATGCGCTTCCAAGCTTCTTTCGCGGCCCTTTTGGCTGCTGCCGCTACGGCTTCCGCTCAATCCGTCGCTGGAAAGGCGTACGGTTTCGCTGCTGGTGTTACCGGTGGTTCGGGCGAGGCTGTCACCCCTGCCACTGCTGAGGAACTCGCTGAGCTTCTTGCTGATGACACTCCTCGCGTTATCTACATTGATAAGGAGTTCGATTTTACTGGTCAGACCAAGACTGGTCCCGGTTGCGATCGCAAGAGCTGCAGCGCTTCCAACGGTGGTCAGCTCTACCTCGGAGATCTTTCTTGCGGTGGCGAGGACAACGTTGCCGTTGATTCCATTACTTATGATGCTGCTGGTCCTGAGCCTCTGGCTGTTGGTAGCAACAAGAGTATCATTGGTAACGGCAAGGCTGTCCTGAATGGCAAGGGTCTTGAACTCAAGAAGGGCGCCAGCAACGTTATCATCCAGGGCATCGAGATCACCAATCTTAACCCTGGAATCGTCTGGGGAGGTGATGGAATTGGAATTCTCGGAGAGAACGATGGTGTCTGGATCGATCACTGCAAGTTCTCCAAGATTGGCCGCATGTTCATCGTCAGCCACTACGACGGTGCGCGCATCACCATCTCCAACTCCGAGTTCGACGGTGTTACTGACACCTCCGCTTCTTGCAACGGCAACCACTACTGGACCATGATGTTCTACGGCAAGGGCGATCAGGTTACTCTGGACCGAAACCACTTCCACGACGTTGCCGGCCGAGCCCCCAAGCTCGGTGAGCCCGGTACCAACCTCTACGTCCACGCCACCAACAACTACTTCCAGAACATGAAGGGCCACGCTTTCGACGCTTACTCTGGCGCCAACGCCATTATTGAGGGTAACGTCTTCGATGGCGTCGACCAGCCTCTTACCAAGGAGGCCGCTGGTGTCAACACTCTCTTCGTTCCTGATGCCGCCGCTGCTGCTGCTTGCCAGGCCGCCCTTGGCCGTGCTTGTGAGCCTAACTCTGCTACTTCCAGCGGTGACCTCCCCGTCATGAAGGGTGAAAGCGGTCTTAACGCTGTTGCTCAGAACAGCAAGGATAACATTATCACTCCTGTTTCTGCCAGCGAGGTTGTCGGTCTTGTCGTTGGAAAGGCTGGACCCGCTGGTGTTGGCTCTGGTTCCGCCCCTGCCTCTGGTTCTGGATCTGAGAGCCCTGCTGAGTCCGCTCCTGTTGCTTCTGAGACTACTTCTGAGACTACTTCTGAGTCTGCTCCCACTCAACAGGCTCCCGCTCAGGACGACTACGAGCAGGCTGCTCCTAGCGCTGCCCCTCAGAACGATTATGACCAGTCTGCTCCTGCTGCTCCTAAGAACGACTACGATCAATCTACCCCCATTGCTGCTGAGCAGGATGATTGCGAAGAGGAGACCGCTTCCGCCCCTGCTGCTCAGGAGACTCAGACCACTCCCGTTGCTGATGACTGCGACGGCGAGTCTGACTACGAGTCCGAGTCCCCCGCCGTTACCCAGGCTGCTGCTGAGAGCAACACTGAGGGCGATTGTGACGAGGAGTCTGATTACGAGTCTGCCCCTGCTCCCCAGGAGACTGCCGCCGAAGATGACTGCGAGGAGGAGTCTGAGGCCAAGCCCGAAGCCCCCAAGGAGACTGCTGCTGAGGCTGACTGTGACGAGGAGAGCGACTATGACTCCGAGTACGCCGCCCCTTCAGTTGTCGCCCGAGCTGTCAATGCTCAGGCCGATTGCGATGACGAGTCTGATTACGACTCTAAGCCCAAAGAGACCGCTGCTGCTCCTGCTCCTCAAGCTGACTGTGACGAAGAGTCTGACTATGATTCTAAGCCCGCTGCCCCTAAGGAGACTGCTGCTTCTGCTCCTTCTACTCCCTCAGCTCAAGCTGATTGCGAGGAGGAGCCCGACTACGACTCCAAACCTGCTACCCCTAAGGAGACTGCTCCCTCTGCTCCCTCTGCTCAGGCTGACTGCGACGAGGAGTCCGACTACGACTCCAAGCCTGAAGCTCCTAAGCAAACCCAGGCCGCTCCCCCCGTCGCTGACTGCGATGACGAGGAGCCCACTGCCAAGGCTGAGCCCGCTCCCCAGAAGGACTGTGACGACGAGGAGGAGGGTGTCCAGGCCGCTGCCAAGGACACTCCTGCAAAGGAGACCCCCAAGAAGGAGGAGGCCTCTGGTTCTTCCACTGTCCAGATGTACGGCCAGTGCGGCGGTGCCAACTTCTCCGGCTCCACCAAGTGTGCTGCTGGAAGCACTTGCAAGAAGGTCAACGATTACTACTCTCAGTGTCTTGGAAACAGCCGTGTTCGTCGCTACATGCACACTTACGTCGAGAACGAGACTCAGCCTTAAATAGCTTACACTTGTATGCACTTCTAGATATTTATTATAGGGTATATATACTCATTGGCCTAGTGCCTTCAATTCAATTTATCGTTCCTGATCAATGTGACATCTTGTGCGAAAACTGTGGTCCATGGCTAAACAGCACTGCTGACTGAACTAGTGGGTAACAGAAGGAATATGCTCTAAGGCTTAGACTGCTAGAACAAAGTGGTCTAAAAGCCAGCCTAAGCGTCCGTAAAGTGACCAAATCTTTCGTCTCTTATGGTACGGCCAATTCCTCCGGCAGTCTGATGCTGGGTCAATTTATATACCTGGCCTTAACATCTGAAGCCAATCAACGATGTGTGCCACGTCGCCAACCTGACGCGAAAGGACAAGTTCACCAATGATTGTTCGAGGGTGCAACTGACTTTATCGATAAGCTGTTATCGATAGTGGAGCTACCCTATAGATCGCACACTTTTATGAATCCAGCATCTGTTCTATGTTCTATTCGAGATTGACACCTCTATACGACTCTACTGCTTGTTGTTAAATTGAAGTCATCTATTCCTAGTCCAAACGGAATGTTTTTATTTTGAAAGCTTGAGAGGGTTCGTTTGTGGATTTCTGGTGACTGCCACCTCGCAACGGTCGTGAGCGCCACAATTTGACAACACCGCTACAGACTCCAACAGACTCCGCGTTTCAAAGAACACCGCACACATGCATTGAGCTACTGCCAGTGTATCCATTATTGTCCGCGACCTTTTATCCACTGCAACGAATTGGAATTGATGGAAGCAAAGGACCATGAGAATGATCCTTGAATTGGTAGAGTGCTTGCATACTCTGCATAAAGTTGGTCTGTGCGACATGCAGCCATGCATAAACGTTGTCAGCGCTTAACTGTATTTGGTAGTCAAGGTAGCAATGCATTCCCACAGCAAAAACCAAGTTTTAAATTAATCCACCTCGTGATCATGTTTTTAACTCATGAACTACTCTTTAAACTACCCCAGATGAGACCAAGCCAAGAAGTCATCGTCATTGAACGTGCATCTGTATGAGGGATTTTGAACCACATGAAACAGTACTGGTTACAACGATTTGCCTCGGATCGGGTGGATTAGGCTTGACCGTTTGTTAGAGGGTATCCACTATCCCAGCGTAAGCGAGATCTGCTAGCCTATCGTAGATCATGATGGTGGCTTGACCTTTGACACGACTGACTTTTGGCTTTGACTTGACACGTACAGGTACATTGCATGACCCCAAACCTGCAGTAACGCCTGACCCAGTATGAGTCACGATACCCCATCAACGACTCCGTTTTGTCACAATATATAATAGAGAGTCACGATGGCATCTTTGTCTCTTCTTTTTGTTCTCGTTGATCACAAAGCCAAGAGAAAGCAATTGCAAGTGCCCGGATCGTTATCGTTATCTGATAGACAAAGAGTAAAATTGCGCAATTTCCCCAGCCACATCCCTCCCTCCCTCCCGTTTCTTTCCCTGTTCCCGTTGTCCCCCCTCCCCCGCCACAGAGATATCCTCTCCCCTTCTCTCTCTGTCCTGCTCTACTCTCACTGAGTCTCCCCTCTCTGAGTCCCCTCTGAGAGTCTCCCCTCATGACCGGTCTAGCCACACCTTTTCCATACCCCATGACTTGTTTACGCTCACCGCTCTTCTTGAAAATCCATTATTTGAAGCTACCGGCAGCACTACCAAGTTGAATTGGATTAACGAAAAGTAATTGATCTCTGGAATATCACAATTTCCTTTGGTCTTACAAAACAAACAAAACAAACAGTGACAGAACAAGACAAGACGCGCCGTTGGAACGCCAGGAAATTAGTGGCGACAATTATTATTTACATAGACCCTTGCAGAAAAACGAAAACAGTCACAAGCCCCACGTGGCTGACCAGTAATCTCCGGTCCTTCCCTTCCCTGTCCGTGTCGCGTCAAGTGAGTGACCTAGACCACCAAAACTTCAAGCAGGCATCAAGCCCCTTGCCAGTTGAATCTTTCAACTTTACACGCACTATTATTTGACCTCGTCCTTGGGTTGCCTAGGTAATAACCAAAATCTCCCCACTCTTGACCATCAATCGTATCATTCACTAATACAATACAATGTACAACAGCTTCGGTTCTCGTTAGAGTCAGGATATGCCTCTACAAAGCCGACTCAAAGTACCAGGGGTAGCAACAACTGCCAAAGCTCCAGAGCCTGTCGTCCGTGAGCGTGACGTCTCAGACTGGGAAGTCTTCACTGACGAAGAGTCTGAGAGCGAAGCATCGCAAAACACTGTTGACTTCGTCGTCCCTCCTCCTCCTTACAAGGTTGACGACCCCAGGCCTGTCTTCAACAGGCCCACGTTGGGTAGACCGCTTACGGACAGGCCTATAGTAGAGAGGCCTGTCCCAGAAAAGCGTCAATCCTCATGGCGGTCATGGCTTAAGCGGGACACTGTTGTTGTCCCTGAGCAACCGGAGGAACCTCTACGAAGTGAGAAGAAGGTGAAGCGTCATCGGCCTGACCCCGAGGCTGAGGAGCGAGATGCGAGGAGATCAGAACGTCGTCGTCGACACAAGGAGCATGAAGAACGTGATCGCGTTGAGAAGGAAGTCCGTGAGAAGGAACGTCGTACTCGTGAGAGAAGTCGAGAACGAGAGGGTAGTCCAAGTCGACACAGGCGGTCTAAGCGACGTGAGGGGGATGAGAAGGAAGTGAGAAGCGACGAGAAGGAATCTCGCCGGCTCTCACGGAAGCTCGGTGGTCGCAGCGATGATGATTATGAGATGGCCAGAGAAAGGCGTCGCGCTGAGAGAGATCGTCCTCCAATGGAGAAGCGACACTCAACATCTTACTCAATCAGGCATCGTACTCATGATGTCGGTGAGAAGGAAAGGCGACCATCCCGCGTCGAACCTGAGAGAAGACATTCGCATCACATGAGCAGTCGCGAGCCTTCACGAACTTCGCGAAAGGAGGTTCCCCGATCACCTGAGGAGGACATGGAGCGAGAGGCTCGACGCGCCGAGCGTGAGCGACGACGACTTCACAGCGAACGCAAGCCCTCAACCCCAATGAACATGAAGGGCAGCGATTCGGACCATCCCGAGAAACTTCGCTCTCACACAAGAAGTGCCGACCCCAATGAGAGACGTGAGGAACGACGTCGGGAGAGACGCAGTAGCCAAACGCTCAACCCGATGGAGAATGAGAGTCGCCGTCATCGACACCGGGACGATCCCACAAAGGTTTCATCAAGGAGGACAAGCTCTGACCCCGAGAAAGAGAGACTGAAGATGGAGGAGAAGCAACGTGAGAAACACGAGGAGCGTGGCAGAGAAAGAGAACGCGAGAAGGAGAATGAGCGCGAGAGACAGCGCTTGGAGATCAAGAGGCAGGCCGAGGAGAAGCTTCGAATGGAGGAAATGGAGAAGCAGCGCGAGAAGGAGAGGCTGGAAGAGGTTAAGAAGGCCGATGCCGCTAAGCGTGCTGAGGATAAGGCTCTTGAGCGTGAGCGACGAAAGGCCGAAGAGAAGAAGAGGGCGGAAGAGAAGAAGGCCGAGGAGAAGAAGCGTCTCGAAGAGAAGAAGAAGCTCATCGAGGAGAAGCGACGACAAGAGGAGAAGAGAAAGCGCGCCGAGAGCAAGCGCAAGGCCGAGGAGCGGGAGCGCGAAAGACTCGAGGAGGAGAATAGACTTGAGGAAGAGCGTCGTCTCGAAGAGGAGCGCAAGATTGAGGAGCGAAAGCGCGCCGAGGCTCTGCGCAGAGCTGAGGAGAAGCAGAAGGCTGACCAAATGGCCAAGGAGCGCAAGATCGCTGACGCTAGACGACGCGCCGAAGAGAAGGCTGCCGAGCGAGAGAAGCGCGCTGCTGAGCGCAAGGAGAAGGAAGCTCGTCGCGTCCACCGCAAGCAGGTCAAGGAAGACCAGAAGCGACAGGAAGCTCTCATCGAAGAGCAAGCGTACGTACACCCATCCATCGTTCACAGAATTGACATTGACCATCGAACAGAGCCAAGCCTGCTATCATCCCCAACAAGTGGCCCGCTCCCGGCGCCCGTCTCGGTCCTGGCCTAGGACCCATGCGATTCTCGGCTGCTCCCGCAGCAGCAGCAGCACCACCAGCCAGGAAGCCTGCGCCTCCCGCTGATGACAGTGACAGTTCAGACAGCGATAGCGACAGCGACAGCGGCGTTGACTAAGGAACCAGTCCCCTGATACGATGTATGCGGCGTTTAACGGATGATTTTGACGGACCAAGAGAAGGGCTCTTGGTGTATGAACTACAACACAACCACTCCACTCTAATGTCGGGATGAAAGAATGCCTGACGACTACTATTATTACCGACTAATCTGCTCGGAGAGAGCAACTATACCCTGACTACAGATGTAGTCCCAACTCCACTCAATACTCTAACTCAACTCTACTCAACTCACGCTCAATATGAGTCCATGAGTTTAATACGAATATGAATGAATCTGACCAAAGACTCTGTCTCTTGATTGCATTGTGAACAATTTGTGACAACTACTTAATCATAACTGCACCACCATCAACAACAAGATCCTGACCCGTAACAAACCCAGCATCAACCATATACTCCACCGCCATTGCAATATCCCAAGGTCTTCCAGCACGATTGGTAAGATGATCATCCACATCCTTATCCTCATTTAAATCCGCCCATTTAACGCCCTTCTCATCGCCCTCCTTTGACTCATGCGTAGCCTTGATGCGGCCCGGCGCAACGAGATTCACGCGAATACCAAACTGCTTGAGACTAACAGCCATGCTATGCGTAAGACCCAAAAGACCGGATTTGGCAGATGCGTAGCCTTCTTGGTTGGGATCGCTTTGCATTGCGCGGAAGGAGCCGATGTTGATGATACATGGTCCTGCTGTGCTGTGACTGTCCTCCGTGACAGGACCGGTATCCTTCTCATTCTTCATAAACGGCAGACAAGCTTGTGATACGGCAAACGGTGCAGTGAGGTTTGTATCGATATACGCCCTCCACTGATCCAACGTCTCGCGATCAAGCATAGTCTTCCCATCTTTCCAATGCGGCGCCGCAATACCGCCATTGTTAATCACCACATCGATCCTTCCACCTAAAAACTCCGCCGCTTGTTGAATCTTCTCATGAATCTCATCCGTATTGCGCAAATCGCAAAGCGCCGAGTCGACAAGTTTAGAGTCGTAGTAAGACTTTAGATGAGTGCGGGTTGTGTGCGTGAGTTCCTGCTCATCGATATCAAGGATGAAAACACGGTAGTCTTTCTCGAGGAAGTATCGAGCGAGAGTACGGCCGATACCGCGAGCGCCTCCGCTGACAACTGCTGTTTTAGGCATTTTGGAAGAGTGTTGATGTTGATGTTGGAGTGAAGTTGTTGAGGATGAGGATGACGGGTACTGTAGAGGGGACATCATGGGCACGTACTGAAGACGTCACAAGCTACGTCATGAAATCCATTTTTTCAGCAGAAGTTGAAATGCATCGCGATAAGAACTTATCTTCGTGCATGAGGCGTAGTGTATCACATTTCGACGAGATGATGGTGGTCTGATGAGTAGAAAGAGCGAGGGTGATGAAGGCACATCTGATACGCTCATGACACTTTTGTAATTATACACGCAAATGAATAAAGTTACCATCAAAGTTCAAGATACATATAGAAATCAAATCAAACGCTGCGCAACTGTTTAAAGGGATAAAAAAACCGTATTTCAACGGGGTTCATAATATTGCAGTGACGTTGACGCCGACCTTTAATGAGAGTGCAGACTCCACGGCAGTTGAGGCGAGTAGCTGAAGCACGTGCAAAGCCTCCAGCGTCCAGACTAGAGGAACGGAGGCAGCCCTGCATTTCAGCGCATCTCATATCACAGGGGATCCTTCCATGCGTTTCATGGAAAGCTGTTGGTTCCCAACGCCCAATTGTCTAGAAAGACTAGGTCGACTTTCACGAATCAAAAAGCTGTAGCATGTTGCTAACAGTGGGCCGTCAGGCGGCGCAGTGGACTCAGCCTCCGATTTTCAAGGCTGACTCGGCTAAGTCGGGTCCCACAGGTGTCATTGCGCTTCACCAACCAACATCAGATCACCTAAATGCATGCGCTTTCCATCTTGCCTTGGACTGAGTTATTTTCTTCCTTCTATCACACTGTTTTCTCACACTGTTTTCTCTAAAGATCTGGCACTTATTGAAAAGATCCTTAAGAAAAACCCTACAATGGACTACGTTCGCGACTTTCATATTTACGCTCTCGGCCTCTGGTGGATGTACCAAGGCCTCATGGCCCTCGACGACCCCAAAGAACATCTCAGCACCCAAGGCATCAAATCCACGAAATCATCAGACGACTACAGCAACTTTGCACCAGTATACATGCTTGGATTCAGAGATTTTTCCATGGGTATCTTCATTGTGGCTCATCATTACCACGACAACCTAACGGCCATTTTGACCTTGATCGGTATCATGGGCTTCATCAAGATTGGAGATGCCATTGTGGTCATTGCTGCGGAGGAGGAAAGCACCAGGAAGAAGGCAGTTCAAAATTTGGCCTGGGGTGTTGGACTCCTTGGGTGGCTTGTGTTTTTGGCGAAGAACTAAGTGTTGCTTGTTATGCTATAAGAGCCCGATTTTGGATAACATCGATCGTTGACAGGACCACTAGCATAGGTCGAGGCTTTATTAACTAATCTACAAGGGTTGGGAGAATCGCAGATGGCTGTTGAAACATGTCTGTAACAGCTTGACAATACGTACAAATCATGAGCCGAAGACCAACTTTAAGAACAATGAATGGTAGTTATTGGACCAAAGTTAAGCTTCTTAGACAGCTGTGCAAACCCCCAAGGCAAATCGTTCCACGTGAACCGGTCACTTTCCAACGCCGTAAACACATTCTCATAGACATTCGCCACTTCCCAGCTATCCCATATACCTTCGCGACGGCGAATCGAGCGCAAAATCCCAAGCGCCTTTGTCCTAATTTCCACATCCGGGCAAGAAGCGCAAATGGTAGAAAGCTCACATACAAGGTGTCCGTCAAATGTAAATGATGGCCTAGACTGGATATTCTCGATCAAAACGATCTCCTGAATCTTGTCAAGAATCATGTGGTATTCCTGTTTTTGGAAGCCTTCATCCTCGCATCTCGGCTGGAGAAACGCTGACCATGTAATTTGGAATAGCGACAATAGTGCCATTCTCCGGGCGTCATTCGGGCTTGGAGACTGAAATTGTTTTGAAGAGTTTAGCAACTGTAATCGCGAGTTCCAAGCAGAGAAGCATGGTCTCAGTGCTGAAAGAGCTTCTAGCGTGTCAGCAAAGTCAGGATTTGTACTCGCGCCGAGAAGTAGATTATCCGAAAGCGAATTTATAGCAGATAAACAGTCCTCGGCATCGTCCAAACTCGTAAATGGTACATCTGGTCTCCCTACGTCCAATGATATCTCAGCCAATTCAGCTTGTGGGAAAGACTCATCTCCCGTGAAGGCAGCAATGTTCTTGCTTAAAGATAAAAACATTTTGGACAACGTTGTAACGAGCTTGCGATCGATATGATTGTCGCCATATCCTGTTCTATTTCCAGACAAATCTTTGCCAGATTCGACGAGAGCAGAGAGATGGTTCAGCAACGGGTAGCCAGCCTTCAAGTGGCGAACTGAATCGGCATATCGCCTGTGCAAGTTCTCGATGCAAATAAATATGGTGCAGCAAAGCAGCGTGATCTTGATGTTCAGTCTTTTGTTCTCGGCCATGATTGGGCGTATGACAGAAATTGCCTGGCTGTACTTTTGACTAGCCTGCGTTTCGTAGTCAGTGGAATGAGCCATGTTGGGAAGCTGTCCAGGGTATGAAGCCAAGAATCGCTGGTGGGAAGCTCCCAGTGCGCAAAGGGCGTATTTCAGTGGTTTGCTGGTGTGGGATAGAGGTAGGATAATATCATGCCAAACCTCCCTTGTACCTCCAACCATTTCCAGGTCAGGAATTACCCACTTTCGGGCGTGATAGTAAAGAGCGTTATCGATCGCACCGAGCCTGATGCCATCTATTAAAGCTGACCGCAGGGAAGGCGGCGAAGAGACAACCGCGTTCTGATTCCATGGCGTATAAAACACAAGCTCGCTTCCCGTGTCATATGCTAAGTGCAAACCGCGATGCCCATAGCCTTCACATGTGAAGCGATCTTTCAAGCAGCGAAGACACGATGGGCTAGCTTCATCACATTTCAAATGTCGACGCCTGACGGTCGTGTTAGTGAAAGAGACAATCCAAAGGATTTAAAAGTTGGGGACTAACTTGCTATAGATTTGATTAGTCGCAATTTCCAGTGAGACGAAGGATGGGAATGGCTTGCTAAACCTACCAAGTGATGCATCCAGTCCTGACTCTAGGACCTTTGGCCCGTCGAAGCTTCTTGCGGGGCTGTTCTTGAAGAGCAGGGACCATTTTGTTTAATCCGTTTGTTACGAGGCGACTAATGATGGCCATGACTTGTATTTTATGTCTTTTTCTTTTACATGGCTGACTGCACTTTGCCAAGCCGGATTCAACCGTGTTTCAACCCAGGAAGTTGATCCTTCTACTCCACAAACACGAAGATCCTAAACTAATCTAGTCGTCATACTTTCATTGGTAGTTCCGTAAGTCAGTCCCACTGACCTTGGATAGTGGCGCTGATCTCTAAGTCAACTAGCGAAAACTTTATGAGCTAGTGATCCTTCGGTTGTGATGCTCGAATGGCATTTCTTCAACGGTGCTAAACGTTACTGGCCTACTTACGAGTAGCCTCCTATGCATACCCCGGCCCCACGATTTTCCTCCACCTTTGAAGCACGTATTCTTTCGTATGTTCTTCGAAGGGTCCTCGTATCTATATCTACTGACAAGCTAAATCCATGTTTCCGGGAAATGTTTAGACTTAGAGATACAACCTGGTACGGAATTCGCCGAATGTTGATAGAGGGATCCTATGAAGCAGATCAATCGACGCTTGGGTGATCTTCATAGTCCCGGTTTCTATCATCAAATGATATAAAAAGCATAGACAAGCAGTTCCCTCTCTCAAAGCTTCTCACATCAGAAAAATATCTTGTTGTCTTGGGCGTTCCATTTCTTCATCATGTCCACAATGTTTCAACCAAAACGCATATACTCCTTCCTACTACCCATCGCCTTGAAAGCGAGTGCACTTATCTTTCTCGTTATTCTCTGTTACCAAGCGTTTACTATTTACAGGGACAGCGAAGAAAGCTGGCAACCTCAATTCCCATTTCGTCGCCAGCAAGACTTTACTTCATTAATCAAACCTCATGGAGGAGACAGATGTCTTCCGCCATCGCTCCCCGATATTCCTCACGACGCAAAGATTTTACGAAATGCTTGCAAACAAGTATGGTCGCACCCCGAGTCGCCCCTTCGGATCGGCAGAGTCTCTGCCCATTTTGGGGATGTTCAAGAACATTACCAAAAGGCGTTGCATACCCACGCGCTGCACAGCGTAATCCACAACAATCGTCTCGACGTTATGTGTTCTCCCATGGTTGACTCACTCTGGAACAAGCCGGCATTCATTCTTTCTCTGCTATTGGATGAGATGTTGAAGCCTCCTTCTAAACGCCTGGAGTGGTTCTTCTGGGTAGATAGAGATACTCTAATACTCGATCAATGTCGCCCTATATCGAGCTTCCTTCCCTTTGAAGAGCCAGCCCTTGACGAGGAGACTAGTGAAGGTAACGACAGCGACGAAGAAGCCGCAGAGAAAGTCGGTGGAGAAAAACATCTCATAGTAACAAATGACTGGAACGGGTTGAACAACGGCGTCTTCCTAGTACGTGTCAATCAATGGGCCGTCGACCTTTTCAGCGACATAAACGCCTTCCGATATTACAGACCGAATGTTTCACTTCCTTTTACGGAACAAAGCGCCATGGAGATCGTCATGAAGGAGCCCAAATTTGAGCCTAACGTCCAGGTTGTCCCACAATACTGGTTCAACGCCTATCCTAAGGCCTCACCAGGCGACTTTGAGACCAAGACGGACATGGAAGGCTTAAAACCCTACCATGCCCGTAGGGGAGATTTCCTCCTTCACTTTGCAGGACGCGGGGGAAGAGATAAGCTTATCAATGAATGGACGGACATGCTAGTTCCTAGAGGTGGCTTGTGGCTGCCTGAAGAGGTTCAGCGAGACAACACCAGGGGAATTAGTAACTTTTGGTCTCGGTTCGGATAGATCTATCGCGTGGTAGTAAAGAAGGACAACGACATATAAATCATATCATTGAAGGATTGAGGGATGACAGGACATGCACTGGTCTAACAGGCAGTCTTAATATATGGTAATCTCGGTAAACCAGTACCATGGCCATTGTTGGGGCAAGAAATGATGATCAAAGGGTGGGCTCTACTGCTGAAGTTAAGCACCTATTCGGGTACTTGTCCTTTTGGTAGATTATGTAATAAATAGCATGTCAATATCTTAACTTATTGTCCTTTTCATAAGTAATAAGTTCCTTGTCCTAAGTGAAGGATAAGCAAACATGACGAAATCAGGGCTCTCTTGTTCAGCTTCATGCCGGTATCACCGAGGGTAGTCAGAAACCAGCAGTCAGCATGGCCCACCCCAGTGTTTTGAGCAATAAGATGCGTTGAAGAAAATCGAGCTGAAGAAATAAGCAAGGAATAATATTACTGCCTGCGGTCGAGGCCCTGATGATGACGCCACAAACAACTCTCACAATAATTTATCCAATTACTGCTTTGGACTCTCGGATAAAGTCACAGATCAGTACGAATGACCTGGTTGCCCGAAATGCAGTCGGGAGTCGCGAACTCCGCCTTTTGCGCCTCGTCGACGTTGTCTTCACCATACGAACAACTGCCGTTTCTACAACTTCACAAAGATGATTTGGCGGTGGAATGGGACGTCTGGCTGCTGATACCACGGCGAAGGGCCCTTGAACATCATGCAAGGGTGTGTTGACTGCCGCTTAGATAGTGCTGAACATGGTTTATTGGTCATTGTGCTTTATCCCCACGACTATAAAGACTCGATGGCTTTTCTCTCAACAAGGACATCGCCTCAATAATTCAGATCATTTCAAACACTTTTATCACCCCTGACATCGTCGCTTCAAGCTAACATCTTCCCAAACTAACCATCAAAATGCCTTCGGAATTTCTCGGTGGTCATCATTGCGCTCAGTTGATAGCTAAGCCTGGCGAGAATCGCCTAGCTCTCGAGAAGGAGTACTATTGGCCTAATGGCTCGGAGATTGTTGTCAACATGTGGGGGTATGCCATATTCTAGTGTCCATGATTTCACATTTGCTAAAGAGCTACAAACAGGCAGAGCGACTTCGTCCGGAGCAAGGTCATGCAGGTAACCATCCATACAATAATGCTCACGAGATTACCTGATACAGATGCTGACTCGGATCAGTTTGCTAACGAATGGACCCGCTATGCGAACATAACCTTCAAATGGATGGAGCGCGACGCCCCTGGTGATTCCGACATCCGCGTCTCCTTCGACCGAGATGGCTACTGGTCGTACATTGGCACCAATTGCCATGCTATCAGCCAAGACCAGCCTACCATGAACTACGGTGGGATGACAGATGACATGACCGACCTGGAGTTCAGTACAGCTGTGTGCCATGAATTTGGTCACGCGCTTGGCTTCATCCATGAACAGGCGTCCCCAGTTGCTAACATTCAATGGAATAAACCAGTTGTGTATGAGTATTACAAAAGGGTCCATGGATGGGACAAGGATGCTGTTGATTGGAACCTGTTTGCATCCGCGAAGCAAGAGGACGTTATCAACTCGAGATACGACCGAACATCTATCATGTGAGTCTCCTGCCTATATCCTCTCAAACCTGTCACTCTGCTCGCTCTAAGTATTATTGGTCCCGATGTATGCATGCTGATATGGATCAAGGCAATACTCCTATGATGCTAGTATGACACTCGATGGTTCCTCCGCACCATGGAACCGAGTCATCTCCAGCCTTGACAAGGTCTTCGCCATGCGACTATACCCCAAGGATGGTATCCAGCGTACTACTACAGACGGTGTCTACTTCATCAACCGTGAACGCAACGGGCAAGAAGCATCTGGAATCGCGTACTACTCGCACTTCGGTAACAATGACGGTCAGCAGCCTGATACCTACGTCGAAGTTTCCAATGGATCTTTTGCTTGGTGGGAGAATGGCGGAGAAGGTACGTTGCTCTCATTTCCTCTCTGGCACCAGATAACCACGAACTTTGAAGACACACTTACTGACCAATCCGCAGCGACCTTCGGTGGAAGCGGACATGTCATCAAGTGGAACTTGGCTGATGATGCTGGACGATCACCACTCTATACACGAGTCGGATTTGCAGATAAAGAAGGCGAGAAGTGGAATGTTTACCGCGATGACAGTCGTGTCTTGTTTGAGCAGGATGGATGGCAGTTTCGTGCTATGTTCTGGGCCTTCTGAAAGATCTGAGAACTTAGTGATAGCCTCCAGCAGCGGATACTGGAATTGGTGAGCTATGGCATTAAGACATTGAGGACTTATCTGGTACTTTAAGTTAGACTTTGAATTCTATAAGTATTTTACATCGTCTCTAAATCTTACAGGTCATTCAGACCGACGCGTTGAATTTTGTATCTTTTAATGATCTCAGCACCACACAAGCGATATAGGTCTAACTCGGCTGTGTCTCTACCACATACGACCATACCTACCAGAAAATACGGGATCCCGTCCGCTCTCCCATAGTCAAGCTGGTAAGGGGCGGATTAGTAGTTGGGTCGGTGACGACCAGCGAATCCCCGCTGTTGTATGT